TATCCGGTAGACTACAGGAAATGCCGGTAAATAAATCGGTGATTTTAACATTTATTAAAGCAGAAAGGTATGCACATCTAAATATATACATTGAGGGAGCTTAAGTCGTTATATGGAGTTCTCTATAGGAGTTGAGGCTCGGCCGACTTTAAGTAGGATCCTGTGTTTATATTTATCATGCATAGCATATAACAACAATCAAGAAAATTGAAAATAGTTAGGACCCTGATTTCCTTCATAAACTCAACCTAATCAACGGCCAACTCAACTAACTCAATGGAGGACTTTATTAGTTTGTCAATCCGGGAACGCGAGCCGTAAGAGTGCCTCTACCGTGTTGGTCTTCTAGGCCATCGTCATTCGCATCCTCTGCCATTACAACAATAAACCAACGCAAAGCACCCCCGTCTCCTACCCCTACTACTGCTATAGCGACGTCTCAGAGTACCTCGGCAGCACCGTAAGGCATCTCCGGACTCGTTCTCAACGACAACATGACTGACTCCCGAGCGGGTGTATACGACCGCGTTTGCCCTAGTCAAGGAGCTTTGGCAAAGTGTAACCCCTGTACAAGGTTGATCGGTCAAGACACACGGCTGCCGCCGAGAACCAATGCAATCCTTCTCACCCAATGGTCATAATAACTCACGAGTGGGCTTGGGCACAGTACCTAGAGAGTGACGAGTGTTGGATTGGGAAGCTCATTGTACTAAGTTAAATGCTAAGGGGAGTACGAGGGAAACGTAAAGTTACTCTTCCGTATCCATGTCGATTGTACCATAAAGGCTATCCGCCCACGCTATCAAAGCCAAGAGATGGAACACAATCTCCTTCCGGTGACCTGACACGGTGAAATCAAACCAGACTGTTGAATCGGCTCGCAGAAAGCACGCCGTGGAGTCATTATGTGCGGTAGAGGCTGTCTCATATTCTTCGATAAAAGTCGTCAGTGATAGAGAAGTGGAAAAACTTGACGTAGTGTGTAACGGTAAGAATGGTAATAAACCTTGCATGACATATTATTTAGCTATCAGATCGCCCAGTACGCTGAGGTCGAGACTGAGCACCCGATGGGAAGCAAGTACCTGTCTTTTGATATTTTCAAGATGTGTTGATCTCGCTTCGACACGAGAGCTTCGCCAACTATCTGAGCCAGCACCTGATCGGAAACAGTCGGTTTCCCTTCAACCAGGCTCTGGAAGGTTCGCTTCCCTTCTAGCATGGCTACTTGTAGCCTATCCTCGCTGCCGCAGAGCTGCACCCCACCATCGTCAATGGCCTCAATACGTTTCTCTTGTAACGCAGTGATACCATATGTTCGCCTTTCGTCTCGGTAACAAACAAAAGGGCCCGTCTTATTGAATGGCTGTGCGTAGTTCATAACACAGCGAATAAAGCAGCTCGCCAGGCGCACGGAATGGTCTTCAAGGAGGGGTGCTGAGTTTTTAGGGGTGAATCCAATGCTGGACTTAGATGTATCGGTCGAGCTTGGCCTGGTTGGCGAGCTGCTGCCTATCGGGAAGCTTGTAGATGGGACAAAGTTCTCGAGCTGAGAGGGTGCCCTTCTTTCCCGTTTGGGCCGGTCGGACATCGTCGCAGATAATTCGACTTGTTTTGCTCGCGTAAAGGAGGCAAGGGCCGCCCAGACATAGCCAAGACTGTCGGGCCGGTACTGCTGGACAATTTGAGGCTCCCATATCTCAGCTAGGTTGGCATTCTCTCCCGGGCCCGAAATTAGGTGATTAATGCATGGATGCAATCCGTCAAGGCCTTCCGGGTAAAGGCCCTCATCGACGAAGAGAGAGAGGCGCGTCTTGGGCTCACTGCAGATGACTCGGCTGGCAAATAGGTGCTTGCGACCCCAACGGCTGACAGCGCTCTCCCACTCTCTGGACTGGCTTAGTGCATCGAAGTTCTGGGCGTGCTCGGCCGGTGCTGTCTTGGAGAAGGTGCTTGGGTTTCGGATGGTATCGTAATAAGCCATCGCCGCAATTCGGGAGACGAAGAAGCCGGAGCGGCCAAAGAAAATGGCCAAGACGGTCCAGAGGCTTGGTGAGCTTTTGGATGCAGTTTTTACCATTCGTGAACCCTGCCTCCTCGCCTACGTCTTCTCCTGCAATCACGGCTGCTGCCTAGCCAGACAGCCCCGTTCGTCATGTTTCCCATGCGTGGCTCGGCCATGGCAACATCGCTGGCTGCAGGTTGCAAAAGTCCCTACCGATGTTACCAAAGGATGCGACCGTTGGCGTGCGTTATGACAAGTAACTTGGTGCCGTGGGTGACATGGAACCCTGATCCACTTGGGGTCATGAAAAGAGGGCTGGCTAACGGCATAAATGCAGGAAAAGCAATGTACTATCGCGAGGGCAATCAAGACTCTAGATATGGCTCGCCCGCTAATTACGTCTCAATAGTGAAAGCACGTCGTCCCTAAGCTAAATCAGCCATCCTGTAAAACGGATCGCGTAAACAGGTAATTAACCGCTACATCCCCATGCACCGTCAGGGATGTTTAACCAGCCCCTCTACTCCCTGTTCTTCGAGCCGTAGCGGGGTGCCTTTGTCGTCTACCTTCTGCTCTCGTCTAGTGCATGCTTTTGAGGCGCAAGCAGAAGAGCAAAAAGGCGATCACGGAGACTTTTGCCTGGCTTGTAGCGAATGACTGTAACCCGGATCGAGACGGACGGCTGCACCACGGGCGGGACGGCGGGTTTATTAAGCATGTCAAGGAGCGAAAGGGGGATGTCGGCCGTATAAAGGTATAAACACTCCCTTCTCGGAGACGAGAATAGCACTTTCGACTAGATAGACATACTTATATAAGTGGATTATAATATAGAAGAATTAGGGCATCATACCGAAAATGCATTGGGGCAGCTTTCTATATATTCTTGTTTCAAGGCCACTTGACGCTGTTCTTGTGCTATACCAATTAGAAGCGCAGTAATATATGGGTCATGTAAGGGCTCTGGAGGCGTGATTCTCCTTAACTTATGCCGGTACAAGGAGTTGGCAATGGATAGACCCCGTCGCATATATATATCTGGTGCCAACGCGTCAGAGCGCATAAACTCGAGACGCACTTGGTCGATATATGCAGCGATCGGGGCTGCATCGGGCTGGTGTCGAAGGAAGAATGAGGTGCATTTAAGGATTGTGCGTTCGCGCCCACTAAAGTAAAAGCGAAGATCTGGTCTTTAGAGAGCAAGCATGGTTAGAAATGGCTTTTAAAACTTAGTAGGGCAACATACCGTTGAAAAAGTGGACAATCTGAGCTCGCGAGAATACCCCGTATACTACTCTCACGATCAATCATTTGATTACGCGTGAATAGATGTGTGATTGATCGGGCCCCGTTACGCTCGCCGGTAAAGTTTGATGTAGTTATCGGCGGTGCAGGACAAGGATCGCTAAAGGTGCATTGCAACAACTCGAGTTGCCGTTTAGTCCAGTACAGGGGAGAAACAAGGAGCCGTTCTTTGCAGTGAATAAGAGCGAGCTGGTTGATGGATAGAGCAGAGCAAGGGTTGGCCGAGGTTGAGGCCTTCTGTGGCGGCGGTGCGGGCTTCATGGCGGCCACTCGATGGGTTTGGTCATTGCGGTCCGATGATGATGGACGAAGTGTTGCACCGAGTTGAGCTACGCGCTGCTGTCAACAGGGGCGCGCCGTTCGGGTAAAACATTCCCCGCGAGCCGAGCCTCTTGGTCTTTGCACGACGCGGTGGGTCTGCAAGAGGCCGAAGAATTACCGAAGAATTACCGATTCATCTCCCTAATCCAGCGGAATGCGTCTGGCAAGTTGTAGTATGTCTCTTTGCATAATTGAAACTCGAGTCTTGTGCATAGTAGATTAATATGTATGCACGTGAAAGAGTACCTGGGCATTGAATATGCGTCCGACCGCAACGAGGAGATGGCATCAAGTGGTTGTGGACGTACTGTACAGTACGGGCAGGCCGTGCACTCCTTACTCAGCCGCACTCGCGCCTATTTTGCTATAGCGATGCGCACAGTGCTTAGTAGCTTCATCATCTTCCTTCATGACGCTCGTTCTCCTGAGTTCTACTGAGCTGATGCGATCTGTTAGGCAGTCTTGATGCGACAATACGTACCAACAAAGAAGAATTTCTCCCCTGACCCTTTTAGGCGTTACAGTAAGGACTGCTTGGTTGTAACCGAGTTTAGTATTTCCTATTGCCATAAGATCTACTTAGAGCTAGGGAGTAAGACAACATATACTAAGTGGGGGGCCTATCTGCAGTGGCACTTATACGAGCCATTATAGTCATATTTCAATAATTTGAAGTCCATTGACCGCTTGGCTACGAATCTGAAGCAAAAATGTCCCCTTTCTCTATCACTGAAATGAATGATCTGTTGACGAAATGTGTGGGGAAAGAGGTCACGATTCCCTACATGTTCGGCCTCTTTCTTGGCGGGTCGAACACAGTCCCTTTGATTTAGAGGTCTTACAAGCTGCAAAACTGCTGTGATGGTATTTTCTACTGGTAGTAAGTACTGCTACCAAGATGGCTAAATCTTTGCAAGGGCTAATGTCGCAGCTATTGGAACAACAGATATGTGGCTCTTAAGCCTCAACCAGGCCAAACTGAAGTCTCGGTTATCATTAGGCAAGATCTACCTTAACTTCTAGAAAAGGTGTTGGGGGAGACCAATTGTCTCGAGAAGTTTCCATGGCCAAGACGACTCCATCAGTTATGTCTATACTCTACCACCCCCCCCACCCCTCTTCCGGCAACACCTCTCTTTCGGTAGCGCAATTGAAAATACGGGGTAGTTATCCGTACAACACGAGAACAATGTGGCGCAGATTGCGTGGCAGCGCCGATACCGCAACTTTGTGTGTGCGAATTCCCGACTAAGAACTGTAGGCGGGCGCAAGCAACGTTAAGCCCGCATTTGAAGCCGGCCGTGATGCCCTTTTATGTACGGATGGGAGTCAACCTGGCTCCCCACGGCATCGTCGCCGAGTACGATATTTACGTTATACAAGGTCGCTCGTAGGCTACCCTGATAGCTTTGACGGCCATGCTAGTAGTCACCCCGCGGTTGCCAATCTTAACTGCCACATTGCCATAGGTCAACATCCAGCCGAGCTCCCATCCTCCATCTAATTGCTGTGTAGTGAGTAGCGTTTGAAGATCTTCGGGGCTGTCGAGATCCAGAGATTGGGCTGCCAGAAGCCTCAATGCGGCCGCCAAGACCTCTTTATCAGTACCCATACGGCGCTTCAGCTGCTTTGTAACAACCTCGCGAAGTTCTTCCAAGTCCGGGTCAGTGCATTTGCAGCAGAGATCTGCCAAGTAGTAGATGATCCAGTCAGGGTGACGGTAATATCTTGAGCCGACCTCGTACGCTTGCGTGCATAGGATGCGGCATAAATACTGCAAAGTGGCCTGGAGTTTGCGGCCCTGCCCGTTGAGGTAAAACAAGCGGAGGACATTGGCAGCCACATACGGGCAGAATCGAGGTCGCAAAGAATCAAAGTAAGCCTGGGGTTATACGGGTTAGAACACATGCCTCGAGTGCGCAGCCGCCAAGGACACGACGTTACCAGTGGCAGCCCATCCGCACTTAAATTCCCCAATATCTTCTGCATTGCCTGTTCCTTCTGCTCACTTGGAATGCTCAAAGTCACCAGGGCGAGCGAGGTTGTATCAACGTCTTGCGGAAAATTGCTGTCTGTAAAGGCGCGTTCTCCGATAAAGTACTGCCAAGTATTTCCTCCATTTTCTAGAAAGACCAGGTTTCTAAATTCGCCATGAGTAAAAGAATTCGGTTTTGTATCGAAACCGGCTTCACTGACCTTTCTCCCGTGAACTCTAGGATCAACAGCTGAGAAAAGTTATCCCTTATAATGACACCCTGATCGGTCTCGCAAAATAACTGTTGCGATCTCTGCCGCAAAAAGTCCATTCCCCGTGCGACTGGGTCAGCGAGGAGATTTCGAAGCTTCACAACAACGTCATCCGTGTTGTCGAAGTGAATTCCATGGAACCCCAGCGACTGTGCCGTCATGACATTTTCAACCCGATCGTCGATGAATAAAGACTTCTGCGCAGTGGCTTTGGCAGCCTTTAAAGCGGCTTCATAAGAAGCAAACTCGGGTTTGCGATGCCCTATAGATGCTGACGTAGTCACACCGTCAAACAGTTCCCAATGGTTAATGATCGATTCAAGCAGGTCAAAATCTGGTGCAGAGATATTGGTGAGCGCGTGAATACGCAGCTGCGGATGGTGTTTCTTTTTTATGTCTTTGACGGCGCTTATCAAGTCAAGATTGGGCTTCAACGTCGACGTGAGCTGACTCACAACCTCTTCCCACACTCCTGGAGCAAGTCCGAACGCCGCAGAGACTTTTTGATAACATTCCTGCTGCGAGAGCTTTCCTCTCTCATAATCATGCCAATATAGAGAGTCGAAGACGGTTTTAATGGTGCGTCGAGAGAGAGCCAAGTCTCCTGTAATAGAGTAGTTGATGAGGACTCCCCCAATATCCAATACCAAGTGCGTAAACTTCGCCATCGTCAAGGATAGTAGAACTTGGGCACACCTTGGTAAGCCATGACAAAGGATGCGGAAGAGGACTAACTATAAATAGACGAAAACTCGGTTAAGATTTGCCCCATGAATCATGTTACTCAGTGTATGGACCTTATCCGTGTCTTGGGAAACATGTCTCAGCGGGCCCTCTCACTCCATCTCAACTTAAAGTCGTATGGATTCTCCGTCAGATGCGTTGGCCCGAGCCGGCGACCGAGGCAGATGCCTGCCGATGGACCCAGGCCTTGACAGGCTTTCTCCTTGTAGTGTTCAAGCCAAAACGTCTTGATCAACGAAAGCTGGCTGGCAGCGGCAGAGTAGCGAGAGGTCCAATCCGCGGCTAGTTTATGCTCCCGACCAGATCGCCAGGTGCCACGTAAAGCCGCCTTTATGGTCACGGGCAAAGATTTTCAGACTTCGTACAGGCATGGTCATTTGCTTAGGCCTGGAGCCGTATCACTGTAGCCGCTCGATTACAAGGGAAAATCGAGAAACTATGAAGCTGGAGCGTAACCAGCCTCGGCATTGATGCATTGCAACGGCAGTAGGGGATCAGACGATTTTATATACGGGCCGAACTTTTCATCCTTTACATGGCCCGGATATTCTGCCGCCCCTTTTTTTACATTTTGCCGATTTGCTCTTCAAACTTTCTTCATCCTTTGTTGGCCCCGGCAGAGCTGGTCCGGCGGCAGAAGCCTCCATGTCGTTACAGGGCACCGGGAGAGAAGCGACAACCAAGTACATTACGAAAAAAAAACTTAACGGTTTCGATGTCCGACGTAGATTCCCGCTGATGATGCAAAGCTCACGTGTTTGCACCGTCAACGACTCGCTCACGCTTCCCTGGTCGTTGGTAGCCAAAAAAAAAGGTCAGCTGCTCATCATGTCATTGCCACCTCACGCAGGCATCCTCCAAGACGACACCTTGGCTTTGCGACATATCCTTGGCTATGGCGTCGAGACCTTGGCTACTCGCCGCTTTGCTACCACAAAACTTGGGGGAGATTTGCAGGCGTCTTCGATGTGTGATGTCCTGCTTGTTTCGGTCGATGTGGACACTTTTCAAGGCTACGAGGACATTTCCGACGACCAACAGTTTCATATCGGCGTCTTAACCTTCGATACACGCAGTCTCAGGGACCTGGCTGCGCTTTCGGCGCCGGATGAGTATCCACAGCAGACCATCAACTCGTATCAGTTCGCCATCGGCAATAGACTCTCGGCGAGGCGGGCACGCAGGCGGTACCTGTTGGCCAATCCGAGGACATTGCCCTTTCAGACTTCAAGTCCAAGTCTGATGCCATCTCTCGAGATCGCGACTATGTCTTGGTTGTCTATGGCGGACATGAAGACATCAAGGTTCTAAACACTCTTGATATTGGCGAGCCGGCAAGCTACATCATCGATACAGTGAGGGCTGCACAGTTCCACTGAAGCTATACTATCGGTATAGCCTGGAAAAGCTCTTAGGTCATTTCAGCATTCCCTACCTGCATAAACATGCAGATGGCAACGACTCAAAGCTCTGCCGATGATAGCAGTCAAGGATGCCGAAAGACTGTCGGCACACTTGTGTGAGCCTTTTCTTGGCGCACTTGAGACCATTGCTCGAGCTCCTCTCCCAAGGAAAGAGCTCCCTCCAAGTTGCACTAAAGGGAGCAAAAAGGAGCCAAAGCTGACCATCGCCACCAAATGCAGGGCCCGGCCAGAGAGGAAGTGGTTACGACAGGAAAGTCAAACATTACAGCTCGCGGGGGCACAAGAGACGGGCAGCTCCCGGCAGGTGACAGCCGACGACGAGACGGACCTCTCAAGTTGACCCTCAACCATCACGATGTGTGACTGCCAAAGAAGCCATCTCTAATGAAATTTCACTACGTCAAGTTGCAAAATAAATAGGAAACATTTCTGTCCCGAGACAGGTTGTCATTCATCCTCGCCAAGACTCACGTCTCATTTCAGTACAGACTACTTGGTGAGTTACTTCCTTTGACCGGTTATTAAAGGCGAGGACATGATGAGGAAATGCCAAACAGAAGAGGCTTGTTAAAGAACGGTCTTCTTGGTGAACCATTCGTCAATGCTTCCTCTCTTTGCCAGCGTTAAGGGCGACCAACAAGTTGAGCTCCTCGTCACCCCTCCCTCTCCTCGACGTCCCAGACCTCGACGACGCCATCCATCCTGCCCAGCACCAGCACCTTGCCATCGGTGGAAAAAGCCGCCGCGGTAAACATGGCCGCCCCGCCGCCGCCCTCCCACACGACGCTTCCCGCCGCCACATCGACGATGTCGAAGCCGTCCTCGGTGCGGCACGCCATCCAGCGACAGTCGGGCGAGATGCACAGTGGCCAGCCCTCGGAGCCGCGAGCCGCGTGCAAGCCGTACGACGTCAGCTGTCCCGCGCACGGGAGCCATATGAGGAGGGTTGCGCCCCAGAGAGAGACGACGGATTGGCCGTCGGGGGAGACGGCGAGGGCGCGCGGGTTGGTGCCGGACGTTGCATCCACCTCGAGCTTGCTCAGCGTCCTTGCGGTTTGGGGATCTGTGATGCGTACCGTTCCGTCTCTGGAGAGTGTCACTAGCTTCGAGTCTGGCGTGAAGGCTGCGTGAGTGACCTCGTCGATGTGTCCGACTACCCGCCCGATCCTCGCCCCGGAGCGCGCGTCCCAGACACCAACCCTGTTGCGCGCCTCGCCCGCCGCGAGTGCGGTCCCTTGGCAGCTCCAAGCCAGCGGGCCGGCCGTCGCCTGCTTGATTTCTAGCGCCGTCTTGCCCGTGACCAAGTCGTGGACTACGAGGGAGTTGCCACGGTGCTCGACACCTTGCCCGGGCTGTACCGCCCCCCCGGAGCGCAGCGAGGCAAAGCGGCCGCTACCGATGCCGGCAAGGGGAGCCATGACGGCGTGCGAGCCGGCGGCCTTGGTGTAGCCGCGCTGCGAGCCGATGCCAAAGACGTCGACCCAGAACTGGGCCGTCTGCGGGTCGGCATAGACAGCTAAGGCGTGGAGGTCGGATGGCGACGAAGTAGGGCATGGCGTCAGGCCGACTTGGTTGATTTCTGTCGTGGAGCAGAGGCGGCGGTAGCGGAGAGTGAGGCCGAGGCGACGGCCTTGGGAGAGCTTTTGTTGGTGGTTACCAGACGGGCTGGGCGTGAGAGGATGCATCTTGGACATGATATGCGGGCGTGGGCGGGAAGATTCGAGTCAAACACTGCACAGGTGAAAATTGTTGCCCTTGGTTGAGTGCGAGTGACGATGTCGACGGTGCTGATGATGATGATGATGCCCTGTCCAGTCACATTCGGCACCAACATCCTCATCCTATCAACCGGGCAATCCTCGTCCCTTTAACCTCAATCTTAGCTCTCGCAGCCGAGCTCCCTCGCGCACGCATCGAGTCGTTGCCGGCATGGCGACGAGTCACTTTCACGCCGAGCTTCGGTATCGCCTGTTGCAGAGGCTAGAGATGCCTTGGTGGCCCAGGTTGACAATGGGGCGGTCTGCAGTTGGTGTATTTTTGTGTTGAAGTCGATGTTAGCACGGCTATTTCTCGGAGCAAGTAATTGCCTGTGTTGGCCAGCTAGCTACCCCATTCCTGTCAAGAGCACCATCGTATGCTCACATGACGCCCTCTTGCCCAATCCGTCTCGCCGAAACGCCACTTGAGCGCTCCCCAGCTCCCTTTTGACACCCACTTCTATTAGACGTCTTCTCCAGCCTGAGTCACGAGGCACAACGGGCGCCGGCGAGACAAATCGGGCATAGCGCCCGTTGCATCTTGGCTCTTGTGCGGGGTGCCGGCCAATGCCGGCCGGCAGTGACTGGCTGATGCGCCGACTGCGGAGGCTCCTATTTCTACTGTAACACGGCATTTACATGACCAGCGAGTCTCAACTGGCTGAAAACCGCACGGCCAGTTTACCATTGTGCATCCGACAACGACGTGATCAACCACACCTTGTCAGCGCACCGCCCTGTCAAAGCACGTCGACTTCATTTTTGGCCTGTTTACCTGGGGGATGGATTGTTCAAGCAACGGCAATGGCCAGCTTGCTGCGATCCCAGGCCTCCGCTTCTTTATTTCCAAGCCCGATTCGAGAGTGGCCGTTCTAACACATAAGCATAGGCGTGTTATTATTGCTGCTTCTGCGACCTCTTTGAGCCCTGCAACCCGATCCCGGCAAGGAAGCATATCCTCATCGTAGCTCCCGCATAGACCCAGGGAATGTTGGCCAGGTGGCTAATGTTCCAGCCTGCCGGGGTGTAGTAGACGTTGAGACCAAGCTCCTTCATAGCATAGAGATGGCCAAAGTCGGCTATGAGCAGCACCGCGAGGACGGTGCGCCAGACGCGCAGATCCCACGTCGACCGCAGCACGAGAGCCTCGTTGAGGGCGAAGAACAGGTACATGTTGGCAAGCTGGGACAAGGCCACCGAAGTGCTGGGCGGTACTCGAGAGGGAGCCGACTCGGCGTGGAGCAGTTGCAGATACTGCGTCTGTCGGAGATGGCTGAAATAGACCCCCACAACGGCAGACATGGGCTCGATGAGAAGGAAGAAGACGCGGTAGGCGGCGGGAAGCCGAAAGCCGATTCGTTGGGCGCTCATGATGCCGAGGTCGAGTGAGCGTCGCCGTTGACGACGGAGTCGAGAGTTGAAAGATTTACACGGCTTATGTAAATACTGATGTCACGGGTAAATGTTGACCCGCAGTCACGAGCTGCCAAGAACGTCAAGGTTGGCAACTCTTGATCAATTTTGCCGAAGCTGGAAACCAGCTTTTGACAGGCCTTCACTCGAGAGACACCATTAACCAGCACCTGCAGGTGGCCCCGCGAATCAACGGCAGATGGAGTTGCTTCGCCGCGTGCGACAGTAGGACAAGCCCGCAGTAGCATTTCCGAAGCCCGCCGGACAGTATCGCGAGGGCCCCCATTGGACTCGGCAGAGAGGCTCGTCTCGGCCGTGTCGTGCTCGACAAGACCATGCATGGCTGCCGGAGCATCGCTTCGTTTCATATTCACCTCGCCCAACAGCAATGGTGGCATCTGTCGCGGCACGAATTTTCGTCGGCAATTTTCGTCGGCGCGGACCCGAGTTTTCAAGGACTCCCTTGCGCCGACGTGTTCGGTGGAGAGAGGAATGCAGATGAACCTGCGTCTGAGTCAAGGCTCGGGAGGCATCAGTCTTGCCAGAAGCGGGACACATTGGCACCCGATCAACGAGGTTTTACTGCATGCATGCTCCGTCCTTGCACTCTATGCTTTTTGCACAGCTGATGGCATCTATGACTGGCTCCGGAGAGTCAAGGTTTTGCAATAACTCAAGGAAAGAGGACGACTTTTACGGCTCGGCATCGCCGCATGTCAGAAAACCGTCGGCGGCACTGTAGATGCGGAGTCGGGTTCTGAATGATGGTGCTACGCGACTCATGCAGCGCCCGCTGTCGACGATTAGCATGGCCAACGATGCCTCGCAGCAATGCGAGATCAGCGATGAAGTCTGCTCACGAAAACGACAGGTGTCTACAACACAGTACGAAATACGTACAGTACAAAACAGTCTAATCAAGTGTCGGGGTCGTCCGTACTGTAGCTACTCCGTACGGAGTAGACGTTGGTGAGACGATCTTGGCGTGCCGTGACAGGGCTCGAGACGGGGGATACCTTGCAATAGCATATGCCACCTGATCCACGACGCATTGCGAAAAAGCAGCTGGACGCAGTGAGAGATAGGTCTCACAAAAATCAACGCGCATTTACCTGCACCGTGTTAGCTACATCCTCGTCGGCCCTATCCCTAACCGTCATACCTACCCTACACTGTGCTTCTGTACGTACTTTCAAATAGTCGTAACAGCTGCCGCATTATTGAAGCTGTCACGACTAATTAATAATAAAGAGATGCTTCAAGTTGCTATTTCGTCGAGTCAATAAGAGACTGCTTCTGCCACCCCAAGCATTGGGAATCAACTTCTTATCCCAGCGCTATTATCACGAAGCCTGTCTGCGTGTGGCGGGCGGGCTTCTTTGCAATAGGTTTACTTTTCACAATGCGTTGTGGATCAGGGCCCAGGTCTTGGGGCATTGAATTGCGACTGCCTGGCTTGAGGGCTGCTGGTGTCGACTTATTTGCTTTTCCTCTGCGGTGCTCGAGCTGTCAGACGCGCACCCCGGCACCCGGTTGGGAACATTCACATGTTCCTCTCCTTTTCTCTCAAGCCGCCTCGGGTGCACAAACCCGGGGATTGGAGTCAGCCTGGCTGCGCGCAATACGAGGGGCGCAGGCAGCGCTGGTTGGATGAGCCGAGCCTCTGCTGACGGCGTCTTGGCTGCATCCAGTGGCGGGCTTGCCGTGTGCGCAATGACGCCCTGGGCCCACTGTATGTACAGGCCAACAGCACCTCGTTTTGGGGTGGCTAAGGAGAAAGCTACAGTGGCGCCCAGCAAAGCCGTTTCGGCGCTAACAGTTCTGGGGGTGGTGGCGGTATAACTAACGGCTCATCACCCAAATTCATCTGCGCTCGGATAGCCCGGTGCTGACCGGTGCAATTGGCTGATACCATCTCATCATCTCGACAGGGGCGCACTCGTAGCTCCCCGGCTTTGGAAGCTCATTCCAAAACAAGGCCCCCCCACAAAGGTACAGTACAGTACACCTAAAGGCCACCTGAAATGCCAGCCTGCGCAGTGCCGAAAGGTACGTGCCCAGCCTCCGCCGCGGTCCTCTAAATTAACGAGATTTGCCCTTGAGTCCTTACTCGTAATTATCCGTTTCTTTTTCTTGCGTCCCTCAACAATCTCCTCGTCTCCCCCCTCACATCGCCTACCTCCTGCGTCTCCCTTCCTTGGTCCCATCGCTGCGGCACGCCTGTTATTCCAAGCACCACTTCGTCGAGCCGGCATCGATACCAAAGACATCGTTCCCACCACGGCGACGCCGCCCCTTGGCCCCGTCGCGATCCACTCCTCGCTTGCCCTCGACCGACCCAGCGTCTTGGCCCTCGTCGGCAGCGAACCCGAGACCTAGAAGCAAGGGCTCCAGAGTCTTATGGCTGCGTGGTAACCAGTGCGCTTCCTGCGCCTGCGCTCCAAGCAGTCGCGTCCTGCCTGCCTACTTGGCTGCTTCTTGTTCTCTGGGCATTCTCCTTCTTGCCTGTCCATCCATCCATGCCCCGACTTCTCGTTCGCCCGGCACGAGCATTTGCCTCTTCGAAATACGTCTGGTCGGTTCCTCACTGCCGCACACGCCGTGCCTTTCCACTTCTCGGGCCTTGCTCCATGCACTGCCGCTTCCGCACTCTCCAACTGCTACCGTCGCTCATTGCGCAACAACCAACTTGAGCCTTTTGCGCCCGAATTTCTGCGGAACCATACCTTTAGACCCTCATCTCCGACTTTGGCATTGCTCGAGCTTGCTCCTTGATACACGTTTTTTTTTGTCTTGCCCTGCCCAACCAGCGCCTTCTCCCTTGCGTCCTAACTGTCGTGGTCCGTGAGCCCGAATCGAGAACGTTGCGCCGTTTAGCCAGCCTTTGTTTTTTTCCCAAGTCTTAATCTTTCTAGGCAATCGCGCTCCTCACCGCCGTTCTCGATTTCACGACATCGATCCCGGGTGCTGCTCAGAGGAATCAGAGCAACTCCCCGCCTTATTGCAGCCCCAAGCAGCGGCTGACCATAAGACCTTTCGCTTTCGCTTTAACTCTCGAATAGAAATTGCGCTCTTTCCTTGTTTCGACGCCTTTCGTTTCGGTCACATTCACCTCCCTCGACACTTGAGCGCGAGGAGGCATCGATTATAATGGCAAGGAGGATATTTCACGTCAACGACTGGGCTCCTGCCCAGGAGGCAATGGTCAGCGACGAAAGGGACCCTTTTACGACGGTCTCAGCGTACCGGCGCGGCTCGTTTGTTCCGATCACGTCTCACGATCAGCGATTTCGGAGTCTGAGCCTGTCCCTGCCATGGCGCCGTCCAAAACCGGCACTGTTTGCTCACGCCGAGATGCAGAAAAGGCTGCAGCACAATGACGACCTCGCCGTGGATGATGCGCCGGACATGCACGAGCTAGGCGACGGCCCAGGGAATGGGCAAAGCGGCGGCTCCTCTAGATGCTTGCGGGGCATGCTACGCCGCGCATCGTTGTCTCTCAAGGGCATGGTCCACAGACGGCCGTCTCAGGCGTCCGAAGTCTCCATCTACGATAAGCAACCCTCTCCCGCGAGGCCGACGACTTCTCACTCCACGTGGAGCCGCCTGCGACATGCCGCGAGCTCCCGCCACGTCCGATCTGTATACGGTCTGGACTTTTCCCAGGACTCCCCCCACGCCTCCCAGCATCTGCCGATGTCATTGAACGTACCCGTTCCGGCCATTGGCAGCGAACCACCCATCATACCGACACACACGGGTGCGGCCGCCAAGGCCTCAGCTGCGATGCAAAACGAGTTCTTCGCGAGGCAGAGCGTACAAAAGAAGTGGCTGTACGCTCCGTCCAGCGAGGACGGCAATGACCGCGAGAGTGGCATCGGCATCTCGGTGACGGCCCCGTGCATCGAAGTGGACGAAGCAGACGACGACTCTGTGCTAGCGCAAGACGCAAGCATCAGCCGACTCGACTTCATCTCCCTGCTTCCCGCCGAGCTGGCCATCCATGTCCTGGCGTTCCTGGACGCCAATGCACTGGCCAAAGCGAGCTGCGTCTCTCGCGGCTGGGACAAAATGATTCGAAACAAACACATCTGGAGAGAGTCATGCCTCAGGGAGACGACACCAACGTACGCGACCGGCAGTCCCGTGTCGCCCGGAGCCGGTCTGGGCATCCCGCCGGTGACGCCCGGGGTGGACTGGAGAAAGGTGTACCGGGCCAAGCACGAATTGAGCCAGAGGTGGAAGGGCGGCAAGGCGCGGCCCGTCTATCTAAACGGGCACTTGGATAGCATCTACTGTCTGCAATTCGACGAGTACGTCCTCGTCTCCCTTCGCGCGCGGCGCAATATGTGTGTTTTCGGGCTCGGCTAACGTAATGCAGGTACAAGATTGTCTCTGGCTCCCGCGACAAGACGATTCGCGTGTGGGACATGCACACGCTCGAGTGCCGACTCATCATCGGCCCTCCCGAAGTCGTATACAACGCAAACCTGCTCCGCGACGACGAGGGGAATGCGATCCATTACGCGTCGAGTTCCGACACCAGGCGGACAGCTCAGTCGACGCCTACGGTGGCGTCGTTTGCCGAGCACCACAAAGCCTCCATCTTGTGTCTGCAATACGACGACAAGATTCTGGTGACGGGATCGTCAGATGCCAGCTGTATCGTGTACGACATTCAGGCCGGCTATCGACCGATCCGCAGACTGCGCCACCACACGGCTGCCGTGCTGGACCTGGCCTTTGACGACAAGCACATTGTGACGTGCAGCAAGGACATCAGCATCTGTGTCTGGGACCGTGAGACGGGCAACCTCGTCCGCCAGCTGCGCGGCCACACAGGCCCAGTCAACGCGGTGCAGATGCGTGGCAACACAATTGTGTCCTGCTCTGGGGACTTTCGTGTCAAGCTCTGGAACATTGACACGGGCAAGAACATCCGCGAGTTTGTCGGGCACACCAAGGGCCTGGCGTGCTCGCAGTTCTCCGAGGACGGGCGGTACGTGGCGTCGGCCGGCAACGACAAGGTGATTAGGATCTGGGACGCCAACACGGGCGAGTGCCTGCGAGAGATGCAGGCGCACGAGAACCTGGTGCGAAGCTTGCACATTGACAGCGTCAGCGGACGCCTGATCAGCGGCAGCTACGACACGGACATCAAGGTGTGGGACATGGAGACGGGGCACCAGCTGCTCGACTTTCCGCGGTGGCACGCAAGCTGGGTGCTCAGCGCCAAGAGCGACTACAGGCGCATCGTCAGCACCGGACAGGACCCCAAGATTCTCATCATGGACTTTGGCGCCGGCGTCGACGGCATCGAGCTGTTGCAGAGCGGCACCTCGGACTTGGATAAGAGAGGGTTTATCTGAGCTCTGCTCGTCTTGGGAAGAGAAGGTGGGGCGAAGGGATATGGCCCTATTTGCCTGGCAACTGCATGAGCGACTCTTGACACTGCTCCTTGCACTCTTTTCCTTTCTTTTTCCGCGTCTTAATTTGTTAACCTTGTTTTGGCGATCTGTTACCTTCCCCCAAAGGGGCTGGATTTGGGTAACGCTTCGAGGACTGGAAAGCCGGCGGCTTCGTTCAACGCGGCATCGGACAGCAACGGCGTACAGGAAAGCGCCTGTGCAAACTGCGATGCAACGAGAGACGCGTGCTGCGTGGAGAGACGATGGCGGGCGGGCGGGCGGAACAATGGATAGACTGGCTCGCCCGGGGATTGTATGGCGGCATAGGAGGCGAAGTAGATTTTGGTAGTTGTTGCGTCATGTACATACAGCATATAGAAAAGGGACGTACATCTTTCTGGGCCATGATTGGGGGCAGGCAGCATTCTCGTCGGGGAGAGATGAAAATGGTGGACCAATTAAATGACGAAATTAATTGGCGCACAGACTGGACTGCCAAGCGTGAAGCAGCGGATGACTCTGAAAGGGACGGTGTTTCCCATTGACGGCATTGGGCGGGCTTTAGCGCCCAAGGGGCTTATTGTATCATGGAGAAGTTTGTCCGACCAGGCCATGGCCGGTCATTTGCCCGAGTAGTAAATTGGAGGAGCCTTTGCTTGACCACTACCCTGAACTGTAACCTGAAATGGTTCCGGGTCAAGGTGATGGCCGAGACAGTGCAGGGTAGCTTGGGCAGTCTAGGGTTATTCGTCGATGGATCCTTGACTAAAAGCCGGGGCCGGTTGTTCTTGAGGGGTGTCCGCACGTGGGCCCGGGGAGGCATCTTGGCGTTTAGGCTGACGGGGGTCCGGGGCGGTCGATTGGACGGCGGGTATGGGTTTGCTGGGTCAGCTGTTTATTGAGGGAACAGGGGGCGAGAAACGGATGGTTGGATGATGGGTGGTTGGGGGATGAAGTGGCAGCACCGAATACGCCCAGGAATGAATGGGATGATTGCACGAGGACAAGTCTGTATTGGGGGCCCGGGGGCATGGGATACGTCAGCGGCTTTTTGGCTGTTTTGTTGTTGAATGTTGTTGGCGTCCTGGGCAAGGGTTGGGGGGAGAAGGAAGAGACGGGACGACGTCTGCAAGATGTGCAGATGCATGGAGAGGGAGAGGGAGAGGGAGAGGGAGGGAGAGAGAGAGAGAGAGGAGGGACGTCTCGGGTTACCATTCAGGAAAAGAGGGCGTTCGCTGTTTAGGGTTCCCCCGAGATTGATTGTCGGGGCCCCAGGAGTTCCAACGTGGGTTTGTGCGGAGATGCATTCGGCCTAGAGGGGGACAAGGGTGGCTCTTGTTTCACTTAGACACGAATGAAGGCGTGAATGGGTTGTGTTACCAAGCAGCGGAAGGAAAGAAGAGTCATTTGGGCGACGTGAAGCAATCATGGGCTGCGGGTGAGTCGCCGGCCAAACACGTGGACAAGACACGACACCCATTCTCTCTGCCAGTCTGGGACCAGGCGCGTGACGGGACGCTTCATCCGTAGGTGCCGGGGGGGGGGGAGGAAATGAGGCTCCGAAGATGGGCGAGACGGACTACAAGGCACGTCTCGATGGGATGGCTTGGCGGGACGGGAGCAGGCAAATACGTTTTCGACCCGGTCAAGGTCCTGCCCGCCCGCAGGCGTATCGGAAGACTAGAGAGAGAAGCACTCGGCATCGCCGCGCCGCACAAGGGGCCCACGACGGTGAGGTGGTTGCCGCGTTGTGTGGCACAGTATTCGCTCCTTTTCCTTGGCCGGGAAAGGAGAAGGCAGGACAGACAAAGACACGGACGGACAGCACCGGGACCCGTGTGTGTGTGTGTGTGTGTGTGTTGTTCTCGAAAGGGCCTAAAAACGGGACAGGATGCTGGAAGCCTCTGGCATCGGGTGGCGAAACTCGCGGCCGAGACCTGGACTCACGACGGAGCCAGTCGGCGTCTTTGCCAGCGGCAGCCTAGCCAGTCGATGCTAGGCGAGCAAAGGCATCGTGCAGCCGGCGTCGATGAGCGGCACGGTCCATTACTTACTCCTTGGAGGCCCATGCGTCGTCCCTTTGATTAGGCGTCTATCTTGTTGAAGCCTTTTTTATTCTATTTTACACCCCTGGGTGATGCCCCGGTCTCAAACGCCGGTTCAACCTCTCGCTCGATGAGTGTAAGCCGGTAGGCAGCCGTGGTTAATAATCCCACAACGCTTGTTGTCAACAGCCGAGGTGTTTTAGATGGCCTCGTGGTCTAGAGTGGTCCAACAGCCCAGAATGAATTCCTCGGGCACTCGCAGAAAAAAGGCAAAGGGGCAAGCGCAGCTCGAGATGAGATGAGGGTGGTGGAAAAGAGAGCGGCCCAGGTGAAACGGGGCTATTTGTGGACACCGAGAGACAGCCTCCCTTTTTTCCACCAGCACCAGCACCAGCACCAGCACCGCCTCCTCCTTTGAGTTTTCCCTTCCTCTCTTGTTTGACAGGCCTTGTACCGTACCTTACTTACCACCTAGAGGTAGATACCGAATGGCCGGCACTCCGTACTCCGTACTTGGTTTATGCTACTCCGTAAGGTACCTGTCGGGTGATGGTCATGGCTGACGAGGGGCCCATCTCACCCACTCGCTTCACGTGCCTCTCTTCCTCTCGCAGAATCGGCCCTACCGTTGCTCATTCCTCCGCGACGCCTCTGCCGTGCGCACGGCCGACACACAATAGGCTTTGCATCCCAGTGCTTCTGCGCGCCACCAGGTTGCACCCCGACCGGCGGCCGATTGACCGATCGACGACGAGGAGCACCAGCCAGCACCGGCCCCAGGCCCATCGAGTTCGGACGGCCCTCATCCCTTGGGCGAGAGCTGTTGCGGCTCACGAGGCTCGATTAAGCGCGCGCAGCGCATGCAACGCAGGAGGAAGACAGCGCGTGCCGGCGAACCGACCTCTCTGCTGCCCGCCTCTGCTGCCCTGCCCGCCTCTGCTGCCCGCCTCTGTTGCCCGCCGTCTTCCTGATCATTCTTGGCTATTCTCCCCGAGGCGCCGTCTGAAACAAACTCGCGAGGCTGCTGCATCTCAGCCAATGACGGGATGCACGCCACCACGTCCCAACCATGGTCCCGCGCGGCTACCGTCGACAGAATGCCACTGCATCAGCAGCAGCTGAGCCCAACAACAGGGCATCGCCATCATGGCCGGGTGAGTTCATTCGTCACCGAGCACGTCCCTCGTCACGTCGCCCCAGATCTGGCCATCTGCCGGGTTCCCGGTACTTTGCTGCTCCACCATGCACACCCACCCAGCCTGCCGCCTAGCCGGGGCTCACAAGTACTGTGTACCTCCTGACAACCACCAACCATCCCTCCCCGGCGCTACCTGCCTCGAGGGCCGACCAGCCTCAAACAATGGCTAGAAAGGCTGGAATGGCCCGAGTATATAGTCAACTATCTGGCCGGCTGTTTCTTCGCGCTTGCCTCTATTTGCTCTATTGTCTCCAAGTCTGAGCCCATTTCCTGCTGCTCTCTCCTATTGTCCCCCCTCGCGCCTGCCGCCTCCACGTCGACACGCTTTACACGCCCTGTCTCTCCTTCCTTCTTCCGTCATTGCTTCTTTTCCTCTTCACTCTCCTGCAAAATCTTCGGCGCATCGGGACTCCTCCTCCTCTTCCCACCTTCAAGCTTCGATTCCTCTTGCCCGCCGTCCCGTGGCCCAAGATCCTGCAAGCGCGCCCGCTCGTTGGATTACAATTTGATTACAACACCCTCCGTCCGAGAGAGCAGAGAGCGGCCTTGGCCATCGCCCAAGCTTCTTCATTGGCCAGATCCGTCGTCCGTCTTGGCTTCCACCGCTCGTCTTCGGTCCCGTCAGCGCCCGTGACTTGGCTCTCTGGGCTCAATACGTGGGTGAGTGAGTGCTACGCCACCAGGTGAAGCGTCGTCATGTTTGCTCGCGCGCGTGCCCATGCAATCACCCTGCCCTCCCTCGCCTTGCTTCTTCCCTAGCCCTTTCTTCCCCTTGCTCCCCTCAGCCCTATCACCAGCCCCGGCACGGACGGGTGCATTTGCTCCCAATCAAGAAGGTGTGCCATCGCGACTCTTGGCTGAGGCACGCTTCGAGCGTCGTGACCTTGGCTGTGCAGCGCGTGGCTGTCTCGGCCTCTTGGCCTTCCGAAGGCCTTGTTCGCACCTCGTCATCGCTGCATCCTTTGTTGATTCACGTCCTCGTCTGGCGGTTAAAAGGCCTTGCTCGCCAGCTGTCCGTGCCAGCTCCTCCCCTTTCTTCCTTTCAGCAGCTTGCCCATCTTTCCTTCAACTCGCTGCGTCTTGCCTTGACTGCCTCATCATCACGTCCCGCACACGCTGCCGCCTTTGACCGAAGCCGGCTTCACCACCCTCCATGCCTTCTTGCCTGCCTTGAGCTTCTCTCGTTACACTTGGCCGTATTCCTTCATGTACAGCCTCGCCCGTCTTTGTTGATTCATCCTTCTTCACCTCCGCTGCTCATGGGACCTCCTCTGGGCAAGCTTGCCGCTTCAAACCTCGGCTAACGCCCTCTTCTCCCGCAGACCACACCCGCGTCTCGGCATTTTCGAAGAAGCAAACACGTCAGCGGCTGCTTCTTGTTCGCCATGGGGCTCTCGACGATCCTCACAGCCTCCGTCTTGGCCTTGCGCCTCTTCTCTCCCCCGTCCGCCGCGTCGCCCACTCCCCAGGACGATGCTGCGCCCGCCTCGGCTGTCTCATCGCCTGCGCCCGCCGACTCGCCCGCTCCCACGAATCCCTACGACTCCATTGGCGAAACCGCCACCTCGGGCTGGTGGATGTCTAGCATCAAGCGCCAAGGAAAGCCTGCCTTCAACCAAGCCGACTACAAAGTCTTCCGCAACGTCAAGGACTATGGCGCCAGGGGCGACGGTAGCAGCGACGACACCGATGCCATCAACAGGGCCATTACCGAGGGCAACCGCTGCGGCCAGAAATGCGACTCCCAAACCACCACGCCCGCCATCGTCTACTTCCCTCCCGGCACCTACCTCGTCTCCAAGCCCATCGTTCCCTACTACTATACCCAGCTTATCGGTGATGCTGTTGGAATGCCCACCATCAAGGCCAAGCAGGGCTTCGTGGGCATCGCCGTCATCGACTCGGACCCCTACGACCCCAACGGCGTCAACTGGTGGACCAACCAGAACAACTTCTTCCGCCAGGTCCGCAACTTTAGGATCGACCTCACCGGCCTGCCCAAGAACACAGGCACCGGCATCCACTGGCAGGTCGCGCAGGCCACCTCGCTCCAGAACATCGTCTTCGACATGGTCAAGGATAAGAGCGAGGACAACAAGCAGCAGGGCATCTTCATGGACAATGGTTCCGGAGGCTTCATGACGGACCTCGTCTTCAACGGCGGACGCTATGGCGCCTTTCTCGGCAACCAGCAGTTCACCACGCGCAACCTCACCTTCAACGACTGCAACACGGCCATCTACATGAACTGGAACTGGGTCTGGACCTTTCACGGCCTCTCCATTAACAACTGCGGCGTGGGCATCGACATGACACAGGGTGGCGCCGTTCAGACCGTTGGCTCCATACTAGTACTCGACAGTACCTTTTCCAACACTCCAGTTGGTGTTGCTACCGTGTACAACCCACAGCAGTCGGGAACCAACGGCACTCTTGTCCTTGACAACGTCGACATGACCTCAAATGTCCCCGTCGCAGTCCAGCTTGGCGGCCAAGACAAGAGGACGGTCCTGCAAGGCAACACGCTCGTCAGCTCGTGGGCTCAGGGACGCTCCTACGAGGGCGCCAACGGCAAGGCGGGGCAAGGGCCGCGGGAGCCCGTCACGAAGCCCGATGCTCTCGTGGACCAGAGCGGCAGGATCGCCACCAAGAGCAAGCCTCAGTACAACAACGTGCCCGCCTCCAAGTTCGTGTCTGTCAAGTCCAAGGGCGCCAAGGGCGACGGCAAAACCGACGATACCAACGCCATCCGCAATATTTTCCAGCAGGCCCGCCCCGACGACATCATCTACTTTGACCACGGCGCCTACATCATCACCGACACGGTCCAGGTGCCCAAGGACATCAAGGTGGTGGGTGAGATTTGGCCGCTCATCATGGCGGCCGGCGACAAGTTCAAGGACCAGGACAACCCCAAGCCCGTCTTCCAGGTCGGGCAGCCGGGCGACGTCGGCAATGTCGAGATGCAGGATCTCATGTTTGAGACGCAGGGCCCTCAACCTGGTGCAATTCTCATGGAGTTCAACGTTGCCGGAAAGACGCAGGCCTCGGCAGGGCTCTTTGACGTGCACTTTCGCGTTGGCGGCTCCGCCGGCACCCAGTTGCAGATGGACAAGTGCGTCAAGAACCCGTCCGTCCAGGCGGACCCCAACCCCCAGTGTATCGGCGCCTTCATGCTGCTGCACATTACGTCGTCCGCCAGCCCCTATCTCGAGAACGTCTGGATGTGGGTGGCCGACCACGAGCTCGACATCCCCCCCTACACGCAAGTCAACATCTACAACGGCCGCGGGGTATTGATTGAGAGCACAAAGGGCGCTTGGCTGTGGGGCACTTCGTCTGAGCACAACGTCTTGTCCAACTACCAGCTTCACAAGGCCCAGAACGTCTTCATGGGCCTGATCCAGAGCGAGACGGCCTACTTCCAGCCCAACCCGGACGCCACCAAGCCCTTCAAGTCGAACCCCAAGTATGCCGACCCCGACTTTTCCAAGTGCACCGGCCCCAAGTGCGCGCGCACCTGGGGCTTGCGCATCAATGATTCCAAGGACGTGCTGCTCTACGGCGGCGGCCTCTACAGCTTCTTCGACAACTATGGCCAGGTCTGCGTGGGGCAGAACAACTGCCAGGACAACATGATTGCCATCGACAACTCCCAGGTCGAGCTCTTCGGCGTCAGCACAAAAGCCAGCATCGCCATGGTGACTTTGGATGGGCAGCCCGCTGCCAAAGATTCGGACAACCGCAACAACTTTTGCGCGGCCATTGCAGCCTTTGAGACGTCGTAGGGCGGCGATCTCGAGGAGCTGGGCGATGGCTCTGTTCCCAAGGCGAACCCGCCGACTCCCTCCGGCGGTGGCAGCAGCGCGCTTCCAGCACGAGGCGCACCCCCCGCGGCGGTCAGCGTGGAACCCGCGGCTGTCCACGGAGAGGCGTCTTGGTCTTGTGGCGCCGTGACGACAATCATGGCGACCACGACGATATTCATCACGGTCACTGCGATTCCCTGAACATAACGACTAGACGTACATATATGAAGAAAAATGTCGGAGGTAAAGCATTGGGCATGTCGTTCTGTCTAGCCACATTTTTTCTCCCCACACGCGTTTCTTGTCTGGCTCCTCGCTTCTCGGCACGTGGGCGGCATGGGGTTGGAGACGACGTGGAGGCGCTCGCCAATGCATCTTGATGAGTGCAGCCCTTGGGCCAACGCGTCGGGGAGGATAGGTTGGACGAGCGTTCGGATTTGTGTAGTAGGCAGTTTTTCCCTAGACAGCTCTAAAATATAAGACAGACGCATAGTTGAAAACGTTCTGGCGAATTGTCCCTGCATGATTGTGCTGCAAATCAGGCGGAGACCGGCGAGTGAGTCAACGCTTTGGGCAGTGATAGATGAGAGTAGGCAAGGCCATGGAGGAAAGGGACGCTTCCAGGTAAACGTTTCCATGGGGATACTGGCAGCTCATGTGGCAAAAGGGGAGAAACAGAGCCAGTAGATAAAAAAGAAACAAGTCGTAGCGAGCTTGGGTGAATCAGGTCCAGATAATATTCGAATGTGATGAAGCAGCACGGCGGTTCGAATAGGGGGCTTCGGAAAGAAGCATGACGTACAAAAATAGAGACGAGGGCTCTTCCGAGCAGGATTGGTAGAGAACACAAGGTCACAACTACCTTGACTGGAGATCGCAGCTACCTCGCCGGGATCATACGTAAATGTTTTGACTTATCAGGACTGGGAGCAGGTCGGAGGATGACGCACAGGGCTGGTGGAGACGACTCGGAGATATCCAAATGCACCGCCTCAGCAAAGCGGAGCTGTGACCGTGGCGCAGGAGATGTGGCGTCAGCTGTATTGAATCCATGACAAGTTCTACGTCACCCACCTCGGCTATTGGTAATGACTAAGAACAGCCTGCTTTGTCTCGCCCGCTTGACCTCGAATCTCGTCCTACCGACCGGCTCGACCGAAGCCGATGAGCGCACGCTAGAACGCCAATCCCCCGCAGCCATCGCCGACCGCACCGCTCCATCCCTCTCCCATGGCCACCATCCGCCGAGCCGGAGGAGCAGGAGGAAAAGGAGGCATGGAGGAAGAGACTGCCGGTGCTCCCAACAGCCGGGCGGAAGCGCCGGCGCGCCACCCGCCGCACCTGCCGACGCCGCTCGAGCGGGCGGCGCTCGCGCTGTTCCCCGTGATGCTCGCCTTCGGGACCGTCTTCTCCCTCGTTTCGCCCGAGACGCGGGCGGCGCCGTACGACGCGGCGTCGCAGTCGCATGCACAGGACGCGGCGGGGGCGCCGAGTTACTTTGCACGCAAGTCAAACGTCTTCAATGTCGTCTTCGTCAAGCGTGGCTGGGGGTGGACGACGCTCGCCTTTGTTGTCTTTCTCGTCACGCATCCCAGCTACGGCAGCAACGACAACAGCAGCAACACCGGCTGGGACCTGACTCCGAGGCGTGCCCGCGCGGCGCTCCGGTGGACAGCCGTCACCGGGTGGTGGTTTCTCTTTACGCAGTGGTGTCTGGGCCCGCCCGTCATCGACCGCGGGTTCCGCTGGACAGGGGGGAGGTGTGAGCTTGCGCGGCGCGAGGTGGAGATGGGCGATGCGTCGGACGTGGGCGTCGGGGAGATGCTCACGGCCGTGGCGTGCAAGGCGGCGGGCGGGCGGTGGCAGGGCGGGCACGACATCTCGGGCCACGTGTTCCTGCTCGTCCTCGGCACCGTCTTTCTCATGCACGAGGTTGGGTGGCCGCTGTTGCGGTGGAGCAGTGCCTGGCGCGAGGAGAGGTGCGTCGTCATGCCCGACGGGGCCATCAAGGGTGCAGGCGTCGAGGCGGGCGACCCGAACTCCAATCAAGGACGAAGTCGACCGGCCGACGGCTGGGAGGGACGCTATGCGCTCGGGGCGGGTGGCAAGATTGTGCTGGTGGTTGCGGGCTTGAACCTGTGGATGCTGCTCATGACGGCCATTTACTTTCACACCTGGTTCGAAAAGGTACGTCCCCTTTCCTTCTTCCCGGGTCTAGGTACTCAAGGACGTTGCTGACGGCTCGGTAGTTGACGGGTCTTTTGACGGCGCTGCTGGGATGGTATGTCGTCTATGTTGTGCCGCGCTTCGTGCCCGCGCTGCGGGCGTGGGTGGGACTGCCGGGGATATAGGGGGATGAAAATGGAAGGCCGGTCATGGGTGAAATGGGAATGCGTGCGTGGGAGGCTTGGTTTGGTTGGCTGTGTATAGCAGGAATGTCTTGGAGGACGGTTGCTGCGGACTCGGGGAGAGGATGAATGATGAGGAGACGGTGGCCCGCAAGTAGAGGGAGCATGGTGGTATATCCGGCGGACTGGTTTTAGATGACTACCAATCGACAGAGACATAGAAGCCAAATTATAGGGACGTGAACTGGATCAGAAAACATCTGTTCTGGTCTCATCTCGAAAGGGTTGGCCTGGTTGCGGGGAGACTCAGCTACCCTATACTTACCACCGCTTCTTCCCCTCCTCGGTCACTACTCACATTTCGTCTCACTCGTCGCCCCATCGATCGGATCGAACAAGAAGAGCAACCATGTCGCGGGCGGCAATCAAGGCCCCTGCACAACTGCCGGAGCTGGTGAGGGCGGCGTTTGCAAAGGCCCGCACGGAGGGCGAGGTGCAATATTTTCCCACAAAGGTGACGCTGCTGTCGGTGGGATCCATTCCGGTATGGCAGCTCGAGGCATCTACAGTCTCCCATGGGTAGCCTTGGACCGGCCGACTGACTCTCGTACCCCCAGTTTCAACTCCGCTTCTCCCCGGCCCTGGCCAACAAGCCGCAGCGCGCCGGCCACGCGCCGCGGGAGCAGCCCGTGGACCCGTTTGCGTACCCGCCGCGCCGCCTGTTCGTCGCGGACCTCGGCCCGTCGCATTACCTGGTGCTCAACAAGTTTGCCGTTGTGCCGGAGCACTTTATTCTCGCCACCAGGGAGTTTAGGCCCCAGACGGGCGTGCTCGACGAGGCCGACTTGGAGGCTACGTTGGCGTGCATCCGGGCCTACCGGGACTCGCGGGAGGATGGGGACGGGCTGTTTGCGTTTTTCAACGGTGGTGAGCACTCGGGGGCCAGTCAGCCGCATAGGCATATCCAGCTGTTGCCCGTGGCTAGGATGAGGGAGGGCCTAGACGACGGCGCTTCATGGAGCCTCCTCGCCACGAGCCCCCATCTCGACAAGGCGCCCTTTGCCACGTTTTCGGAAAAGATTAGCCAGAGCACGTCGCCGCGCCACCTCCACGCAGCGTACCTGCGCCTCTACCGCCAAGCATGCCACGCGGCCACGGGCACGGCGCTACCTGCTGGGGATGAGGGCGAGGGCGAGGCGCGCATCAGCTACAACCTGGCCATGACCGAGGACACGCTGGTGGTGTGCCCGCGGCGGGCCGAGGGCGGCGAGGTACGCAGGCCGGCAGAAGGCGGCGGCGGCGAGGTGGTGGGCAGGCTGGCGCTCAACGGGACGGTGCTGGCGGGCACGGCGCTGGTGAGGAAGCAGGAGGAGTGGGACGCGCTGAGGGAGGATCCGGGGGGGTTGGTGCGTGTGCTTGGGAGGATTGGGGTGCCGAGGGGGGAGTGAGAGAGGGGTGCTTTGCGTGGTGTTTTATTCACATGGCTGGACGCTCCAACTTGTGATGTTATCCGAGGAGATGAAGGCGCCACGGAGAAGCTTGGAAAGAGTTCAGTAAACAAGTCGATAGACGAGATATCTGGATTAGAGCTCAAGATACGGCACAGTCCACTTCGTAGATGAGTCCCATTTGCTCAGCCTTCACCGTTTTGTCCGTCTCTCCCTATCACCATTTTATTCCCCTCTCGCAATCACCATTTTGTTCTCCTTTGTCAGGCACGTCTTGCATGGCCCTTGCTGCCTCTAGATCTAATACCCTGCCCCCCATCAGACTCAAATGAGTCCCGAGTTTGCTCAAAAGAGCTGCTGTGTTTTGCCCATGTCCTGAGATCGCCCGTCTAACCCTAGCGCCGATGCTTTTCGCCTTTTCTCTCATCATGTTCGTGTTGCGTGTTCGTGTCGTGTGTCTCCTTGCTCGGTGAGATGGCCCTGCAGTCTGTGTGTCTGGAAAGGGGGAGTCCCCAGGGCGTACAGCCGACATGAATACGAAAGTTATGTCGAAACAAAAGAAATATATAAAGATGCAAAAGATCCACTGATGGAAGACAAAAGAGATGGGGGTGTGTTCGGCGGCGCTGACTCTAGAGTTGGCCGGCCTGGAGCAATCTCCATTTGCGGCTACAGGCGGTGATGCCGAACTTGTACGACCCACCGTTGTTATAGATGTACCGACTGACGGCCGTCCACGAGATCTTACGTCTGAGAGACGTGTGGTGTTGATACTGTACGGCTTCTTGGAGGAGGAGGATCTGAGTAATGCGCGGTTAGACATGAGACGACATGATGACCTCAAGAGAGGCAGAACAGAGAATCAGGCAAGGAAAGGGATCTTACATCATACGGCTCCCAAACAGGCCGCCGGACTCGCTGCTCCTTAGGCAGCATGAGTTTACGGCGGTGGCCCCGGAGCGTCTCCTCGGCCCCGGAAAACACGTGGCTCAGCTTCCTTAAGATGATGCTGTAGGGCACCTTCTTGTCGCGGCTTTCGGCACGGTCATTGAGCAGCATCGTCTCCACAAATGTCTTGGTGACGGGATCCATGTCATCGATTTTGCCAAACCGGGTCCCCTTCGGCTGCTGCGATGTAGAAGAAGCAGGGGAAACAGAAGGAGCAGAAGAAGCAGGATCCGAATCAGAGCAAATGGACGACGACGGGGAGCGGTCCTGGGCCTTCATTTTGGATGAGAGACGGTTGCTTCGTCGTACCCGGGAGACACGTCCTTCCATGACGGGTGGTATTTCAGGGGCGATGCTGGGGAGTCGCTTCCTGGACCTGCGTGCGGGGGTCCTGGTGCTTGGGGACTTACTCTTGGCTGACGCCTTGCCCTCGCGGCCTGAAAAGGCCATGGCAGGGGAGGAGGAGGCACAAGGTAGACTCGGGTCAAGACCAGAGACGCCCCCAGCGGATCCGCCGGCCTTGGAAAGGGACAGGGCGCAGGGAAACTGGCCCTCCAAGTCGGACTCTTCGGACATGCCAGAAAGAGATGCCCCCGAGGACCACGACCCCAAAGGAGACGAAAAAGTCTCCCAAAAGGGGGGCAGCGGCTGGGAGACGGGCTGCGGGAAGAAGTAGGACGGCGATGAGTCAAGCCAGCTCTTGGCCGGGGCGGTGAATAACCCCATTTCCGTCTCCGGGTAGGGCGAGATGCTGCTGCCCTCAACTCCATCCAAGCAGGGATAGCTTACGTCCTGGAGGACCAGAGGGGGAGCAACCGTCGACGCTGCAAGCGTGTCGGCGCCGGGAAGCTCGTACGTCGGCCACGGAATACTCAAGGCAATGTCTGTCTGTCCAAAGGGGTCCCACGACGCGGCCGGCATGAGGGCGGCCTGCTCCTGGACGTGAAGATTGTGCTGCTGTTGCTGCTCGTGGCACCACCAGTCCGGAGAGTAGCTGCCCAAGCTGCCGTCGGCTACGATGGCGGCGGACGTGGCGGGCTCCCCATCGCTCCAGGTTGGGGCGGCCGTCATCATGAGGCTGGCCCTTCTCTTTATACCCTCGGCCTCGTGGAGCCAATGGGCGTAGCCGGTAGACGGGGGCAGCAGTGGGCCTTCGGCGTTGTGCTCGGGCCTGGGAAGGATGACTTCGGGGAAGTAGTTCGGATCCTGTGAGTTTAGACGAAGATGTGTCAGCTGACGGTTCTTGATGTTTGTTGAAGCCATATAGCGAGGTGGAAAATCAAACAGAAAAGGAGAAATGAGAAGGGAGCCAGGTATGCCTGCAAGTTGAGAACACGACGGGTCCGACACAGCAACAGGGATGAGGGTGGTTTTGTGATGGCTTGGGAACGGGAACATTGCTTCTGCAGATAGGGGATAGTTTGGTGGTGAATATTTCAAAAGAAAAGACACTGAAATAAATTGAACACGGCGGGTATTGGAACAAGACAGAGAGAGAAAGAGACTTACAAAAGTGCGTCCGCTCTGATGGTAGTAGCTTTCGGAGAACACCATATCCCCTCGCACGCCGCCAGGGCAGTAGTCATAACCGCCAGAGTTCAACATCGTGATAATGAGGACGTGTTCGAGGCACCAAGCGTTTCGGTAGAGGCAGACGAGTTCTTAAGCTTTTTAAACGTTCTCCGTATCTTCTAATAGACTTGTTCCGAGTCGACACCCGTTGTTGAGGCCTGGACCCTGGTCCAAAGCAACGACAAGGAAGAGGGCTGACTGACTTTCTCGAGATTTTGTCGAATTCTACTGCAGCTTGCCGCTATCGGGAGTTAGCGGTGGACAAGAATGGGTGGAATTGCAAGCTGGAGGGAAGAATATTCGTTTGGAGCAGACTTACAGAGACGAAGAACTGCGAGGTGAAGTGTGGTTGGAGTGAATTCAGAAGGAAACGCAGACGGGAGCGGCGGCAGCGTGCCGTCCAGGTGGGCCTGGAAGCTCCCAGGCTAAGTAGATGGTGAGCGGCGAGTTGACCTCGCCGAGTTGTAGACGAAGATGGGAACGATGATGGATTAAGGGGAAGGTTGATGATGAAGAAAACTGGTAGAAGAAAGAGAAGGAAGAGAGGATGGGGGAGACGCTTTGAAGATATCTCAGAGAGAGATGGGAACTATATATGGGGCTCCTGATGGGACGCTCGTGTTTCAAGGCCTGACAGACAGTAGGCCTGTTGTCGGTGAGGGCAGTAGTGAATCAATGATGGATGGGTCCTTGACGAGGGGGGAGTGAGCATATGAATGACCAGAGAGACGCCACCGCATCTACCACGTGCTGTTGAAGACTGGCAGCAGGGGGCAGAAGGGCAGGCCATGTTTCGAGCCCGAAGCTGAGATGAGAAGCATCAACGGCCAATCAATGAGGCCTGTTCCCTGAAATGCGTGAAATGGAGGCAAAATTTCTCGCTTGGGCGTTCATGGCGCTCACAGGTTGCTCCTCAACGCGTGTTGTGCATCAGGAGGCTTCTTTCCGGGGCCAGGGGGGGTGAAGACTGGGGTGGAGGCGCGGGTTCTTCGTCTGTTTCTTTTTCGAAGCTTTGCCATAAGATGTGATGTGACTTTGTTCGACTCCACTTCCTCCTGGGAATCCAGCCAGGGGACGATGGCGGGCGTCCAAGCTTTTCCCGTGAAGCTCATCCTGGCCGCTTTCTATCATGAGAACGATACTGGGGACCTGACGTGCAGATCGATTGTGAATTTCTAAGAGAATGTCTGGCAGTCACGTCAGAAACAACAGCCACGTCGCGTGGCGTGCCTCCAAATCACCACAAGAGGCCGAGGAGGCGAGGATTGACGCGTGGCCGTTGCCTCTGTACGGGGACACCAGCTGATTCGACGCTGAAGCTTCAGTCCACGAGTGAAGAGGCACAACTAGATGTCGGACGGGGGGTAGCTTGGATTTGATGGTGATCCAGGGTGGGTCGTGAAGATGAAGCACGGGGCGCGAGAAGAGGGGCTGGGGCTTGACGTGGGGGAAAGGCCTGGAGGCGTGGGTTTTGGTGTTGGCTTCCATGGTGGACGAGCAGGTTCTGGGACGGGGGAGGAGATCTGTCAAGCGGTTGTGGATCATGTCATATTGGGGAGAAGATGCTCGTCACAAGCTAGCATGATATCATCCACCTTCGTTGCAGCAAGCAGCAAGCACCAGAAGAATAATGTCCCGGCTCCTCTCCCTTGGTCAGCCACGAGCCATCAGGAAAGAAGAAGACATCGTGAATGAGCCGCCAGAGGGCCCGTGAAGACCCCAGCCGCTGCAGAGTGAATTCTCCGTGTGCGGCGTGCCTTGCATATATCCCTCGCCTGCCTTTCCGGGGGGGGGGTGTGCGTGGCGGAGATCGCGGCACCCAGACCCCCTCCCCCCCTTGGATACGCCACGCAGCATCGACTGTTCTGCCGGATTCAGATCACTTCAACCTTGATGCCCCCTCCCCCCCCTATCCCGCCACGTCCGTGTCGTCGGCGTCGGGATGCGTCCCGGCCACGTCTTTCTGTCCCTGGCTGTCAGGGGGGGTGGGAGGGGGGAGATCGGAGGAGGAGGGCCGTTTGGGGGTCGTGTAACGGGGCATGGGGCGCTGGCAAGGCACAGGGCTGCATTGTAGGTGCAGTGGTAAGGCTGCTTCTTGGCAGTGTCTGCCGTCCTTTGTATGGGGAATGGTAGATTGTGCGCTCTGGGGCTCTCGGCCACGCGTCTTGTGCCTCGGCGGCATCGTGGGGAGAAGAAGATTGATTTGGTGTGGATAGCTCCGGCAGGATGGGTATGTCTCCTATGACGAGAGGGTAGCTTGGCTTGCGTCATGTCGTGCCTAACATGGGGAGGAGGCCCATCAGACGACTCAACCGTGGCCCGTATGGGCGGTTATCCAGCCGTGTAGTTTCAAACTCGCGGGTCACGTCCGTTTGCTCGCCCGCCCTCTTTGGTTTCGATTTCTTTTTCCTCTCGCCGCTTTCCGAATCGCCCTCTACCCATGATACGAAAAACCCAAGAGAAACTATGTAGACCCCTTTCCTCGCTCGCCCCAGGTCTGGCCAAGCAAGCATCAGATCAGACGCGGCGTCGACCCAACGCCACAGCCACGGGAGAGCCCGACGACCGGTTTCTTGGAATTGACAGTATTGCCATTCCCAGTTGGTCGTGCATGAGACCTGTCACGCGTGCCCAAGTCTCCGGGCCCCGTCCCTTGTGTTGCTTCGGCCCCTCCGCGCTTGGTAGCTGCAGGGCGGGAGGAGCTGGGATCTGGAAGAGCTTCCCGCTTTTGGTCGATGGGGGTTCCACCAACGACGAGGAAGACGACGATGACGGACTTCTTGTTGCTATACAAGTGGACGAGGTGATGGCAAGGGGTGTTGCTCTCCAACTCCAGTCTCTCCTCCGTGTCCCCCAGCCCTCCTTCGCTCCGTGACGCTGAAACCCTGCCAAGAAAAACGATTTCAAACCCGTTGCAATGCGTCTCTCATATTCCCTGGCAATATCTCAAACAACCCATGAACGCCCGTGTCGACGGCGCGCCAAGACGACGGACAAGCAGCGGCGACAGGCCACGCGGGAAGCGTTTTCTTTGTTTATGTTTTCTTTCTGCCCTTTACGCTCTTGTTTGCATGTGCGACAACGGCCATGCAGCCGCCGCCGCGGCGTCTGTGGGTGGCCAGGCCAAGGAGAAGAGGGGAGGGGGGCTCCTGTCATCGACGCCCGGCCGCATAAGGCGCGTCCCCCCTCGCCAGGGGGAGAATGCCGATTCGGGCGATTTGATTCTTTTGCGCCTGCTGCTTCTCTGCTGTGCCTTCACCCTCCCCTTGCTTTCCCGCATGCCTTCCCCGACCGGACGAGCCGAGCGGGCACTGCATGAACTGCACATGGCTCTTCGCAGCGTTCGGAGACAAACAAAATACCCCGGCGGGGAGGAGGGGGGTCTGCTCCTGTGCGAAAGACCTGCACGCGTTGTTTGCCCGCGCAGGCGTCTGGACGCAGACAAAGATTCGAGAACACGGCATAGAAGGCTCGCGATTCAAAACCGGAAATAGAGCTAAACGACGAAGCTCCAAAGAGCAAACGACCACCCACCACGGCTACGGAGCCAGGGCCAAGCGGCACGGCCCGGAACGCTGCATGCTCCACAGCAGCAGCCGCACGGAGCCCCGGCCCGGCGCCCCGGCACACACGGTCCATCTCCAGGGCGCCGGGAGCCGGATGTGCTCTCCGCAACCGCGCTGCTCTTTCGCAGAAACGCTCCCGAGGGTTGCGTCTTGCTTGGTTCGGCCACGCGTTGGTCGAGGGCGGGTGGCAAAGACGAGCGGGCAGACACCCTCGGGGAGATCAGGACAAGCTGTCGGCATTCTCAAGGGCGGCACGTCATCGGCCACGCCCACGGCCGCGAGGGCTTGTGCGCCGGGAAGCGAGGGAAAACGACGAGCCCGTGTTTCAAACGGGACAGTCGGGTTCGGGCGGGGACTCGAGCAAGGACCGCTCGGGCTGGAGCGCCGACATCAGAGAGCGGCGTGGCTGCGCGTCAACGCCCGCCACGCCGTCGGCGCACGTACTCGCAGCTGAAGACGGGGTCGAAAGGGAAAAAGATTCGAAAAGCTGTCAGTGCAAAAGACGCCCGCCGTTGTTCCGCCAGCTACAGATTCTATAGATGCTGCTGAGCCTTTGATATCCGCGCCAAAAAAAACCCATCAACTCCACGCAACGTACATGGCTCGATATCCCTCGTGCCTCACCGGGCGCCCAAGTGGTGCCATGTCTCTTGCCCCTGAGCCAGCCTGCTGGGAGGCATGTCGAAATGGCCAGAGCGCCAAAGACGACTCGATAGATGCAAAACGCAGACGGCGAGCTTCAACCCGCTTGTCTAGTCGTCCCACTCCTCGTCCAGCTGGTCAATCAGCCGGTTCTCGGCATCCGAGTTGCGATTTCGACTGCTCGCGTTGGAGTTGAGATGGCTGTAGCCTCTCCTGCTCGGCAGGCAGCGAGCACCCCAAGACCAGACGATGACGAACATGTCCTACACGCCGAGCAAACAGTCAGCCCGTACGGTGGTGGAGGGGCAGCTTGGGCCTCAGCCGAGAAGGACGCACGCTGATGAAGTCCCAGATGCCGGCCCAGAGGCTGTAGTTGGGCAGCTGGCGCCAACCACGGGCATTGGTCACGGCGCGGTTGTAGAAGACGCCGCCCAGGACATAGACGAGGACGGCGATGAGGAGGATGATGCCAAACACGCTTCCCGGGCCGACGCTGCCGGGCTTGTGGGGCTCCGCGTGGGCGCAGGCGTGGGCGGAGCGGGCCTCGAAAAAGTAGGCGCATTCGTCCGGGTCGGTGCCGACAAAGGAGATGCTCGCCTGGGTGTTGCCGGGATCTCGGTCGCAGAGGAAGGAGATGGTGGCCGACTTTCGTCTCAGCGCCGTCTTGTCCTTGTCGTCCTTGGCCAGCTTCTCGACACGGTGGGGGGCCGGCGTCGAGGCTCGTGCGTGGATTGCGCTGCGGCTCTCCTTGGTCGACTTGCCGCCGCAGGGAGAACCGCCATGGTATTGCAAGACCAGCTTTCGTCCGCGGCTGCGCAAGTCCATCGACTCGGATCTGTGTGAACGAGGGGTAAGCATGTCAAGTCCAGAGGCCCCAAGCACACGCGCGACTCAACCAACCCTATCGAATAGATGTTTCCGTGAGCCATGTAATATGCGCTCACGTTGGCCCAGAGATCCTTGTTGAGGCCGACGACGTCGGTCACGGGCTCGACGACGGCGCCGCATATATTGAGGGTAAAGTTTTTGCCATAGTCGTAGCCCTTGGCATGGTAGTCCTTGGAAGCGCCCGTCTTGTGCGGCTGATCCTTGTCGTGGCGCGCCGCCGTGTCCGGCCGCAAGTCGAAGAAGGCTCCGCTGCCCGTCGACGAGGTGGCGGTGCACGCCGGCACCGGCGTTGTCGTGGACGCAGCATGGTCCACTGCGCTGGCCAAGGCGGCGGCAGCGGCGAGGGCAGCAGCAAGGGAGAAGCGCATGGGTCGTCAGGGTCCGAAGGGAGCGGGAGGGCGGGCGTTGGTCAGGCTTGCGCCTGGTTGCGCTTGAGTACCGCGGGGGGGTGCGACTGGCCCGGAGATGCGGTCATCAAAAGTCGCGTATTTCGAATTGACTATCTATCCAAAGGCAGCTCGAGATGGACGGCCGGCGCGGCATCGGTTGTTCGGGCATTCGTCGACTGTGACACATCGTCCAAAATGGCTGCAGCCGCAATCTGGCCCAAGCGGCGGGTCACGGGACTTTGGTCTGGACAGGTTGACAGGAATCCGGCGCGGCAAAACCACTCCTCCGACTTTCCGACCGCCCCATCGCCTGACCGTTCAAGGTACGTACCCGGAGTCATGACGATGAGCCCATCCGGATCGTCCACCTTCCGACGCGTAAAAAATCCAGCTCCAAATTGCACCATCGCATCCTCGCCCGTCATAGGCAAGGCAAAGGGGCTGTGCTCTGAGCCCTTCCGACCGACACATCGACCAGCAGCGCACTCGGCAATGCTTTAAAAGAGCTCGGCGGATCCACTACTCACTTGATGCGCTGACATTCGCTCCATCGACCAGACGCATCCTCGCCATTGCTCCACACCATGGCTCGCACCTCCAAGGCTTCTGCTGCTCCGGCCAAGCACGGCTACGAGTTCTTTGGCCCGTAAGCGACCTCTTCAAGCGCCTGCCACTCGTTCGCTGACCCTCGGTAAAACAGTCCTGGCGCCTTTGGCATCTCGTTCGGCCTGCCCCTCCTCGTCTACCTCTTCGCCTTTGCCTGCAATGACATCTCCGGCTGCCCAGCTCCCGCCCTGCTGAGCCCGCGGACGCTGTCGCTCAGCCAGCTGAAGCTGCAGGTGGGCTGGCCCGAAGATGGCATCTCGGGCCTCGCCAGCTGGAAGGCCACGGTAGCCTTGTTGGGATACTACCTCGTCAACCTGATTCTCTACCGCCTTCTCCCGGCGGCCGAAGTGGAGGGGACCGTGCTGTCCTCGGGTGGGCGTCTCAAGTACAGGTTCAATAGTGAGAATCCCCCGCCCCGGTTTTGGATGCCCGGTGCGCTTACCGGCCTCAGCCATGTACTCCAACACGGTGACCCTCGCCGCCCTAGCCGCCGGAACCGCGGCCCAGGGAGCCGAGTTCCCCGTGTGGACCTTTATCGATGACAACTACATTCAGCTCCTGACGGCGAGCATCGGAATCTCATACGCCATCGCCACGTTTGTCTACGTCCGCAGCTTCAGCGTCAAGCCGAACGACAAGGCAAACCGCGAACTGGCGGCTGGCGGACACAGCGGCAACCTCCTGTACGATTGGTTCATTGGGCGAGAACTCAACCCCCGCGTGACGGTGCCTTTGATCGGCGAGGTGGACATCAAGGAATGGTGCGAACTCCGGCCTGGTATGATGGGCTGGATCATCCTCAACTGCGCCTGGTGTGCCCGTCAGTATCGCAACTACGGCCATGTCACGGACAGCATCGTGTGCATCACCGTTGTGCAGGCCGTCTACATTTTCGACTCGTGGTGGAACGAGGCGGCCATTCTCACGACCATGGACATTACGACGGACGGGTTCGGCATGATGCTGGCGTTTGGCGACCTGGTGTGGCTGCCTTTTGTCTATACGCTCCAGACGCGCTACCTCTCGGTCCACCCCCGATCTCTCGGGCCGGTGGGCTTGGTCGCCATGCTGTCGCTCATTGGGCTCGGCTTCTACATCTTTCGGTCGGCGAACAGCGAGAAGAACAACTTCAGGACCAACCCCAGCGACCCCAGCGTCTCGCACCTCGAGTACATTGAGACCAAGACTGGAAGCAAGCTGCTGACGACGGGATGGTGGGGAGTGGCGCGGCACATCAACTACTTTGGAGACTGGATCCAGTCGTGGCCGTACAGCTTGCCGACGGGCCTGGCTGGATACCAGATCCTCGCGGCAGGATCGGGCGCAGAGGGCGCGTACGTGATGAAGGATGGGCGAGAGGTGGTGGCGGGCAACGCCAAGGGCTGGGGCATGCTCGTCACCTACTTTTACATTGCCTACTTTGCCATTCTCCTGATCCACCGCGACCGCCGCGACGACGAAAAGTGCCACCGCAAATACGGCGAGGACTGGGACAAGTACAAGAAGATTGTGCGATGGCGCATCGTTCCGGGCATCTACTAAGCGCTTGCTTGGCTCGTCGGACCGGAGCAGTGGATATCTGGTCCCATGTACAGTAGTACAGATTGTGTCACGAGGGAGGAAGAGGCTGTTGGGAAGAGGCTTCAATGTGGATACGGCTTTCGCATTCAACTCCCAGGACTCGCACATGACGCCAATGCTGTGGCTCCGAATACGTAAATGTTAGTCAAGGGCGACATGGGGCTGTGGTGTTGCTTCCCCGGGAATCATGGCTGGCCGAGTCGGGGTCTGGCGGTCAAGTGGAAAGCGGAAGAAGCCGAAGGGGAGACTGGGGGAGACGGGGGGAGACTGGGGGAGACTGGGGGAGACTGGGGGAGACTGGGGGAGACTAAGGGCCGGGTGGAGGCGGGGCATCGGGGCGTCGGGGCGTCGGGGCGCCGGGGCGGAAGGCGGGGCGGAGGCCACGAGGAAGCCCTTTGGAGATGATGGCGGAGGAGCTGCGTCGAGGGGAGGCGTTGCGGTGTATTGTCAAGTTTGATGAAGCGCACTTTGTTTGCATTCAATCACGCCAGTCTGCAGGCTGCACTCCGCACGTTAAAAGACTGAGGTGGATGCAATGCGCCGGGAAGCGAGCGAGCGGAGCCGAGTCCGGGCAGGCGACGGGACGTTCTGATAGGACGAGATGCCCCGAACGGGCAAGACGAGAGCACAAACGGACCGAAACGAGACAGGGGAGTTCGGGGTCGAGGTCGAGGCGGGGCGGGCCAAGGACGGACGGCATGGAGCTGCTGGATTGCTCGAGGCCTGCTCTTCATCTCCCGAGATGGTCGATGGAGCGCAGTACGAAGGCGGAGCGCATTGCAAGAGACGGGCCACGCGACGGGGGAAGGGGAAATGGCTCGTCGAAACAGGCGGCGAGACAATATATGCTCATTAATGCATGCCGGCGCGGTGTACAGTAAACAGAGGCGCACAACATGCATCGGTGCAGGCGCATGACGTATGCTGCAGGTTGTCCGTACACGTGTGCGGCATTCTGCAGCACCCTTGCTTTTGTTTGCAGGCGGCAATGCGACGTTTCCTCGGATGGTTCAGCTGATGTTCTTTGGACGAACTGGAGCGACGGGCATTCGAGGCACTAGTATTCCCGTACTAGCCCACACTCGAAGGGCGAATTGAGTTTGCATTGGGCTGTATTGAGTCTCAGGCAGGAGGAGCAACGAGTCGACGTACCGAATTGCCTCTCCAATTAGGTAATTAGGCGCCTACCTAACCTCCTCGAACTCGTGGTATCGTGGTGCAGCAAGTTACAGTGGGTGGTGGGTGGAGAGGACAAGGCTTGGCTCGCAGGGCCCCCTAGATTGAAATAGGAAATCTCCGCATTGTCCCACCAATTAGTCAAGCTTCCCCCCCTCCCCCGGTTGTTCGACAGATGAGAGCCTGGTTCCCAAACATTGGGTCCATTACAGTAGGGCAGGACAACATGCCTCGTGGTACTTGTTCAGATGGTGCTGGTCTGTAATTAGATACTGTAAGCTTCTCGGTGGCACGCCAGAGCCCCCCCACCTGAGCTCCCGGGGACAAGCTACAGTGGGCTACGGTGGGCCACAGCGGGCTGCAGTGGGCTACAGTGGGCTACCGTGTGGCAGCCCCAGAGCTCTAGTGGCAACTCAGAGCGCTAGTGGAGCCCTGGCGACTGCACGGACGGCATCGCCCAACAGTGGGAAAAAAAGATGAGAGAGGGCAAGAGGTAGTAACAGTAGGTGGTGGCATCCGCGCAAGGTGCGGGACGGCGCACCCCGGGCGCATCATCTGCTGGCAGGCGAGGCCAAGGTACTTTTCTCCTCCTCAACCCTCCATGATTCATTTGCACCGAGAGACAGGCTCCGCCAACCAGGGCGGGCTGCGGCATGCATGGCCTCTTGTCTTGCTTGACAATTTCGCGCACCTCCGACTATCCTTATATCAACCGGCCCGTCTCTCGCTCGCCTTGCCTCGGCCGCTTGCCCATCCCCTCCCTCTCTCTCGCTCTCTTCGTTCGCTACCCCTTGGACCGCCTCGCTGGCCGTCGTCAACACCTGTCTCTCCCCCTCCCCCTGGATCTCGCGACCCATCGACAACACGGGCGACGAGGAGAGAACCCGGGCGTGTATAGAGACAACACACACATACATCTTCACGCACACGAGGGGGATTTAGGGGGTTAGAGCCTACCACGGCGCCTCGCCATCATGAAGCCGCTGTCGACCATCGCCGCCTCCTTGCTGCCGGCAGTCGTCCAGGCCAAGGCCGTCGGGCCCGCCGACTACGAGGTATGTCTTTGATATAGACCGTGTCCATCATGAGCTCTGTGCTCCCCCCGTTGTCGTCGATCCCCGGCTACACAAAATAAGCTTGCTGGCCTCTGGTTGGTCTAGCCTCTGCATCGTCCGTCTCACTGCATCTGCTCTCGGACCTAGTCGGGACCCCAGTCCACGTCGATCCAGAAGCTCTCCTTGTCCAATTCAACACCCCTGTCTTGCTCCCTGCATGTGCCGAGCTGTGCAACTCTCCTTCGCCAATGCGCCCTTGCTCCTCTCGTCGACCTATCCGCTGACTCTCTGCTCCTCTCAAGCCCGAGTCCGAGGCCACGGCCCAGCTGGCCTACTCGCCTCCCCACTACCCGTCGCCATGGATGGACCCCTCCGCTCCCGGCTGGGAGGAGGCCTATGTCCAGGCCCGGGACTTTGTGTCTCAGTTGACCCTGGTGGAAAAGGTCAACCTCACCACCGGCATCGGGTGTGTAGATGAGAGCCCCCGTCCTATCGGGTAGGGCTAACCTCGCTTCTAGTTGGATGGGAGGCAGCTGCGTCGGTAACACGGGCTCTGTCCCTCGCATGGGCCTGCACGGCCTCTGCCTACAGGACGGCCCCCTGGGTCTCCGGTTTTCCGACTACAACAGCGCCTTTCCCGTCGGCCTCACCTCCGGCGCCACTTGGAGCAGGCACCTGTGGGCCGCCCGTGGCAAGGCCATGGGCGCCGAGGCCAGGGGCAAGGGTGTCGACGTCCTCCTCGGCCCCGTAGCCGGCCCTCTCGGCCGTGTCCCGACCGGAGGCCGCAACGCCGAAGGCTTCGGATCCGATCCCTATCTCCAGGGCCAGGGACTGGCACACACATCCGGGGGCATCCAAAAGGCCGGCGTCATTGCTTGTGCCAAGCACTACATTGCCAACGAGCAGGGTAAGCGAGCCGACTGCCATGGTCCAGGCCGAGTCCCAGTGAGCTAATCAAAGCCGTCCCTCAGAGCACTTTCGACAGACTGGTGAGTCCCAGGGCGAGGGCTTCAACATCTCCGAGGCACTGTCCTCCAACGTCGACGACAAGACGTTGCACGAGCTGTACGCATGGCCCTTTGTCGACGCCGTCAGGGCCGGTGTCGGATCCTTCATGTGCTCGTACAACCAGATCAACAACTCGTACGGCTGCCAGAATTCCAGGCTCCTCAACGCCGTCCTCAAGGGCGAGATGGGCTTCCAGGGCTTCGTTATGAGCGACTGGCAGGCTCAACACTCGGGTGCCGCCTCCGCTGTCGCCGGCCTCGACATGACCATGCCCGGAGACACCCTCTTCAACTCGGGCCGCAGCTACTGGGGCGGCAATCTGACGCTGGCCGTCCTCAACGGCACCGTTCCCGCCTGGCGCCTCGATGACATGGCCATGCGCATCATGGCCGCCTACTTCAAGGTCGGCAAGACGGTCGAAAACCAGATAGAAACAAACTTCAACTCGTGGACCCGCGACTCGTACGGCTACGCCGACCAGGCCGCCAAGGACAACTGGCAGCTCATCAACCAGCAGGTCGACGTCCGCGCCAACCACGCCGCCCACATCCGCGAGTCGGCCGCCAAGGGCACCGTCGTCCTCAAGAACACGGGCGCCCTGCCGCTGCACAAGCCCAAGTTCGTCGCTGCCATCGGCGAGGACGCCGGCCCCAACCCCAAGGGCCCCAACGGCTGCCCCGACCGCGGCTGCGACGACGGCACCCTCGCCATGATCTGGGGCTCCGGCACTTCCAACTTCCCCTATCTCGTCACCCCCGACACCGCTCTCCAGAACCAGGCCATCCAGGACGGCTCCCGCTACGAGAGCGTCCTGACCAACTACGCCTGGGACCAGACCAGGGCCCTCGTCACCCAGCCCAACGTGACCGCCATCGTCTTCGCCAACGCCGCCTCCGGCGAGGGCTACATCAACGTGGGTGGCAACACCGGCGACCGCAACAACCTCACCCTGTGGAAGAATGGTGACGACCTCATCAAGAATGTCTCTGCCGTCAACCCCAACACCATTGTCGTCATCCACAGCGTCGGCCCCGTCCTCGTCACCGATTGGTATCGCAACCCCAACATCACGGCCATTGTCTGGGCCGGCCAGCCTGGCCAGGAGTCTGGCAACTCCCTCGTCGACATCCTCTACGGCAAGACCAGCCCCGGACGATCCCCCTTCACCTGGGGCCCGACCGCCGAGAGCTACGGAACCGAGGTGCTGTATAAGCCCAACAACGGCAACGACGCGCCGCAGCAGGACTTTTCCGAGGGCGTCTTCATCGACTACCGTCACTTCGACAAGATGGCCCCCGGCAAGCCCGGCACCAAGGGCGCCCCCATCTATGAATTCGGATTCGGCCTGTCGTGGTCAACCTTCGAATACTCGGACCTCCGCGTCAAGAAGCACAATGTGCAGGAGTACCGGCCTACTGATGGCGAGACGGAGCCTGCGCCCGTGCTGGGCGAGAACAGCCTAAACCTGAACGACTACGCCGCCCCCCCGTACATCCGATACGTTTACCAGTGGATCTATCCCTGGCTCAACACGACGTCGTCGGGCGAAGAGGCATCGCGCGATGCAGACTACGGTCAAACGGCCGAGCAGTTTCTCCCGCCCGGTGCGACCGACGGCTCACCCCAGGCCAAGCTGCCCTCGTCTGGCCCGTCTGGCGGCAACCAGCGCCTCTGGGACGTCATGTATACAGTCAGCTGCGTCATCAAGAATACGGGAGGCCGCGTCACGGACGAGATTCCTCAGGTATACGTCAGCCTAGGTGGCGACTACGAGCCCGTACGCGTGCTTCGTGGCTTCGAGCGCTTGGAGGGCATCGCCCCTGGCCAGAGCGTCAAGTTCCGCACCGAGCTGACGCGGCGCGACCTGAGCAACTGGGACGTCGCCGCCCAGGACTGGGTCATCACGGAGGAGCCCAAGAGCGTTTGGGTGGGTAGCAGCTCGCGCAAGCTGCCACTCCATGCGGATCTGTGCTAAGTGGGTAGCGGACAAAGGGCGAGCGCGGTCAGGTTGCCGGCTCAGAAGAGGGACAGGGAAAAGGGGGCAGGTGGAGCATGAGGAGAAACCGATCATGAAAATGGGAGAGGGAAGGAGAAGGGAAAGCCATCGAGTACGGGGCACTCTTACGACTGAATTAACGGAACACAAACACATGTATCTTCATGTACATACTTTTGGAGCAGCTGGTTACAATGCAACACCCAGCCGAGCGATGAGCCTGAAATCACCGTGTCCCGGTCACCCCTCTGAAGACTGACGCGCAACTGGACCCAGTGACTCTGCTTCAAGACAATGCGTGTTGCTCATCGCCGTTCCAAGTGACCCCTGCCCCATGTTCCAGGTGAAAATGCATGCGTACGGCCATGATCTGGTCAGCCGAGACGTCGACTTGGTGTGACGGACAAGCATGCCCCATCAGCTACTAAGCATTCACATTGACGGCCAATACTGCTGTCACCAGACTCTCGACGGCGGCGGTGACGGGAGGAGAGGTCGTGAGCCCGGACTCAGTGGCCAAGACGCCGCAGCATCGTCTAATTCGCACTGATTAGCTTAATCCCATACTTGGCATTCAACTGAAAAGGAGCAAGGCACGACTAGGCCATTCACCCTCGGGCGAAGAATAGTGTCTTGTCGACTTGCTGAACGAGGGACGCCGGATGGTGCCGGCGGTTGATGGGCACGCCGACTCTGAGTGAAGTGATGACGCGTCTCTACTCTGACGAGGATATCAGAGTCCGAAGAAGGGTCTCCCGGTCATGGAGGGACGATTGGCACGCTAATTCGTCGGATAGGCAGTGGTGATGAAGGGGGACGGGACTGAAGCGTAAGGTTGGGAAGGCCGAAAGAGCCCTCGCCGTGAGTCTAGGCAGTGGCCTTGGACGACACGGATTCACACAAGCCTAAGGGTAGGGAGACATGACTCCCAGATGCATCACATCCTATACCGCACTCAAGTATAAATAGGAGGCTTCCTCCCTCGTAAACTTCCCTTCTCCTCTCCCTCCACACAGCAATACAAAAAAGCTCAAGTCTACAACACCGAGCTCCCGGTGCCTACAGCACAAGCACCATACCCACTGACCGAATATCCCACATGCTGGCTCCTTCCGCTATTACAGCCTCCATCGCTACCACGTCCTACAAGTCATCACCAAACGACGCCTCCAAATGCGAGTAGCGCTTATGCCGACGTGAACAGCCCTGGGCGAGATGACGCCCAAAACAACAAGGAGGAGCCGGCCTCGCCCTTCACCACCGCAGGCGGGGAAGGGTCCTTCCGCTCTCCATTTTGCCGAGACTCAGGAGTTTGGTGCCTCGCGGCGCCCGAGTTGGCCTTGGGAGGTGGCTACCAAGCTCCAGCTCACCCACACCTTGTGCGGCGGCCAGTGGCTAGGCTTTGTCTGGAGATACTCTGGGGTCACAGCCCCCCTCTGCCGCAGTAGCAGCGAGCTTGAGCTCCGAACTGCTCTCGGAAACTGGCGATTGGATCGAGCTGCCCGAACAAAACCACGGAATTCGAGCGACGATACGCCTGGGAGACGTCTTCCCCCGTCCCAGCATTGGATTCGGAGAAGACGTCGAGCTATTGCTGGAGGAGGAGGGCAAGCCTGGCGGAGGGCGGTCGTGCCTTTGTGCCGAGATTGTGGAGCGGGTTCTTCACGGTGGCTACTCTCCCTCAGTATCCTGAGCAGCATCTCGGAGCTCAGCACCAACTCAGGAGCGAGCACTCAACATTTGAGGCGCAGGACGAACCGGCCTCCCGGTCACGGTCACTGGATTGCTGAGGTTTCCCCCGGCCCCTGATTCTCCAAGGCTGCTGAGGAGGAACAAAACGCCGGCGGACGGATAGAACGAGACATCATACTCATCTTCCCCTCCCTCATACACGACGAGGGACATGTCCCGGGCGAGAGGTCCATGGCGCTGCTCGCCGAGGAGGCTTCATACAGTCCTCGGCGGCAAAAGGATAGACGCACATGGACGAGCCAGAAAATCCTGGTGCAACACAATACGGCTGTGGAGTCCAAGGGGCCCTCTCCGACTTCCGCCTGCAGCGCGGAGCCGGCGGTCTGCTTCGGTTACCAAGACGCACACGTGAGCCTGCCACTCTACGTGTGCAGGTGAAATCTTGGTGATGGCAGACGAGTGCCTCGCCCGGTGGCCGCCCGCGACTTGCCCATTCTAGGGCCTGGGCACTGACAGCGCGACAACGACGCCTCGCCTGCACATGAAGCCCCTTCTCAGACTCGGACTAGGAACTGCGCCAAATACACAGGCGCAGATACAGCATCCTATGCCACAGGGCGTTTGTGTGCTGAGCTTAGGCGATACCCTGGCCGCTCGGGCTCTTCCAAGGCCCTTCAGGTCCAGCTCGCCAATGATTGGGCGTCGTTGCCTCTCCCGCCAGGATATCAACACCCCCGGCTTCCACGGTTCAGACATGGAGGCGATACAGCGGCAGCTGAGCCAGTTCGAGCTCAGAGCCTACGACGCCCTGTAGCCGCACGCTCAAGCCTTGAGAGGCCAAGTGCTCCGCCGTCTCAGCCTGGGCCGACGTCCTAGACGGGACAAGCAAGTGCACAAATCATGCTCCTCGCCACCCTATACGGCCTGGACCAGGGACAGCGCCGGCAATCACAACGCTGGCGCTCATCTGCCCGAGAACTTGGCGCAAGCGGCCAAGGAACGGCGTGGGAGTCTTCCGAACCTCGATACCCAGATCAACCGTTCCTCACCGGCGCGAATGCAGGCTCGGGGAGCAATGAGTGAGGTCCTGCTTCGCCCAAACGGGGTGAGGTTACAGACGGAATTACACGATATACCTACAGAGAAAACGACTGGAGTACGGCATCACCTCCGTAACCCGGGGCCACACGAGACATCGATATGCATATAAGCCACTGCTCCCAGTCCGCAGCCTGCGCCTTTACGGTGCGCAAGCTGATTCCTCAAGAAAACCATCCAAGGCCGCAACAAGCCTTATGCCGCCGCGGTGGAATAGACGAGCAGCTTGTGGTGCCCCGTCTACACGGTCCTCCCATGCCAGCTTGCGATCCTAACAACTGCGAGGCTTCTCACCGCAGCGACTCGCCACCGGACTCTGCAGAGAGCTCCCTCCTCTCGACGGGTCGAGTCTCTGCAGGGAATCCTCCCTAGGTGTGGGCGGGCGCGGTGGTTCGATACACCGGATTCTGGCTGGCGAGTGGCGACTCCGCAACCATCTTCCCTGCGGCCGTCGTCTCCCGTCTCAGCCTCCTTATGGCATAATGAGATGGGCCTCCGAGAGGATTCTGGAGTGTTTCTCCCGCCTACATACACGGGCACATCGAGAAGCTCACTGAACTGAGCAAGATGGGTATCTTACACCGACTATCAACCATGAAGCGGGCACTCTGTCGCGGCGGCAACCGGAACCTCAAGCCGCCCACACAACCAGCTTGAGGTCCGCATACAATGTCCTTCAAGCCGCGGACCCGACGGCTCAACCGCGTCTGCCATACGGTGCCGCGCGTTTGTACCCTTTATACGAACCGCGGCCGATCGTGCTGCTGCTCCTCGCCAGTCTTCGCCCAGCACGTGGAGAAGGGGCCCAGAGCCGGGGCAAAGGGGCACGCTTCGAAATTCCCTGTGACTTGCTCCGCTACTCTTTGGATGGTTCAGCGGACGAGTTGATGCTGCCCGTTCTCGCCCCAAAATGCCCTGGTTGATATAAAAGGCCAGGCGAGGTTTATGTGGACAGCGCAAACTCGCCTCGCAATCCTGGCTGTGGGAGTCAAACCAATCTCCAGCCCGAAAGAATCGGGCAATCACAGCACAGGCCATCCCTTTCCACCTATCTGCTGCTCTAAGCTCTGGACGCCACACGCATGTGCTGCACTGGGGGGTGACACAAACCTGCAGAACAACACGTCACTGACATACCGACACCCAGAGCCTCTATCTACTCTGGCCGAGGGAGCTCTGTCCTTTAAGGGGCTCCCGGGATGTGGCGAACGGTGGCCAAATTTCAATGCCAGCTGAAGCCCCGTCAACTAGACGGATCGCATCCGACCTCGCTAACCCGGTCGGTCTTTTACACCCTGGTCCCGAGTGCACCACAGAGTGAAACGTAAAAAACAAACATAATCGTTTCTGGGAACTGCACTGGGATCACTTCCTGCTGTGAAGTTGGACCATGAATGTTCCTCTCGAAGGGCTGAGCGACAACCACCACCCTGGAACAGAGCATAAAGAGTCTGAGTACGGGAGGCGAGTTTACCCTATTCTGGGCTCGTGAACCCGCCCAACCTACAACGACATCAAATCAAGGCACGCCATATGAAAGCCCCATGGTCCCCTCGAGCGTTCCTTCGCCCTACTCCCGGCGCTCCGCTCGACCCATCCCGCATGTATGGGATGCGGGTGGCCGATACTTGGATGAGCCTGGGGTATGTGGCCTGGTACAGATCCGTCGCTGTAGCCTATCGTTCAGCGGCGGCAGTATATGACTTGCTCTTGGTGCTCTTGATTCCCATGATGGCGCTGTTGACAGGGGGGCCTCAGCTATCCTCGGTCTGGCCGTCTCTGCTTCTTCAAGCAGACGCTCTTTGCTGTATCTGCTATGCACTTGGTTCATACACCGAGGCATCTGGAGGCGGATCAGGCTACAGCATCGAGCGGTATATACAAAGGAAGCTCAAGACCCTAGGCGGCCTCCTGTGGCGGGCAGTATGATACAATTGCCCCTTGGGATTTTCTTGCTCTGCTCGCTCGCATTGCTTGGGGGTCTGTCCTTTGCGGTACATGTATACACGGGAAGACCTGTCCATCCGCCTTCTCCGGCACCAGACTATATCATACGATGGTGGAAGCAGAATACTCGTCGGGGGAGGTGGAATGCGCCGCCATGATGCCATCTTGAGAGCACTGGCATCCACTTCAATGTCGCTCGCGCGAGCTTCTGACGTTGTTTCGGTCAAGAAGAATTTCCTCCGGCCGAAACGACCGGATCTCGTGAAACGGAGACGCCCGGCCTGTCGATCACGCACGGTGAACCACGGACTACCACAATACGGGCTCTTTCACTCCTGACGTCCAGGCTTCTTCTCACAAGAGTTGCGCAGGTGAAGAATCGGTTGCTCATCCCGGGAGGAAGCATCCTCATTACCATCATCGTATTTTTGCCTCCGACCACCGGGCCTCAGCCGCGATAGGCCTACGAAGAAGTTACTAAGTCCGATGGAGCCGTGGTGCAAAACATGCCGATACATGTAGCAGAACACCACGGCGAGATGATGAGGTCCGGAAGTTGGATGTCGGGCTGCTTTGCTTGTCTGGCCGGGAAATGGCCAATGTTGTTTATGTATATGAGCGGTCGCAGACAGAACAGCTCCAAAGGCGCTGCCATGGGGGATTGGTCTTTCAAACGCCTCTGAGGGGATGGGTGTTATAGTTTGGATGGCGGCGTCGTTCTGCGGAGTGCGAACATGGGAGGCTACGACGGCACTTCCAAGGCTGTGTGAGCCACAGCATCAATGGCTTACAATCAAAACACGTCAGTCAATATAATGGGGCCAGGACTAAATGGGGAAGGAATGGGAACAGTTTGAGATCAGGTTGGAACAAGTTCTCAGGAGTATGTTTGGGGTCATTAGCGTTGACAAGTCGCCTGCAAATTTACAGATTGTCCTGATGATGCTTTCACCGGGCGGAGTGGCATGCCCCCAGCCTCACCTCGGCAGGGGAGTCGGATAATCCAGTTAGCCACACGAGTGTGTTTAAAGATCCCAAGGTACCCGGATCATCTGATCACGGCGCGGTAGGCATCATAGCGCCGTCTGGACTTATTCCTCGTGGTTTCTCCGCCACTACCGGCAATACGTGTTTCATAGCCCGGCTCGCTAGCAAGGAATACTAAACTCATTTTACGTCTCGTAGGTAAAGTTCAGCTGAGCGCCTATCCACCTGCTCGAAGCTGGTTAGCCATGGGGGCCTAGAACGGTTAGAGGAAGAGGCTCGAGAGTGAGATGGAGAGTCTGGGCGTGGTCCATGACCGCCCGCCTGATACAATGGAAAATGAAGGATCAATAATATGACGAATACTCTGAACTTGCGGGGATGGATCAACTTGAGAGATCTCGTCGATTCTATATTCTTGGTAAAAAAAAAGGCTGTTGACAATCATGAGTCTGTCGAATTGCAGGTGTAGCGTTTCAAGAGTCGTCTGGTCCTGGAACTAGGCGTCGAAAACGTCGTTGTATCGGAAGTACCTATCGTTGGATAACGCTTAAATAACAAAACAAAATACACGTCTTAGCAAAGACAGCACAGTTGGCTGGACAATGGTATAGGTGATTAATCGGGTATGAAGAAATAAGCAAGTGCGACATTGCATTCGATAGCCAAGCGAAAGTTATTAGGACGCTGCCCAGCAACACTCACGGAACTCTACGTACTATGAGCCCGAGCCCGGGTTCTGGGCTTGGCTATAAGGCGATGGCATAGAACATCAAAGCTCAGTCTTTAGAATACATCGACTGGCATCTAGAGATGCCCTTGCATATATCTCTTTGCCTCGTAAAGACAAATATGGTCGGCTAGCACGTTTTGAGCGTTCGGCAAAATCCTTCAAAGTCTTGAGACCAAACCTCTATTTCCATTCAAAGACCTGCTTTGCTAAACTTGGTTGGGCAACAAAGTATTTGAACATGATATTAACTCCGCCATAACGCTCTCCTGCCTGCCCTGTCGACCAACTGCGTGAGGCCATTATACGGGAATGGGCGGGATGAGGCGGCCGGCAGGGCCGAGCGCAACGTGTGCTTGGCGATGGCCCTCACGAGCCGCGTTGTTTTCATCCGCTGGGATAGCGACTTTGGCGGTGGCCGGATTGGAGACAAATTTATTGTGGTCGGAGATAATCTGGCCGACGCCGCCCCCGGCTCTGCGCTCGACAGCGGTTGCTACACAGGGGAGAAGACGCGTTAGCCACTGTCTGGCCGGGAAAGGACTTGGTTATATATACCGGTGTAGGCTGGCATAGCCAGAGCAAGGGGTGCGGCCAAGACGGCCAAGACGGTAGCAAGAGTGTACTGCATGTCGAATTAGGAGGAAGAGTAGGCCGGTCGATATGATACTTGACGTGAGAAGGAAATGCTTGGTGGACTAATGAAAGGGGAAGGAAGTGCGAACGAGAAGAGTGCGCCGTCATGAGAGTTCTGGGTAGTCAAGGGGCATATTATAGTCATTTGTCCCGGATGCACATCATCTACCATTCCCCCTTCTTGGCCGGATTCAGGCTCTCCTGACGAGCTTGGACGCGGCTTTACACCCTCAGCCTGTGAACGCTCAGACAGGCTGGGAGGGCGTCCAGTGGCAGAAAGTCGCCTAAGCGCCGAGACAGCAGTGCTATAGCCGTCAATCGCCGGAATTCCACCGCAAGAAGGATGGAAGGCAATCGGCTCTCCTCCTCCTCCCTCTGAACATGACAGATATCTCAAACACACAAGCATCAGCTCGCCATGGGGTCAGTCTTTGCCTGGCCGCTTCTTCCAAGCGCCCGTAAACCACGTCACTACGGATGAACATGGGGAGCGCATCGCCTCGGCTGAAAAGCTGGACAAGATATCAAAGATAAGGTTTCCAAGTACTGGCAGTTCGACGCGGCTCGTTTTTCGGCATTGACGATTGGAAACCCTGCGGGCTTCGTCCCGCGGCACCGGGTTTGGCCTGGTGAGACAGGCCGACGCATTGACACGCGTATTTTCGTTTGTAAATACGCACAACCCTCCCTAGTGTCGACATCTTCGCGGATATAGCTGAGGCGATTTCGGACGAAAAGTCCCATTCAACTTTCAGCGCAAGAAGCGTCTAGACTCCTTTCTGTCCTGCGGTAATCACAGCTCAAACTCAGTGCCCTCTAGCATGTTCCAAGTTGCCACTTTGTCGGGGTCAAAGTTTACGGTCCCGTCAAAACGATGGGCGGCCTTCTTGGCACCGACATACCACATGGCAATGTCCCGAACCGAATCCCAGTCGCTAGCCGACGTCCCCAAAGCCTCATCGTCTTGGATGGCTCCCAGCAAAGCCTCCTTAACCCACCCGACACTGTTCCAGCCTTCGGTATCTGGCTGAAGTGGCGTGCCCTCGAATATGGACCGAAGTCGGCTCATGTTTCTGACCTTGGCGACCAAGACGCGGACAAGGAGCATGGACACGGGCTCCGCAGCCGTGTTTCGCTCCTCGTACTCCCAAACCGACCGAAGCACCGGTGGATCGCCCGCTAGATTCATCTTTTCCTTGGCATTGAAGAGGCTTCCCTTGTTGTTGCTTGGATACTTCTTCGGCCCAACGATCAAGCCCCAGTGATAACTGGCAATCGTTAGCACCCGGGTGCAATCTGAATGTCCGTGTGAGCTGGGAAAGAGCCGGCTAACGTGTCTTCGAGGCCAGGCATCTTGGGCGCGCCGCCGCGGGCAAACAAGGCAACATAGAGGCGGTCCTTGTCTGAAGGCATCGTCGACTTGGTCGGAGCTTAGTGGTGCTCGGGAAGAAAACTTTGCAACCCGCTTTGAGAGACCACGAGTGTTTGAGATGGCCAACCGCGTGTTTTTATGAATCACGGCGCCAAAACAGTCACGAAAACGGTGTGCATGTGTATCCTGCGCCATATTCTGCAGAACGTAAATGTATAGGTTGGAGCTTGCTGATCTGACGCGCGTGACCCACCCGTAAACCCCCTAATTATTACACACGTTGGACGGGACTCTAATCATCGCACTGATGATTCTACAATCTTAACAGTACATGTATTTCCCAGAACGAGGCATGAGCAGAGCAGTATTCCGGACTCTGGAAATATAGCCGTCGCTTAGGAGAAGGAGGCGTGGGGTGTAGAATGAGAAGTGAGTAGAGGGACGAGAAACGCATATACGCAAAGTAACCAGTAGCAACTCTACCTCCGCGTCATCCGATCGGTTGGAAATAACAGAGGAGTTTAAAGGCCTCATCTTTGAGCGTAACGGCTTAGAGCTAAAATCTCAATTCTTGATCTGCTATGGCTGGTTTTCGTCCACTGTGCTCTCCAAGCGGCGAATCCTTGTGAACGCTATAGCCATGGAAGGCTTAACTCGTAAGATAAACCCTTTAAGTACATTGTCTATCACATTAGAGCGCTTCTGCCGCAACGTATCTGGCTTGGGCTAGAGGTTTTGTATCGAGATCCATGTCTCGGCTCTCAACGTCTCCGCGGGCAGGCATGTCGTTCACTTCGATAACTATCGTTTCAACTTGCTTCATAATATGCATGCACGGGAGGAAGTGGGGAACGGTGGCCTTTCAGCGAAGTTGTACCAGCCTTGACCTGTCTTATTGGACTGATTTGTCGTATGGTCTAATACGCGCCCTCCCAGTTTCAGATGCGGCCCGTAATAGCAATGATAAATGGTGTATTAGTCGTACGTGCAGAACTTTCGGTCATCTGCGGAGACTGGTTCCATCTACTCCCTCGTTCTAGGACATTCTCTCCGTCCCGTGACGGGCGAAGTTTAGTGCGCTCTTCGGGCATCCGTGGTCTGACCGGCTGCTGACGTCTGATATAAGCATCGTATACCGAAAATTCTTGATTCCATTCATGAAAGTCTCCGTCCCGGACCCAAGAGAGGTCAGACGATGGGCAAGCCACGTCACCGCCGCGGCACTGAGTGCTTGGCGGCCGTCAAGCTTGCTCGCTCTCGTCCTGATTTCAAAGCTAAGGCTCGGAGGTGTTTCCGCGTGACGCAATCTTCGTACGATGGCCATTTGTGTCTCGAGGACTCAAGGAATCTGGAATTTCGGGTTGGTGATAATTTCCCTGATTATTTCCCCGAAATCGTGCCGCATACACGTTATTGGTTGTTAGCAAACCTGACCCCAAGCGGAGGGGAGCACAGCTTTGCCAGTGAGGCACTTGGGCATTGGGACTCGGGTCTGACTCGGGGTAGCCTTCTTCGTCTTCTGTACGATTCTGGCCTCGAAGCATATTGGTACCCCCTGCCGATGCTGTTGCGATTGGCCGGTGTCTTCTTCGCATCCGTCGCCGCAGCCATCACCTCGCTCCCAACAAGCCGCTCTCAACCACTTCCACAGTCGCCGAATAGCCCCTCACTCGTTGCGGAGAGTTGTTCGCTGGCAAAATTCCCTAAGAAAGTGAACCCGAGCTGACATTGGGAGGTCGGCGATGAGTGTTGCGCAAAGAAGAGGCAAGGGATGGATTGGCCAGGCTCGATCGATTGCTATAACGGCGTCTTTTGCCGAGAGATGACCAGATCTCCGGTTACCTTCTAGCTCTGCGGCCATCGTGCAGCTTGACCCTGTTCCGTAGCATTTGACGTGAGACGTGTTGCTTTCACGCAGCACAGCCCATTGTCAGTGCACCAACGCCACTGTACCCCCTACAGTGAACAAGTTTCCTCTTCTTCCCCTCAATATACATACTGCAAGTCTCACTTTCTTTACGTAGATGTTTGGTGGGAGGGGGTTGGGGGCCTGGAACCGCAGCAAGTCTTGTTTGGATGCAGTCGCACCGACGTCTGGACCCTGTGCTGCACGGCACATTCCCTCGGAACCAGACCCCCGGGCCTTGTCGCTCTACGCACGGAAGCAGAAGGAGTGTCTGCAGGTACAGAGTTTGCTGAGGGCAAGGCTAAGGGTTCCTATTCGATATCTCATTGCCTATCTTATACTGTGTCTCCGTGTTTTTGTCCCATTGGTCTTGCATTCAAGGCCTGATTGTTGACTGGCTACAGGTATGTATGGGTTGACTCGAAAACTAAGCTCAAGTCGATGAGAACATGAAAGCATTGCTTTGTGCGGAAGAAAGGAGAAACAACCATTGCCGCTCGTCCACGAGCTGGCAGGGGACGACTGGCTTGCATCTTGTCCCAGTTGCCCCTCCTACCTCCCTCCCCCTTGCCGCCACCAGCGTAACACAAGAGAATCGCGTGGCCAACTCTGGCGACCAAACAGGTCGAGCCAAGGCTTGCAACCGCAGCGGCGGCTCCGAGTGAGAGAGAAGCCGCAAGACAAGGGACAGGGGGGGTTGGGCGCCGGAGAGGAGATCAGAAAATAGTGGCGGGTGTTCCTGGCGAATTTTTATCTTTGCCTGACCTTACAGATATGCTTTACTTGCATTTAGGTCTATGCTCTGCAAAAATCCGGGGTGAGGTTACGGGGGGGCGTGCGTCTCTGGGGCTGTCTCCTTTCTGCGCCTGTCCCCCTTTCTCCTCGTCCTCGCGCTCGCCACTGGTCCGTCTGCTCTGGCGGTTGTCTCTCGATTATTGAGTGCGCCTTTCTTTGTTTGCCATCTCCAGCTGGCGATGTAATGCGATGCAATGTGAATATGCGCCATCATGCATCAGTGTCGTAGCTCGTCGAGACTCGGGTACCACAAAGTTGGACGGGGCCTTTGCCTCCTCGTCAACGGTTACATCTGGGTCTCTCTGCCTATGCATGATTCCACCGGTAACGCAAAGGCAGGTCATTCTCGGCCTCTTGTTGAGCCATCTAGACCCCATTCGACGTTCCCAAATGCGCCATCCCACAGCCACGTCCACCCGCGCGCACACAAGTCGACGCTGGGCAGGGCACGTTGGACACACCGAGAGATGGCTTGTCTGCAGAGCCCCGAGAAAAATCGACCCAGGAAGAGACCGAGTGCGACTGTCTCGCCTGCACGGGCCGGCGACGGCAGCCAATCCGTTGTCGTCCACTTTTGTCATGATCAGGCGAGGCAGACGTCACAGATTGAGAGCTTGTCACCTTCTGTTTCTGTCGTTGTGCTGCTGCCCCTCATGATCAGCAATTCGCTGCTCGTGATCTCTCATCTCAGAGACAGGGGTTAGAGGTGATGAGCCTCGACACTGTGATGATTCCGGAGCCCGGACACGCACGGAGTACTCGGGATTATCAAATACGGAGCACAGAGCCCCTTGCCTGTTTATGCATATTGCATAGTGAAAGCTTAGCAAAATCATAGTCCATTTTATTTTCAGAGGAAAGAAAGGTGGAAAAGCAAGCAGTTTCCGCCCCGGATCCCCTCGACATATGCCATGTTTCCTGCCATCGCACTCTTGCACTTTCCACTCTTCTCAGCTCTTGGCTAGCTGCGTGTGGCAGGCCGCGGAAGCCCAGTGCGTGTCCCGTCCTGTGTCCCGCCCTCTTCGTATTTGCTTGCGGATGCGACACTGCATCTGCCGGTCAGATGAATGGGCTTCAGTCCTCGTAATGGTATGCATGCACCGCCCGTATGCTCCCTCTTCGTATTGGGCCTTGCTCTGCGTTCCTTTGCTCCAAGCCCTACTATTTCTATTTTCTCACCTCTTTTCCTTTCTTTTTTTAGCCCGATCTCGTACCCGGCATCGCCGCTTGTGCCGGTTCGGCGCCATCGAAATCCTCGCCCAAAGCCGTATCGTTTGCGGGCGCAAGGCGAGGACCCTCAAGGGTCACTTTGGCTATAAAGAGGGAGGATGGACCCCGTACAAAGCTCTGACGCAACTCATCAGCAGAGATCACCAGCATCCTTTGCCATAAACGTCAGCACTAGAACCAACAACCTCCAGCCACCTTGAACGCGAAGCCCGCATCATATATACCTTCCTCCTCCGCCTCTCACAACCTTGAACCTTGGTCCTGCGACGGGAGAAAAACGAGACCATCATTGCCTTGAACTTGACACCTCCAGCCCTCATCTCTTCTCCTCATCTCACCAAATCACACGACAAATTCTCTCAAAATGCTTCCCACAACCATCTTCGCCTCCGTCGCCGCCCTGGCCGTTGGTTCCCAAGCCGCCGCTATCCTCCCCCGCAACAAGCACGTCGCCGACTTTCGCCTCTTCGGCGAAAAGGGCTGCTACGCCAAGAACCTCGGCATCTGGACAGTCATTGATGACGACTTCAAGAACAACGAATGCAAGAGTCTCAACGATGAAACCGTCAAATCTGTAACTACCGTCGACATCAACAAGGGATGCAAGCGTGAGTCCATCCCGGTCCCTCTCCCCCTCATGGTTCCCCGCACGATGACGACGAGGGCCGTGATCGCCGTAATATCGAATATTGAAAGCACTGTGAGCTGACATTTGGACCCCACGGATAGTGTACGTCTTTACCGATGCCGCATGCCGCCACGGCCGCCAATTGGTGCCCGAGCGCGCATGCAGAGGCGCCCCAGAAGGGTTCAGGGCCTGGGCCATGGAGTGCCTTTAGGCCGAGAGATGCACTCGAGTTTTGGCATATAACGCGGCGGGGCCCAGAAAGGCTCATTTTTTATGACTGTACGACTACAAACGGGGACATGGACTAGTTAATGCGACGGAGAAACGACATTTGGCATTTCAAGGCGGAGGCGAAAGGTGCTGCTGTTCCCAAAATTTGGTCATGGGGGGAACATTGAAGGGTACAACTTAAAGCTGTAGGATAAAACATGGATACATTTATTCATAATGCAACTGGAACAATTCGCTGAGGCATGGAACAGACAGTCGGATGTGACCATTGTGACACAGTCAACACGTTGACAAGTGCAAGACGAGTGTCGTACAAACAAGATGTGGCGCCTGTCTTTGCAACCACATCCTCACGTCAAGGGCCCTGATCTACAAAGCCCCGACGTTGATGTCATTCTTTGTGGTGCGAGTGCCGGTGAACACAAGACCAAAAAGGAGGCACGGAGGTAGGGTCGGTTTCCGCTGACGATACGCCGACTCCGGAGGCCGAGCCCGGTGTCGATATGGATATATGTACGCAACTACCTACAGACATGGTCGCTGAGCGAGGAGCTATGTCGTTTGCCTCTCTGCTGCAAGCGAGAAGTATCGGTCGCTCAACTTGTACCTTGGCCCTGGCAACTGCCGTCACCTTGGCGGTATAACCAAGGCCGGTCCGCTGGCCTCGAGAGGTGGGCGCGATTGGCCTCCTCTCTGGCTCCACGCAGCGATGCCATCGAATCGATCCAGAGCTCCGTGATGACTGCGTTAGGTTTAAATGCACACTGGGCCATAAATAAGAACCCGATCAAGTGGGCTTACGACATGGCCCTGGCGACATGTGTCCACAGGCTGTCTTTAGGTCCACGACATTCAACATTAACCAGTGCCAAGCATAACCATGCGCCGGTTGTACTGCCAGTCTGCACGACATGCTCAGTTGGTCAGCGTCTTAATGGGCATCAAAAACAGACCTCGTGATCAGGCTTCCCTGTCATGCATCGTGTCCGGAGGTTACGGCAATGGCCAACTTTCGCCATCGGCCGGGTCCCTTCACAGTACACATTGCGTCACGCAACTTCTTCCGATGTAGAACTTCAAGGTAGGATGTAACTTGGTGGAGCTCTGCGGCTGGCCGTTGTGTCCAGGTTTGCATGTACTTTTCGACGCCATTGCGTATTTGCCTCCTTCATCTCCCTTTGCCATGTCCGTTCAAGCTCACTCCAAGGCCCGTCACCTTCATCACGCCCTATCCCAGACGGCTCTTTCATTGGATAAGAGACCCGATGCCTTCCACGGTTGGTAGAGAGCCCACCGTTCAAGAAATCTCGACACAGACTTTGCCAAAGTGCTTGCCGGAAAACTGGTACTCGTACGCCTCCTTCAGCTCCTCCAGCCGGAACGTCTTCTTGTCCACCACGGGTCGCAGCTTGTCCGGGTTGGCCTCGATGGCGCGGCACATGTCCTCCATCTGGGCTCGGCTGCCGACCAGGATGCCCCGGGCGGTGCAGAGGTTAGTTAAGCAATCGATGAATCCCGGCTGATCCTTGGTGTGGCCGCCGACGAAGCCAATGATGGTGATGACACCGCTGATCTTGATGGCTGCCAGGCTCTGGGCCATAGACTTGGGCCCGGCGACTTCGATAATGTGGTCGAGGCCGACGCCGCCCGTCAGCTTCTTGGCCTCGGCGCCCCATTCGGGCGTCTCCTTGTAGTTGAGGACGTGGTCGGCGCCGAGCTTCTTCAGCACGTCAACCTTTTCGCTCGACCCCGTCGTGGCGATGACTCGGGCGCCGGCAGCCTTTGCAAACTGGAGAGCGAAAATGCTCACGCCACCAGTACCCTGGGTCAGAACCCACTGGCCGGCCGTGACTTGGTTATCCGAGAGGCCGTAGAGGGCATTCCATGCCGTCAGACCCGCGCACGGGAGCGTCGATGCCTCGGCCGGGCTCAGGTTGCTCGGCATACGCACGAGTCCCTGCTCGCTAAAGGCGCCGAATGAGCGGAGGGTGCCGTCGAGGGCGCCGCCGAGGCCGGATGCGGCGCCCTCGGGCGTCAGGGGTCCACCGATGTGCTGCTGGCTAAAGAGGGTGACGACCTTGTCGCCGGGCTTGAAGCGCGTGACGTGCTTGCCCACAGCAACGACAGTGCCGGCACCATCGGACCCGGGCACGACGTTGGGGGCGGTGTCGAAGGGGTACTGTCCGAGGGGAATGATGAGGTCGCGATACTGGGCGGCGTCAGCAGCAACACAAAACTGGCGTCTGTGCCACATGGAGACGAGAGACTTACGTTGAGAGATGCTGCGTGGACTGCCGTTGGATCATGCGGTGTTAGCTGGCGCTGTCTCTCTTTGGTCTTCTTGGTAGGCCTTGTTCATCTTGTCCTCCATTGCCCGAACCAACATGCGATGACAACAACGATGGCCAAGGAGATCTTGGCAGGCTCGACGGAAACCACTCACGCTTCACCAAGACCTGGCTGTCGCCGACCTCGGGCATGGGCTGCTCGGAATACTTGAGCACGTTGAAGCCATCTCTGCCGTCTTTCGCAGTGACGTTCCACTGTCGAATGCTCTTGGGGATGTCCGGTGCCATTGCGACAAGACTTGAGGGCTGAACCGACTTCTTGCTCGGAAAGGATGCCGATTCCACTAATTTCAGGACTTCGAGGCGTGAAGGTGTTGGTTCAACAGTGTGAATCTGATGGGCTCTGCTGCCGGTGGGACTCTTTATTACACGTATGTATGAAGCTATAAGCTAGGGGCAGCTTCTATGTAATGATGCTGAGCAATCTCACTTTCCCGGCGGTTACAAATCGAGGCTGACTTTTACGGGGCAACGGAAGCAGCTTAGAAATCCTCGACTACGTCAACGTGGGTCTGGAGCTGTGGACGGAGATGATGCCATTCCATGTGGCTACCTAACTTATTGGCTGAGTTTGGTGGTACAAGTCGCTGCCTTGTGTGCGTCGGTAGGTGCGTTGTTTCTGGCATAAAGAGGTGTAGGTGAAGCTGTGGTCCTCTCTACTTCGTCTGCCAAGCTTTGGATAGAAACTCGATACCGATGTGGATTTGTCGTTCAAACTGTAAACTTTCATGCGTCTGGTACGTGGATGTGATGTGGTTCGTCCGGCAAAGCTCTTGGATGGATTTGCCGTGTCCACATCATGACCTCTCTCGGTTTAGTGACGCTATCGACTTGAACGTCGTACCCTGCCGTTCATTACCAATGCCAGCCATGGTTCGAAGCTTCGAGACTCCGAGGTCCGGTCCACGGGTCCATCTCGCGCTACACTGCCACGGGACTCTCCGGTCAAGGTCGGTAACTCTGCAATGTAGCTTTTACCGAATAGCTACCACGTAACTCCCTGAGACACTGGCATCTTGTTCCAGAAGCTTTTCAGTCTCGCCCTGCCTTTCCTTGTCCTTACTTCTGACCAATAGTCGGCAGGCTGGCCAGTCTGGAGCTATTCTGATGGATCCACCCGGTCTTACCCCGGTCTTAGACTACGGACAGGGGGACAGCATGATATCGTCATCTGGATGGATGAGTGAACGCGGGGTCGCGAAGCGATTGGTAAGTCGGCTGATGAATACTCCGTAATGGGCGACATAAAAGGAATCATGGAAAATGCTCGAAATACAAGACGATGTTGAATAAGGCAATGCCAAGTGGGTGAGTTGGATGGAAAGGGGCGGAGTACTTCGAGACAGGGAATTAAGGTGTCCATGGCGTTTATAAGCCGGGTATCTCGTACTAAATAGGTGGCCTTTAGGGTTTCTGCCACGGTTAACTGAAGCCACGCGCCGCTCGTCTGGACAGATGGAGAGCAACGACTGAAGCAGCCAGGCCGTGCCAAGCCAGCTCAAGGACGAGGCTGGGGCTCAAGGGCCCAGACGAGAGAGAAGCAGCAGCCGCCAGAGGTGAAGCGGGCAAATCGCCAAGTACAGCAGTGGCAGCTCGGGGGCTGGAAGCAACACTCGAGGCATTGAGTCCGCGTCGTGTCATTATCTGGCAACCCTCTCCTCTCCCTCGCTTTCAGATCCCCCCCCTTCCCCATGTCGCTGAGCGCCGCGCCGTTGTCGGCCCCCGACGCCGTTGTGGCTGTCGCCCCGTCCGCCGGGCTCGGTCGCCCGACGACTCCCGTTCCGGGCCCCGAGCGCAGCGGCATCGTCGTCTTCTCCGGTGGCAGCGCTGCAAACAGCCTGGTCGACGTCTTTGAGCGCGTTCGCGAAGCCAACCGCGCGACGCTCAGCTACGTCATGCCCATCTCGGACAATGGCGGCAGCACCAGCGAGATTATTCGCGTCTTCGGCGGTCCCGGTATGTGATCCTCTTCGCCGGGTCGTCTCTCCTCCAATGGCTCGAGAATAGCAGAATGCATCAGCGGCTCCTCTCCAGTCATGCGGTCATATACTACATCTACATCTATGCTTCTTGATCTATCGCTGACGAGCACCATGTCACGTCTCCCCAAGGCATTGGCGATGTGCGGTCCCGCCTTGTGCGCCTCATCCCGGACAACGGCCATGCTGAAACGGCGGGCATCAAGCACTTCTTCAACCACCGCCTCCCTCGCGCCCACGACGAAGCCCGGGCCGAGTGGTTCGACATCCTCGAGGCTCGACATCCGCTTTGGACTGACATCTCATCACCCAAGAGGGAGCTCATCCGCGCCCACCTCAACAGCTTCAACCTCGAGGTCGTCAAGCGCATGCGGCCCAGCAGCCGCTTCGACTTTTCCCGCTCCAGCATCGGCAACCTCTTTCTCACCGGCGCAAGGCTCTTTACCGGCAGCTTTGAGGCCGCCATCTACCTCTTGAGCTCCATCTGCGCCGTCCCCGAGCGTGTAGCCGTCCTGCCGGCTCTCAACACCAACTTTGCCCACCACATCGCCGCCGGCCTGCAGGACGGGTCCGTCATCACCGGCCAAAACGACATTTCCCATCCTAGCGCCCCCACGGCAGCGGCTGTCCCCGGCGCTGGCACCGTCGCTGTCGGCGGCGGGGCCGAAACCTCGGGCCTCAACACTCCCGGTGTGGCCCCTGTCGGCCATGGCACAGAGGACCACGACCGGATCGAGGATGCCAACCTGCCAGGCTCGCTGCCGGCGCTTCGACGGCCCGCCATCGAGTTCTGCAAAGAGCAAGAGGAGGACCTGCCCACGCGCATCGACAGGATCTGGTACATCAACCCGTACGGCCAGGAGATCCGCATCCCGGCAAACCCCCGCGTGCTCGACGCCATACACGGCGCCGACACCGTCGTCTACAGCATCGGCTCCCTCTTCACCTCCTTGATCCCCAACCTCGTCCTCAAGGGCGTCGGTGAAGCCATCGCTAGCCCGTCCATCCGCAATCGGGTCCTCATTCTCAACGGCACCACGGATCGCGAGACGGGCCCTATGAGCGATCCCTTTACAGCGCTCGACTTTGTCGCCTCGGTTGCAAATGCCTGCGCCGACTCAAGGGGCCTCTCTCGGCCTGCCGAGGACCAGTTCTCAACATACGTAACCCATGTCCTTTACATCGAAGGCCCTACCGCGCCCAAGGTAAACCGCCAGCGCTTTGCACAGCTCGGTATCGACACGACGCGGCTCTACGGTCCGAAGGACGAGATGTGCAAGGGAGGTCGGTATGACGCGAAGGCTCTCGCACAGGCGCTCGAGTCCATCGTCGGCCGCAAAGACGTGCGACACGACCGGAGTCGCCGCAACACCTTGGTTGGCTGAGACGCGACTGGAAAGAATTGCACGTTTTTCGGCAGTGGAGTGCCAAAATGAACGTTGTCGATATGGGTATGCCAGTGTAGGTGAGACCGATGGGAGAGCTCAAGTGGCGCGACATCATTGCACAGCATAGGCGGACGAGAAATGGGAAGTCGGGCGCTAGGATGAAATGGTTAGAGATCTAGCTGGACATGATGCCTGGGGCCGTAATATCCTCGTGCCGAATACAGCCTCGCGCGGCAACGGGTTACTGTATCCGAAGCAGATGTTTGTCCTGGCGTGCGTTCTGTTGCCCGGCGCCCGCCCCGATCCGTCTCCATCCCGTCGCAGCGGCATTTCCCCCTTTCACTCCCTCCAAGCCTTCCCCCCGAACGGCGCTCAGTCGGCAAACATGAGGTACAGCATGACGACCGGCCAGGCTGTCGACAGCAGGACGGCGCCGAGAACAGAGGCTGTTCCCACTTGATTCTTGTCCGTCGGGCCCTTCCACCGATCGACGAGAAGGCAGGTGCTGAAGATCATGGCGCATGTATACAAGACGAGGGCCCAGATGATGCCGAGGAGGATATCCGCGAACGTGTCCGGGGCGTTGAGGACGACCTTCGAGGTGTCGGGGACAAAGGTGGAAGAGAGGTTGGCACCCATGGTGGGCAGTGGTTGGGCAAACGGCCGGCGTTGAACGAGGGTGTCTGCAACCTAATGCATCCAGGATTTTTTCGTCGATTTCGGGTGAGAGAAAGCGAGGGGACAGCAGAGGTGTGGCCGTGGAGACGAGATATTGCCCAGCAATATCTCACTTCTCTCCCTCTTGCTGCACAAGAAGGAACCGAGTCCAAGTTGCTAATGAACGTATATGCGGCGGCGAATATTAAAGCTGTAAAAACATGGATGATGATGCTAGAAAGACGAAGAGATACACACCAAAGAAGAGCAAAGAAAAGGGAGAGCGGGGGCCAGGGGAACGAGAGAAGGAGGACACAGAGGGAGGAAATTCCGGCTCAACATATATCAATCACAAACCCCGTCTTCCTCGCTCGATCGGGAGCAATTCGGCAACAACCGAAACCGGCGCGGGGCTCTTTTGTGACCCATCCAGCGATGAGGGAGTTTTCGAACGCCTCTCGGCGGATCGTCTCATAAAGTCAGCTAGATCCTGACACGCCCCCCGTTTCGGGTCTCGTCCGGCGTCAGCAGCAGAATGAGAGCTAGGACCCAAGGCGTAACGTAACGCCTTGAGTTGGCACTGGTAGGGAGAAAAGAGCCAGAGCGCTACACTATCAATCATCTGACGAAATCGACGCGTGGCTCGGACCTTGTCGTCGTCATCAGAGCAAGTGGATAAGAAAGGGTGCCCGCTAGACACTCTCACACATGTAAATACTCGAGCACAAGAGGCTTGGGATTCGAGTAGAAATGAAGCCAAAGCCGAGTTACTTTGTTTCTGCCCATCGCGGTCTCTCTGGCCACTCTCCCTCCTGCTAATATTTTCCCCTTCTCTTCTCCATAAAGGAGGGTTAAGGGGCGAAATGAGGGCGATCATACCAGCGGCAAGTCAGCCACGGCGACTACGGAAGCCATGCCTCATCGACAGGCGCCGGAGCAAGCCGTTTCACCCTCCTCATGACTCTCCGCTCGACACAACACGAGGCAGTTTTCTGGCTACTCGGCAGCCACGGAATCGACTTCACCTTTGATCTTTTTTTGTTCAACGTCCCTATTGCGCCAAATCGACGCGTTCATGTTTAATGCCGCCTACCACGACTTCAGCCCAAGCCATTCACTTCTTTAACGAATCGCACGAATGAACAGAAACGAGACTAAAGAGAAAAGGCGAGACGGGCAGAGTGTCTTGGACAGTAATCCACATTTGGGCCAACAGAGCCCACGAGTTGGTGCACGCCACGACTGCCATCCGGTTCGACTGCACTTCACGCCCCTCCGTGGGCCGTCGGTGATTTTTTCAAAACGTCGGGTCGCAGACCCACGTCGTGGCAGAAAGGCCTGCGGTGAGGCCTTCCAAGAATCGACGTACACTTTGTGACGCTCCCTCTGATGGTGAATCTTGGGAAGAAGCGCCGAATCAATCGCAACGGGGTGTTCGACAACACTCGCCCGAGTCCAAAGCCCGCAGAGCGCCGTCAGTTACCATAGCCAGTGACCCAAGGCGGGACGATGCCACCCTCTCTATAGCTGGCAACGCCAGCGAATCAGACAGGGTAATAAGACTCGAGCCCTTTTGCTCCTTTGAGTTAAGGTTTGAACGACACGGCGACCATTTCGTAGTCCGGGTCCTTGGCCCTGACCTTCTACGGCCGGCGCGATGCGGTTCACCGGAACAACCTGAAGCCTCGACGGACGCTGGTGTCGACACAGACGCATCTGATCTCAGGATGACGGCAGCTGTGTGAACTCGTGGCCTGGTGTTTAATTGAGTGCCGCCGGTGGTATCTCCAGTGCGCCTTTTGGGACGAATCGGACTTCAAAAGAACTATTCAACGTTCTTTGTCCAGAATGTGATAAGACTCAATTCGCTGCTGGTTTGAGTGGCCTGTGGCCCGCTCACGGGGCATTTAATCACCAAGCGGCAGCTTATTGAGCTGGAGAAACAATCCCAGTGATTTGACTTTGCCCTTGGGGCTAGCCTCCTTTTAGTTGAAGGGTGTCAGTGACCCCTGTGGACTAAATGACTCCCAGAGGCAGTATAGAAATATCCCTTTCTTCCCCCCGAACAGATGAGGAACCGGAGGCGACGCTCCACCGAGACGGTGATGGCGCTGCTTGTGGAGACGTTCAGGGCTTCCTGGACGAGGAAGGGCATCGCTTCCCTCCTCCAGCTGGACATCAAGGGTAATCGTACTCGGCTTCGCCGACGATACTACTATTATCGCCGTAGCCCGGGACTCTAAGCAGACCTGCCGCATCCTCGAGACCGCCTGACGCATCTGCCAGCGCTGGGCGACCGACTTTGGCCTCCAGTTTGAACCGGCCAAGAGCGAGCTAACCCACTTCACAAGAGCCCATCACGCCGTTATAAACCCCATAAGGCTCGGTGAAAAGACGGTCGCCCCCTGCCAACACGCCAGGTTGTTGGGCGTTTGTGTCAACAGGAAGTTGACGTGGAAGGACCACTAAAGAGAGCTACTCGCTCAGGTCCGCCTCCAGCAGACCGCCCTAACTGGTATGGCGACGTCGACCTATGGGGTCTCCCTTGCCTAGGCGCGGACGGTCTCTTCGGCAGTAACTCGCTCGGTTATCGCCTACGGATCATTGACGACACATGAGGTAACCCCGGCCGGCTGGTCTCGCGAAGCGGTTCTGGACGGTGCAGGCCGGATGCCTCCGAGCGGCAGCCGGAGCGTATCGGGCGACTCCCGTCCATCCGCTCGAATCGGTGACAGTAATATTTATACTTCGACGAGCGTGTTGCCCACTTTATTGGAACTCGCAAGCTCGCACCAATCAAAGTTGGCCACCGTACACACTCCTGCTGGCCTCATTTTTGGTGTTAGGCAGCTCTAGGGTTTCGAATTAGGCTCGGGGGCAGGAAGGATGGCTGATGCCCGAGGGGAAAACCCCTCTTGTCGCCCGAGCGGGGTTGAGGCGATTAGTACCCGCCCAACTGACGTTTGGATGTCGCAACGTCCCTTAATCGAAAGTACTTAGGGTAGTTGGTCACATTATAACTGATATATTGCAAAAAGGTAGGATTCTTGGTGTAATAAGAGGTGGTCGAAAGTTGGGAAGGGGGGGCAGGGGGACGCGTGACTTGCGGCACCCAAAGGGACTTACTGCACTTCAAGGGGATGGTCAGGCCGCCTCGTGCATTCTTTTTCTTGCCCTTCCCTGTCGCCCTCTTCACCTTTCTCGTCCCGCCATTTGTCCTCGACAATCAGTATAGCGTGACAGCATGGACAAGCCTCGTTCCCTATTCCTTCCTGACGGTGTCGAAGACGACAATGAAAGGCTGTTGGAGTTCGTAACGAAAGAAGTTGGCTGCCCTGCTCGAGATGCCCCCCTCGGACCCCTCCCCTCTCTCCTTCTAGCTTATTGACCTGTTATCTCCCAAGTTCGGCAATAGCTTCTCAATCTCGCACAGCGACGTCCATAACTTCGAACCCATTACGGGCCGCATCTTTGAGTCGCATCCGGCCGACCGTATTGTGGTCTTTAGACCTCGAAAGGGAACGCCGAAGTTCGGGTGCATACGAGTGCTGGAAAGAGAAATAACGGACCAAGACAAGACCGCGAGAAGGAAGAAAGGTCCCGTATGGGAAGAGAAAAGAGGCGGGGGCTCTTGCGTTGGGCTGATACCCGCCGAATGCCGCTTTGAAGCTATGCTCGTCGACATTAAATTTATTGCGAAACGCTAGCAAACAAGCCTCCATCATGAGACCATGATAGCTCCAACGCAGCCTCGGACGTGTATTGAAGTGCAGCCACCCGCGATACGCTAAAGAAAACAAACGCTGGAAGCTCGTCAATGGGGACACCCAATGCGATGGGTGGGAACCCCTCACCCCCGACTGAACGAAGCCTCAGCAGATCCATCAACCTCTCATCCGGCACATCATAACGCAGCTGCACTAGGAATGCTTAAAATGACAGTTGTTAGCAGGCCGGCTGGGCTTAGAATGTTCCGAGCTGGTATGGAAGCCAGTCAACCTACAGTCCCCGAAGCATAGGTCCGGTGCAGCCTGGGCGTTTCGACACTCAGGCACAAGGCTTTCTCTGTTGTAAATTTCCGGACGCGGCGATGGATCCTCGGCGTCGCCATCCGTGTCGAGCCTTCGCTTTTTGGGCTGATGCTGATTGCGCGGGCTGCGCGCGAGTTCCTCGACCTCTATATAGCTCAGCAACATTTTCCATCGTCACTTAGATCGACATGGCGGCTCACCTTCAACGAAACGGCCATATGGCGCGATGTTACAGAAGGGCTCCTCCCTTTCCAGTTCACGGATCGTGTCCCGCACATTTACCGCTATGTCTGCCACAGGCTCGCCGCCAGCACCCGCATCTACCATCTGCCTCGCAACATCATTAAAGACAAGTTGGTCCATCTCCTCCCACGAACTAGGCGGTAAGGATACAGCCCACGCCAAGATGGGGCCTGCACCTAAGCTGCGGAGTACCCGGCCCTTTTCTGTCTTCCTTGCCTTTCGCGCCTTGAGTGAAGGCGAATCAACGGCCGAGGCCGAGTGTCCTTGGAAGATGGCGACCAGGTTTCTCTTTAGGATCGACCCTTTTATCTGGCCCTGTGCTGCAGCGCGGATATTTGACTGTGCCCTCGACATGTGCCCGTCAGATTTTTGAAAAATTCCTAGCTTCCACCCTGACGCGCAAGCGGTGAGCTTCTCGCGAAGAGATTGCGCATGTTCAAGTATCCTAGCCGCCAGCTCGTGAAGTTGAGTAACCTCTTGGCCGGAGGGGCGGAGTGTGGGATTCCGTAGCCTTGGCGAGATGGCTCCCATACTGGCGGCAATGGACCCCATGTCAGCCAGAATGTCCACGATGGTGGCCATGGTGTGACGACAGATCAGGGATTGGTGGACGAAGTAAAGCGAGCAATTTTTCCTGTCGGAGTGTGTTGCCTGACTTATTGACAGCGTTAGCTCGCCGCGAAGTATGGTGCTCTAGAGCGACTCCGGATGGCCACAACAATTCTTAAGAAAAAATGTGAGGGACAAGAGATGCGCGAGAAGGGCCTGCTCCAAGTTCGACGACTGACTGTGCTGAGTGTCTGGTTCGAATTTGGGCGTTCGGGGGTAAATACACCAATGTTGCCCCCCCTTCCATGTGCTCTCCACGGAGAAAGAGGCCGAGGTCACCTTGCAAGATGCAAGGTGCTGCTCCTCGTCATCTCTCCACCTTTTCCAATTTAGCTGCCACGGCACTGCATGACCCAAGTTCGATGACAGGGGCTACATCGGCAGCCTGTCCACAGTTTTGACGCACAAATCCCTCCATAGGGCGCACACGAGCCAGATGTCTGCAGTAAACGACTGCCCTGTAATAAGAGGTTTGGGAGAGGGAAGTAAGAGGATACTGTAAACTCCTCGACACAAATTAACGCAATTCACCAGACTGATTTTGGAACGAGATGAAGTTCGCCCTACATATAAATGTCACTCTATCAAGATCATGTCTGCCGTTCTCGGCCCGTAGAGCTGCTTCTTCCACCCATAGCCGCCAGCGTGAACCATATCTGCGAGGTCTACCAACACTCCGCTTTTCCAGTTCTTGATAGACGGCGAGAGGGTATGGCTAAAACCAGCGAGCCAAAAGAAGCGGTCTACTTCCTCGACGACTGCCTCATCGTTCCTGCCCTCCTCGATAAACTCGTAAACGAGGGCAATATACTCCTTATCGAACGACATAGACCTCTGGATCTTGGAGATGGTAAAAGACGGCGCCTTCAACTCCAAGGGGAGAGCGTGGAACACGTCGCCGCTGAGTCTCAGCCAGCCGAAACACTTTCTCATTCGTGGCATCGACGTAACCGATACTGTCATAAAGCTCCTTCTGGAAGACCGCGTCAAGCGACCCTCGTCGGAGAAGGCGTAGAGGTTATCCAGCGCCTCGCTCTGTGTTCGAGGATCCGCGTAGACTTGGATGGGTTTGGACTCTGCGGCGGCCTGCGCAATCGCCACCTCCATCATCTGGAAGAGGGAAGCATTTTGGCACTCTCGCTGAGCGGCGTAGTAGTGATAGAAGTCGGGCGGATCTGTGTCCCAGAACTAGGAAAAGTGAGTCAGCCCCAGAAAAATCCGCACCATGTCGTGGCAGCACTCACTACTTTCAGGGCAAAGGGGCCCATCTCTCCGAACCGGACCTTCCAAACATATCCATCGAGTCCGCCGCCGAGCTTATCTTCCCAAGCGATAGTGCTCGGTTCAAAGGCGCACTGACGGAGGCACGGTAGCTCGAAATCTTTCAGGGTACAGTAAAGAGGACCGCCCATGAGGCTGTCGTCGAGGAACGGCACCTGCATCGCTGCCTGCCAGGCGGGATCTGGCCTCGGCCCTAACTGTTGTGCCCTACGAAGTCTCGATGCGCGATTCATGGTAGTTGGCGTCGCAGGTGGAATATCGAGGAAGGAGCGTCAATGGTATATGAGACAAGGCAGGTGGTTATTGGAGAGCGCTTAGGTGCCGGCGTGGGAGAAAGGCAAATGCATATGCATTGCATGGAGATGTCTGACGCGTGATGGAGGAGCAAAAGCCTTGGGGTCCGGGGTCGGGGTGGGCTTGGTGGGGTGGAAGGGGGTCTAACCATACGGGTAGGGTCAAGGTACCTATTCGGTACTTTTCAGAATGAGGCAGACCATCACCCATCCATCCCCCACTGCAGGTAGCCGTTGAGGTCAAAAAGTTGGAGGACTAGGGGCGGGTATGTTGGCCGTCCGAACTTGGACTGTGACTTGACATGATCCTGCATGTTCCAACTTGGAGCTAGCTCATCTCTATTCTACTGCTCCCATCGAAAGGACGAGGAACGTCGAACTTCGGGATCACCCTGGCAGTTCCCTGTTTGTCCTAACTTGGACTCTCTACACTTTCGTAGCCTCGGCAGGAGATCGGAAAGATGTTGCTCACGAGGGGAGAGAAGGATGGGGACATATACTGGCCCGTTCTCTCGCTATGGAGGGTTCGCCGCTTGATGTTATCGCAACCGTCCAAGAATCGCAAAACTGACTTCTTATTCGCACTCAAACTTGCTTCTTCTTTTCCCATTCCTCTACGCCCTTCCTGAAAGACAATGCCGACTCTGCTTCACGTGCTAACAAGGCCGAATGTTGATGTCGACAGCAGTCTCGTCCCCCCGGGGGGTAACACGACAATCGACGCGGCCATCGTGCCCGAGAATTGGCGGCCCTGGCGCGGCTTCGACTACGTCACCCTAATGGGAATCTTCCGGCGGGACCTCGATAAGGAATATCGGGGCTCAGCAAAACACGAGCCGTTACCAGAAGACCTTCACATTTCCAACGAGGAGACCATGGAGGACCTTCTACGGAGGTTTGAAACCCCTATAGTGAACTACTGTCTGAATGGGCGGGAGGGTGATCCGCACTTTGGTCGAGGAAGCCGATGTGGGAAAGCGTACAAGCCAGACTGGTCTGTAGTTTCGCCTCTTCGCCTGGACGAAAGTGACAATTTCATGAACGTCCTCCCCGGAGACACCAAGCTCCACACGAAATGGTGGCCTGCAATGAAGACGAATGGTGGCAATCGCTTCCTTGAGTGGCAAAAGGGTGTTTCCCAGGCCGTCACTTACATGGCTTATCACAGCTCCCGATACGGCTTCATTATCACGGACGGGTGCCTCGTCGCCCTCAGGCTCACTCGTAAGCCTACCTCGCCGGGCTTGGCTGCGGGGCGTTTCCCGCGAGCGACTGTTCGCCACGTCCGGTACTCGTCCGACCTTTCAATGGGGGGAAACGACTCGGGATACCAGGACACCAACCCGATGCACTGGGAGTACGAGGACCCGGAATACTATGTCGTCCCTTGGGGCGCGCACGGGTCGGGCAGGCTCACCATCAAGCTAACCCTCTGGTTCATGGCCATGATGGCCACGAATGGCGACAACTTCCTCGACTACTCGTACCCGGACCTCAATAGCTGGCGCCGCGGCGAGAAGGGCTACGTCCACAACACGTCGGGCGTCGAGAGTCTCAAGCTATCCAGGGGCGACCAGGCCCAGGAGCCCAATCCTGAACAAAAAGGATGGGAATTGGAAGGTATATCCGGGGCTGGTGGGCTAAGCGGAGCCGGGGAAAAGGGCGAAGAAGCTTCTTGGGTCCGCCCAACTGGCGAGAGCGAGGAGGACTTACCCGTCTTCAGTCAGACAGGCGACGCTTCTGGCACTGGCTATCTTCCAGGAGACGCTAGCAACGATGAAGAGGAAGAAGAGAAAGCAGTTGAAGCAAACGACGACGACGACGACGGTGGTGAGGAAGAGAAGGAAGAGGGGGGGGGTTCCTCTAGCCCCCAGAAGAAGTCCATAGAGGTCATTATCCAAAAGACGAAAGGCGGCAAGGGTTTCTACTTCCTGGACGCCAAGAAGCAAAAGAAGAAGACATCCAAGAAGGAGTGGGCACAGATCGAGGGCTGGTGGATGCTTTCGGGCAAGAGGCACGTCTACTTTACCAAGAAGTTTCCTTAAGTGGGTGGCGGCTCAAAAGAAGGGTCCTATTAAGGAGAGGGGGCATAAGAGGCCACAGTCATGCCTAGTAGACCCAATAATCATATACAAGGAAGCCTGCCTAACTAACATACCTCCCCTAGCCTAAGGACATTATATAGGCCTAACTTAGGTATAGGAATATCTTAATACCCTCTTTTAGCTAGCTATACATAGTTACTGTACCTACATAAGCTCCTCTCTTATCCTAATAGATAGACTAAGATATATATTACTTAATTTACCTTTCTATGCCCCTATTTCTTGTACTATGCTCTTAAGCCCCTGCTTAAGAGGTCCCTTAAACTTCTGCGTAACTAATCGCCGACCGCTCCTTAGCTTCCCCGTTTACCACTGTTTGACTTAGGTTAGACTCCTGTCTGTTCTTCCTGTTTAAGGATTCTTAATCTACATCATTACATGCCGTTACACTGCTTCTCTAGCTTAAATCTAAGCCTTTTACTTTAGTCTTTTGTCTTCCATTCCTACGTCTCTGCTTTTTTTTCTTGCGTCTCTCTGCGCGCATATAGACGTTTGTTTTGTTTTGAAGGAGGTGGATATTTGCTAGGTCAAAGCATATACAATAGACTCGTGAACCCCTAGCGGGCAACATGAAGAAACGGGAAAGCATAAATTATATAGATCTATGGTAGTCACTCATTCCTATTACCTCTAGGCCACCTGCCACCATCCTATCACTAACGAAGCTATTCGCCCGTTGCGGAGGTGGCAAAATCGCAACCCAACGTGACAAGCAACACAGATATGGGACTGTGTCGCGGCCATGGTTTAGCCCGGACTTTCGAGCATCGACGGAGACTGTCGCATTTAGAATACATATATTGGATGAAATGCTGAATAATTTCGCTGTTAAGCGATATTGACGAATCTTTTAGATAATAACGTCGCCTAAGCAGCCTAGGTGGCAACATCGCCACCCCAAGGCAGGCACGGAACTATAAGAAGAAGAACTATCGAATTAATAATTCGTTTTTATAGATCTAGCTTCTTCTGGCTCAGCTATCAAGTAGAATGTATCACCATACCAATCTCAACCTCGTCACTAGCACCCAAGCAAGCGTCAATGGGGTTGTCGTAATCATCAGTGTACATAAATTAGACAAATCGCTTCACAGTATCGGATTGGAAGCTATGCATCGTAATAACGTCCTTACGCCATTCCTATAACCCGGGTCTAAGCAAACGAACGCTACAGTTGATGAGCCGATGGTTCTATTTGCCTGAGAAAGTGTACCTCGAAGTCTCCTTGAACGGCCGCATTGATCACTAGAGATTGTCCACAGACAATGGCTTTATAACCTTAAGCTCCTGTTCGTTTCAGGCGAACTGAAGGTCGCTAAATTCATATAGACATAGTATGAATCGCGATGAACGCTGCATTCAGAAGGCACCATAGGCGATGGAGCTCCCCTGAACTGAAGAATCGAATCCTTCAGTAAGTGGTGTTTACTTTACGGTAACCCCGGTCCTGGTTAAGCTCGGCAGCATCAACAGATCCATGGCCGGATCAACAGTCCTCGGGATCGACAGTGGCCATGTTATTCGCCTAACGTGTAATAGTTCTCACCTCTCAACATCTTCATATAATCCCGGGACCTGATGGTCGTGGATCTAGGACATTGTGGGGATTCGAAACGGTTGACCTCAGCAGATAAATCACTTTACTCCTATAGACGTAATCGCAAATGCTTCCCCCTTGATGGCAAACCGTAAAGCCAAGCTCTACCCTCCCGAGGCTCCCACATGTATCTACAGTGCTTCTTATGGCCTGCTGATGTCTCAGAAAGGTCCTTTCCGACGGGAACAGCCCCAGCCAGGCAGACCGTGGGGGATGCAACAACTCCATGGCCACCAACAGCGGGCTGACGGCTCAGACACGCGCTGCGCACAGCTATGCCTGAACACAAAAATCTTCTCCGTTCCTCATTCTCTTCTCAATCGCGTACGTGGGTGCTAAAGCAGCCGACAACGGGAACATCCAAGGAGAAATCTCAGGCTGGCTTAGTCGCAACCAGACGCCCGCCGCCATGGTCAGCGCACACGCAGCTAACCGTATCACCGCTGCCACCCTGCTGCTCTTCACGGTTCTCTCCACAGGCCTCGTCCTATAGACCGCTTTGTGCATAACGACGGCGCGGCGACACGGCGACCCTGCGAGACCATGGTTAATGCTCTTCAGGGCTGCTCTCGCCTTCTTCTTTGCGTGAGGATGCATTCTTGTGCCAGACTGCTCATCAAGATACAGCTAACATGCATGTATCGGGGCAGCTCCGTGGCTCTCTCCTTTTGTAACCAACTTTTCGCCGTCCTGACCGACCAGATTGAACCTGCGGCCCTTTCGGGAAGCTCCTTTGGCATGATCAAGGCCATGGTTCAGTGTTTTATACTAAAGTCCCTTTTCGACGATATGGCAGTCATATTTGCTCTGCTGGCCGTGGGCGGCGTCGCCAGCGGCATCCGCCTCATCCACCTCGGCGGCAGGTCAGCAGCCGACGACATGCTACGAACAGCATCATACGTCTTGGCCGCCATACTAGGCTGCATTAATGCCGTCATTTTCGCATTGAGCCAGTTGGATTTCCAGATGTTATACTCCAAACCCGAGTTAGCTTTTTTGAGGACCTGGCTGGGCAAGAACCCGCAGTCGGTGCTGGCCGCAAGGCTTCTCACCTTTGTGATGCTCGCCACTCAGTCGGCTTTTGCTTTGGCGCTGTTCGTGGGCTCGGTCGTCAATGCTGTGCTGACCAGGTCAGATCAAGGAGTGAAGACGGTGAGCCACCCACCTGGGTTGTGCCTCAGAGAAATCACATCGTCTTGTAGCCAAGTCGCTGACCAGATATAACGCAGGCCGCCAAATATCTCCTCGTCTGTTGTGTTTTGCTAGTACTCAAGACTTCGTTCACCATCAGCATCTGGGTAACATCAGTCCCCTTGGGCTCAGGTCGAGAAGATTCCGATGGGAAGGAGCCGTTTGCGAAGAATTCTCCTGGCCTCTATTTTCAAATCCTCGAAGTTGTCCTTAGTGTCTGGCCCTTCTTCGTCCTTCTCGTCCTCCTGTTTTCCCTTGCAGTTAAGAAGCAAGATGGACTCTGGGCCACTCATCAACCGTTCATGATGGATTGCCATTACGCAGAACGCGCTCCCCAGCAGAAGGCATGGGACTGCTGCCATAGCTTGGAGAGCCAACAGTCCATGAGGCAGACCCGCCAGCGAGCGCACGAGCTCTCCGGGCACTTTTACACGCCCGAGATGCCAGTTCAGCCCCCAGAGCTACACGGCTTTCAGCTTCCGCATGAGCTCTCTACACAGCAGCGCCTGTTCCACCAACCCCGGTACGAGATGGAAGCGCAGGCTTTCCCGCCAGCTTATGCGCCTCCTGGATCAACTCGGGGTCATTAGTCCATGTTACCAAGAGCATAGAGGATTGTATTTGCTTATAGATCCCTCAAGCCCCCTTTCTGATTGATCATCTTCATTGGCAGCGCCCACCACACAGCTCGCCGCCAGATAGCACCTATGGATATAGAAATTTCTGAAGAGTCTAGATATTTTTGTAAACTACCAAATATGCGTTGGGGAGATGGCAAGGGTTGTGTCAGGTACTGAGGAAGAACTTGTGGAGGGCCTGAGCCATATGACTTGATTCTATCACTATTTTAGATTTGTACGAGACGCCGACCGTCTGACACTTGAGAATAAAGCTAGAAGCGTTCTTGATCGACCATCCGAAGAGAGTCTCTGAAAAATTAGAAGCGGCATTCCGTGGAGGGGGCACGGAGTCTCATTATATCTCACTCACTACCCAAAGTAGTGTACGGTCATCTTAGCCTTTCCTACCATATCCAAGCAGATCAAAGCTGCCTATTAGAACTGATGAAACTATACGTCGAAGACATGATTCGAATCGCTGTCACATCCGCTCGGGGGGAATCCTCGCTCCATTACAAACGTTAACGACCCTAATTGGTTGTAAGCCCCCGGGCTCTATAGCTAGCTAGGACTGCTAATAGGGGCCTAGGCCCCTACTAGCCTCGCCATGGCCCTAGAGGCTGCATGCGAGTAATGATATAAAAAAAAAAAAAACGTTAACGACCACATCATGGCGCTCACGTTTGAAATGCCTAGTGGACAGGCTCGAACGGGCTTATTCTCGTTAACAGCTGGTATATCGAGATTCCACTTTGGATAAGTAGAAAATTGCCTTCACACAACACGTGAATGGGATCAACTGTATCCTTGAGAAGCACCATGGTAGCTAGCAGCAAGTATTTCGATGTGTGATATACGCCACGAATGGGCAGCAAAACGCCCGTACTCGTTCGTATATTTGTTGCTGGCCCGGCGATGTTCTATAACACACGTGGAGTTGCCCTGTCGTAAAGCGTCTATTCCCATAGAACCCATCTGACCGAAAAATGTTTCGATAAACGAGCCAACAGTAGCCATACAGCGTATTTCACTGTCATGAGAAATTCCGTAGGGAATCGAGAGTTGAAAGCCTGTGATGCTGACGCAAGTCAAGCACGCCGAGATAGGTTGGAGGCGAGTCTGGCCGGGAGATCAGAGCATGATCCTAGAAAGAGCATAAGCAGACGAGCTCGGGGCCTCTCAAGCTGGAGCTCGTGAGCACATTTGTGACGGCTGAAATGGGAACATCGGAAGCTCGTAGGGGCCACCAGGAGGGTCTTTTGCTCAGGGGAAGTAAGCCTCGAGGGCGTATTCGGCGGATGAGGTTTCCAAATGACTATTCCATCTGCGTAGTTCATACATTTTCAAGTATAGCAGCAGCTCTCAGCGATGAGAATCCAGTTGGCTCGTTGATTCGACGTTGCGATGGTAGGTAATTACATCTGGGCAGTCAGTCGCCTGTACGGAGGCACGTTTCAAAAGTTCTTGCTTGTATAGAAAAAAGAAGAACGTACCAAATCTCTACAACTCTATTCCCGGCTAATACCATCTTTCCTCCCTCTCGATACTCAAAGATCAGACGAGCTGCTATCCTAAGCTCGGCAGCGATATCAGCGCAGTTTTCCCTCTCCCGTACCAGTCTCGGCAAACCTTGGCGATAGCCTCCTCTGTACTAGGAGCCTGTTTACGTGGCCGGCCAGACCGGGGGGCATCTTGGAGCCACTCGTCTCGTATAGTCAACGGCAGCTTGTTTGGCTCAAAGCCTCGCTCAATTGCTCGCGCATAAATGTTATTAATCGTACGAATTGGCAGGCCAGTTAACGAGGCAATCTCGGCTGACGATTTGCCGACGCAAGGCGCCTTCAATGCAACAATTGATGCCCGGGTCGCGATGTCTGTCTTCATTTGCAGGAGAGGTTGAGGAGAAATAGCGAATGTGGACTGAGGGTAGGGCATAATAAGAGGAGTATGCGATGTAAATAAAGTTACGTGCGGGGGTCCTCTATTTCTTGTTTCCTTACCAGGGTTGTTTTAGCGAAACGTTTCTTTACGGCTGCTTCCTCCGTATAGTACATGACACGGACCCAGGCGGGCGAAACAAGAAGCCCATTGTTTATTTCTTCTCTTGTTGCTTTTTCTGATACATTACCACTGAAGCTCCCCGGGTATTTGTAGTAACCTATGGCAAGGAACGGCGCCATTTCATCAACCCGGCGGCACCACCAAAGCCAACTCCAGGCTCTTTGCCGAGCCATCCGGTGATGCAGTTCTGTCTTGTCCACCATTCCCGCCAAGTCGAACCAGCAAGGCTTCTCAAATCAAGTAGGAACCGGCTCGGTTTCCTCGTCGCATCAAACACCGTCTGCTAGTCCTGGTTGAGTTCAGCTGAGGCCAGGGGTCGCTGGGTGCCTCGCCAAGTCAAGTGACGGCTTCAATCGCCAAGCCGAGCGGAATGCCATCAGTACCCCCGATCGCCACCCTTCCAAAGATGCCAAATGCTGCCCGGGTTCTGCTCCCGAGGTCTCTGCAACGTATTGCGCGCTCGGGCATTGCTAGAGCAGCCTCGCACGTCGTGTCACAGCGGTCCGCCAAAGCCGGCTCGAGCACATCACGGCCTGCCATCCAGGCGAGCGGCCGGAGAAGTTACAGCTCAGCCGCCATGGAGAGCAGCGTGGAGCAGCATCTCACTCCCTCAAGGCTGGGATCGGTCCGGGACCTTTGGTTCGAGCACCTCAGCGGTCCTGACTCACTGGTCTTGCCCAGCCAGGACGACAACAAGCGCTGGTTCATGGGCGGCGAGCTCGATCGCCTCTGCGTGTAAGTAGCTTCTTGGACGGGCGTGTAGCTGCCTCAGCTGCAGCATGCTCATCGACGTGGCAGAGAACGCTTTGCGCCCACGCTCGAGGCCATCCGGCACAGCGGCCTCAAGTCCGGGACCGACCTGATCAAGACCGCCAAGCCCGGCGAGGCAAGCGACTGGCTCAGCCTCGTCATCCTGCTGGACCAGATGCCGCGCAACTGCTACCGGGGCGACGCGGCGGCCGTGGCCTTTGCCGTGTTCGATCCCATGGCCCGCGAGGTGGCGCTGGCGGCCATGGAGCGCGGCATCCCGGACGAAAACCCGCAGATGCGATGGCAGTTTGCGTACCGGCACTGGTTCTACCTGCCGCTCATGCACTCGGAGGACCTGGCCATGCACGAAAAGGCGACGCAGGCATACGAGCGGATGCGCAGGGATGCGTACGCACTCGCCGACGCGGACGCGGACGAGGCCAAGAAGCATCATCCGTCCCAGCAGGGAGGAGATGGCCAGGAGCACTACCGGGCCAAGGCAGCCGCGGTGGTGCGGGCCAGCCCCGAGGAGGCGCGGAAGCTGGTGGACTTGTATCTGGAATTCGAGAGGAGGCACATGGCCATCATCGAGCGGTTTGGGCGGTACCCGCACCGCAACAAGGCCTTGGGGCGGGTACCGACGGCGGAGGAGACGGAGTATCTCGAGACGGGAGGGGAGATGTTTGGGCAGTAGGCCATCATGTGTAGGTGGATAGACGAAGTAGGCGATCAAAGGGGGATCAGGAAGACTTGGGGCTGCTGGCTCGCCGCCTGGTATATATCGATGTCCCGGCTGATGAGCTTTTGTAAAATGCAACAAGCAAGTGCTTGGTCTAATATTATGCTGTACGTCCTGGAAAGAATAGCTCAATTGGTTTCCATCAATCTCGGTCTTGTCGATGCAGATGCGCCTCCTACAAGATCCCCTTTGCTTCCCAAACAAACAGACGTTTACCAAGGACTCGTCCCTTGAGCTCAGCCGGAACAGCGCCGTCTTTAGCTCGCTGTCCGTGTAAACCTTTGTAGGGGCCGTGCATGCAAACGACGGCGGACATTTCAACCGTCTTGTTATTAATACCCTGCCGCTAACTGCAGTAATTACGTGCAAGTACCAAGAAAGTCTCCCCCTCACTCGAGTCTCCTCCGTCGTCATCATCACCGTCAAATCAGATCCGCGCCATCTTCCCTTGTTGTACAGCAGTAACTACCCGGTTCTTCCCCACACTGCTTCTGCTGGTGCTGCTTCTGCATATGCACAGTCGCAGTCGCAGTCGCAGCTGTCGCCCGTGACAAGACACAACCCGGCCATATTCCCCCTCGCCCGGCTCCTTCTCCTCCACCTCATTAACCAGGCCCTTCCGCGATCCCCTCATCCCGCAGTCAACGCCGCACACACTTCTTCACGTCGCCTCCTCCCACCGCCATGGTCAGCACGCGCTCGTCCTCGTCGCGCGCCGGCAGTCTCGCCCCCGACGCCGCGACGCCACCAAACCCGCCCTCGGCCGCCGCCGCCGCCAGCCGCTCCTCGCCCTCGCCGAAGCCGCCGTCGCGCCGCCCCGGCCGCCCCCGTCGCAGCAACATGGCGTCGTCGTCGTCGTCGGGCGCACCCGCCGGCGGCTGGGCGCACACGCCCACGCCCGCCACGCTCCTCTGGATGGCCATCTCGCTGCCCCTCGTCGTCTGGGACACGGGCTACGTCCTCGGCCGCCCGCACACCATGGAGGGCGGCCGCCTGCACTGGCCGCTCTGGGTCCCCTACAAGCTCTACGGCCAGGTCGACCACATCTACGGCTGGAAGGCATTTGAGGCCCGCAACGGCTTCACCGCCGCCCAGGGCTTCCTCAACCTCGTCGAGACGGCCATGTACGTCGCCTACCTCTGGCTCTACTTCCGCTCCTCCGACGCCGACGCCGACGCCGGCCCCCGCTCCGGTGCCGCCGCCGCCGCCGCCGCCTCCCCTCGCACAAAGGCCATCCGCGGCCGGCCCGGCGCCGCCGCCGTTCTCATTGGCTTCAGCGCCGCCGTCATGACTCTGAGCAAGACGGTCCTGTACTGTGAGCCCGCTCCACCGCTACCCCCCTCGAGCCGAGCCTTGCTGACGCTCGCTCCTTTGCGCCCAGGGATGAATGAGTACTACAGCGGCTTCGACAACATTGGCCACAACGCCATGATCCAGCTCCTCTACCTCTGGATCATCCCCAAGTCCGCCCCCCCCCCCTCCGCTCTCCATCATTTGCTGACTGTCAATCATCTGCAGCGGCGCCTGGCTCGTCGGCTCGGCCTACATGATCTACTCCCTCGGCGGCGACATCCTCCAGGGTCTCGAGATAGCCTCCGCACACGTCAAAGAGGAGTGAGTTGCGACGACAAAGGTCATTGAGCAATTGCCACAACCTCCATTTCTTTGCCCCGCTGCTCGTGGTCATGGCGGCTGCCTGGGCCTGCTTCTGCTAAGGAAAACGAATAATGAGCGCATCTTCGTGAATAGGAGCGGTGGACATTCGGTTATGTGCGCAAAGTAGCATTAAATACCCATACCCCTTCCCGTCGTCTCTGCCAGATGGCCATGAACAAGTGCAAACCCCCACAACGCCTCCCTCCCCGCCATCGCTTGGTCGCGGCTTGGCGGCCCAACATACCCCGGCATATCATGTTCCAAATCAAAAGGAGAGGCGGAGTGAGAATAGTAAACAAGGGCATGACCTCGTCATCGCAAGCCGTTGCCGTTGCGTCCAGTCAAAGGACTCTGGGGTATCAAAGCAAAATAGCAAAACAGGGCTGCCAAAGCCTCAAAAGACTGGCTGGCCACGAAGCAGTCGTCGCCCGTTTGTGATTCCGGTCCCATTACTTCCCGTCCTCCTGCATCCTCTTGCTCTTCTTCCAGGTCGACTCGTACCCCGTTCAAGCTCTTGGCTTTTCGGCCCTCGTCTTGCAAAATCGTCTTCCTGCCAGTCGTCTCTCGCCCAGCGTGGCCTCATCTCATCTCAGTAAGCCCTCCCAAGTCGGCATACTGCTCCCACGCGGGCAAAACGTCTCCGTGCGCATCCACGTCCGCCATCCTGCCGTCCAGAAACGCCTGCATTGCCGTCCAGTCGCACGAATCTTGCGCAAGGACGCACGGCTCTTCGTCAATGATGTTGGGCAGATGCGTCGGCCAGACCTGCGACACCAGCGATCCTAGGCGCTTCGGGTCCGACGCCGTCGTCGTGTGTCGTCTCGTGATTCCACTCGCGCCGGCCAACATGTTCCGGCTCTCCTGCTCGACAAAGTGGCCCAGGCACTTTGCGTAGCTGAACCCCTCGAGGGCCGTGCTCATCGGCCGCCTCCTCAGGGAGTTGGACTTGGCGATGCTGCCGGCAGGCGACGCCGCCTTGCTCGACGCCGGCTCCTGCTGGCTCCAACGCTTCGCCGGCTCGGTGCACACCTCCGAAAACGGAGGCGGCGATCCCGGCGTGGAAATGGACGTGGCCACGCTCTCGGCCGGGCTGGCCGTACTCGCGAGCCCCGAGCTGGCGCTTGAGCACGCCTGCGAGGCATTCGAGTCGCTCCGGGTAGCCCACTTGACCGACATATCGAGCCTTGTCATCCTGGCGGCATCGAAACTGACGTCGTTGGTCCCGTTGCCGTAGCCGTGCACCACAATCTCGTGGTACAGAGGCTTGCAGGGTGACGACGACGCCAGCGGCGGCGTGGGCGCCTTGGCTTGCCTGAGCTTCCTCACCGATCTGCGGAAAGGCGAGCCGCTGCCCAGGATGCGGGTGACGGAGCTTGAGCGCTCTATCGCGGGCGTCTCGTTTTGGAAAACGACCGAGCTCGTAGACTGCCGTCTTTCGGAGCAAGACTCCTTGTGCGTCAGGGCAAAGTAGTCAATGTCTGGCTTGATTTCGATCCGGCCCTTGGGGCTTTCGATGAGCGTGCTGCCCCAGGTGACAAACGACATGTCCTCGGTCGCTGTGTCGGTCTGGTCGTTCTCGTCCGACTCTGTCCACGACGGCAGGTTGTCGATGGGCGCGGTGAGGAGATAAGGCGCGCCGCTGTCGTCGCTGACCCCAGGTGGTTGCCGGTTGACGTGGCGCAGGGTTTGGTGGACCGCGTAGATCAGTATCCAGCGGGCCTTGCGGGCGTCGGCCAGAGACACCCGATCCTGTTTGTCCGCCTTGCTGGGCGACATGACCAAGTTCTCTTCGAACCGCCGGTACGCCCGGACGAGGTCGTTCTGGAAGACGTCTTCCCTCCAGTTGGACGCCCTGACCATGGCAGCGTGCTCCAGTTGCCGCGTGTCCGACTTGCTTGCCCTCCGCCCAAGCCAGGAGACGCGTTTCGTCGGACTTTTGTGCTCGGGCTGCGGGAGGAGGGGCAGTGCGTGCTGCAAGGGCTCAAACCCGAGGCGCGCGTCCACGGATTGGACGAGCTGGAGGGCGCAAATCCCCCCTGCCGCGGCCGAGGGCATCATCTCGTCGCTCGTAAACCCCTCGTCCTTGAGCAGCTTGTACAGCAGCGCAAAGTCGTCGCCCATGGTGCGGTAGACGGTCGCGTTGAAGGATCGCGGGGGGTAGTAGCCAAACTTGCCGCTGTAGAAGGACAAGAGAAAGCCGCGAAAGCCCTCCAGATGGGCCCGGATGCCGCACGAGACGCCGACGTGCGCCTCCGAGAGCTCTTCGTCGAGAAAACTGCGGAGCATGGCCGAGGTCCTGTCCATGGAGGCGTCCATATGGGCGCGTGCCTGGGCGATGAGCCTCCTCGACTCGGCGGTTACATTCTGTCGATCCTGTCAGCCTGATGGTGCGCGTCGTCGCCAGACGCCGAATACCCACCTGATACTCGGAGTTCGCGCCCAGTCGTTCCCGCATGCCGACGCAGTGGACAAAGGCTCGGATGTACAACTCCCTCAACTGAAAGGTCTCTGCCAGAGTCAAAAGGGCCAGGGCACGATGGGGCAGGTTCGTCATGCTCAAGTAGCCCTTCTCGTCGAGGTAGTCAACCAGGTCGCGCACGCTGTCGGCGACGGGCGACCGAAGCTCGTGCATGCTTCTGAAGAGGGTGACGAGAGCGGTGCCCAGATGCTTCCCGACAAGCGAGCCTCTCGTGGCCCAGGCTAGCAGGTTTCTCGTCGCCAGGTGATGGTCCGCAACTCGCTTTCTGTCCGACGTCGATGGCGGAGGCACGTAGAGCTCGACGTTGCGTCCCGCATTCTGGCGGTACCATCGCTCAATCTCGTCGGCCGTCCGCGGCCGGTGATCGTCCGTTACCAGGAATCGCGCGACAAAAGGGTGGCAGCCGGCCGCTAGGAGGGCCGAAAACGGAATCTTGAAGGATGGAGTTTTCTGGGGCCGGCCATGGCAGTGCAAGTAGACGAAGCAATCCCCGTGATGAATCCATAGTTCAGGATCCTGTGTAGGGCGCCGTTAGCAACTCTCCCCGTCTCTCCCGACCCTTTGGCTTCGCCGGCTGTCTTTGGCCGGGTGCGGGCATGGGGAATCGCAATGCGGATTTGACAGGCATACCCTTTCCCAACTCGCCCACTTAACGCAGGTCCTCTTAGTCCCGTCCCATCGCCGCAGCGCTGTGGGCGGAGAAACGGCATCGGCTGCGAAGCTGTGGGAGACGTGGGCCGCCGACACGGGGGAGGAGATGGCCATGTCGGAGAAAGCAGCTTCCATCACAGAGCCTTGCTCGGCTGCATCTTTGCTTGGCGACCAGGTAGGCAACTCGACAAGGGCTCTGCGCGGTGGGCGATGTAGTTATCCAAGCGACACGGGCACCAGAGAAGATCGACCAAGGTTTCATTCGGTTCCGGCCGCACAGCTCGTGTATGTAGGCATGTGGGTTGCGTGCGGGCACGCCCGTGGGGTTGTTTGCCTGCCTCTCGGTCTTGCCGAACTGCCGTCGATGCGTCAATGACAGAGGACAGTCCAAGCTGTCAATGGGCAGGCACCCGACGTCTGAGTTCCCAGGTCCAGCGCCTCGGGAGCGCGCGCACTCGCGTCGGCAGCTCTCGCCAGGGCCCGCCTTCGGCCACGGATGCGACCAACCGCAGTGTAGCAGATTGGCTTGGATGGAAGAAGACTGGCGCAACGCAGCTCGTCCGTCAATTTCCCTTTTTCATCGTCCAAGTCGCCGAGGGCCCTGCCTGTTGGCCTGGTTCCCACGAGCCAGCCCGGTGCTGGCTAACCCATTTGTCATGCCCGGCCCAATTCCTCTGAGTAGGGGGGGCTGGGCTGCCATGCAAGCGCCGCCCAGCCGTGTCTTATTAGCACGATTCAGCGAAGATCCCCTGCCGCGGATATCTCCCCAGATGGTTTGGGCATGCCGAGAAGCAGGGATGGCACCCTCCCCCCCTCTCCCTCCCTTCCCAGGCTCCAGCTCCGCTCTGAGACGACGGTCGGACGTTGCCATTCACATAGCGTTGCGTTTGTGCTGCTCCACGGCGGGAGCTTATCGTCCAGCGACGAGGCGAAGCTGCGAACAGGTGCATCCGCCTGCGACGCACGACAGGCCAGCTTGGAGCACCTCTTGGCCCGCAACGGCAGGATCGTCACCGACAGGCGGCGGCCATGGCACGGCATTGTCTCTGTGCGACAAGAGAGCTGCCTGTTGGTGGCATCCGCACTCTACGCCTCGTCATGGACGACGCGGACGGTGACGTGATCCCACGGCTGCGGCCAACAGCCATGGGCGTGTGGGCGTTCCTTGTTTCCATCGTCCCGGACGCCGACGCGGCTTGCGGTCGAGCAGCGGCAAGCTTCGCAACAGCTCGCGGTCAGGCCGTCCAAATCCCGCTTCCTCACCGATGCAGTGGCACCATGGGTCTCCGGTAGCCTGAGACACGCAGCGACGAGCTGCTGAACAACGCACGCCCGCAGCGCCAGTCACTGCGGACCTCTGGCTAACAACAAGAGTCCGCCGTAGTTCAGGATGACGTGGCGAGCTCCTCTTGTCCATTCCTCCAGCGGAGGCCGCCGGCTGATATTCCCCCAAGAAGCTGCCCCGGGAGATGACAGCTTCGACGATGTCGGGGAACTCCATTCTGCTTGCTCTGTAAGTGACGGGCATCCCTTGTCTTCGTCTTCGTCTTCCTTTTTCCCCCGCGAGGCGACGAACCCCCAATCGGCTAGATCGAGAAGCCTGTCTCACTGCAGGACATCGACTGCCGGCCGAGTCTCCATGTGTCAGGACAATTGGCCTTGCCCCAACAAGAAACAAGGGGAAAAGTCAAATACGCAAACAATCGTGGGGGTTCGAGGGGTGGGTGCGTGCATACAGTATGTGCAGGCGTCGCCGATGCGAGTACTCCATAGTCTGGACCACAGCTCCGACTGCACTTTAGCACGTTAAATGCTGCTGCCCCTTGCTTTTTCCTTTTCCCTTTGTTATTTGTTGATCTGCGCCTGTCGCATCCTCCGCCCGGCATTTGGCGTTCAGCGCCGTCTCGTCGTGGGCGCGACGCGTGAAGCTCGGTGCGCGACAAGTCCACGGCCCTAGGTATATGCGCGTAAAAGTGAGGGTTTCAATTGGCGCTCCCTGACCCAGGACGGCGCTCCTCATCAGGGCCAATTTGGAACAAGAGGGATGCATCGAGGCAAAACAGCCAGAGGGAGCGAGGCAAAGCCGCGCCGACTGTCTAGCTTAGTCATCAGACGCTGTGCCCTCACCGAGCCTCACCTTGGCCTTAGCCGACCGCAAAGCCAGGTCGACGCCATGGCATTCTTCCTCCCGAGACCAACCAGCCCCGGGCACGTACTGTAGCGTCGCAAATGGCGCGGTCCACGCCCTACACGTATATACAATGCCCTTGCTCCGACCAGTCGGCGGCCGATCACAGCGACGCGCCATCTCCCCATGGACCGACGGCCGACGAGGACGAGCGAACCTTTGACCCCCGAGCCCCACGATCCAGCTTTAGCTTATATCCTCTCGAGTACCTGCTCTACTGCGAAGACTGCCAGCAGATACGCTGTCCGAGATGCGTCACCGAGGAGATTGTCACCTACTACTGTCCCAACTGTCTGTTCGAGGTTCCTAGCAGCAACCTCCGCAGCGAGGGCAATAGGTAAGCCGGGGGGGGGGGCTGTCAAACGAGCCAGCTCGGTCAAGCTGACGGCAACTGTTTTGGTCAAGGTGTACGCGAAGCTGCTACCAGTGTCCGGTATGCATCGGCCCTCTCCAGGTTGGGTCGACCCAGCCCGTCGCCGACCCCAATATACCCGCAGCCGAGAGCCAGCCCAGCTCCACAGGCGGCCCCTTTGCCCTCTTCTGCCAGTATTGCAACTGGTCGTCCAAGGAAACCGGCATCGAATTCGAGCGCTCCGGCGGTCTATACTCGCAGCTCGCCAAGATGAACAACGGAGGGGCGCCCAAGGTGACCATCAAGGAGGTCAAGGAGCGGCGAAAGGAGCATCCAGACGAGCCCCCGCTACCGGACGACGAGGTCGACAGAGACCTACAGTTTGCGAGCCTCAAGGCCTTTTACCAGGAGCAACTCGCCGACGCTCGAGCTTCGCTCGGCGGTGTGCCTCTGCCCGACGGCGTGGGCTTCTCTTCCCCGGCCAACTTGACGCGCATCATGTCCCTCTACACCGGGCGCGGCCATCATGGCAAGACACACAAGGGGCCGTCGGACGTCGTGCGCGAGGCCCTCAACACCGATGAGGGCCTCAAGCTCGAGCAGCTCGACGAATCGAACTCCATCAAGAAGCTGACACACGGTGGCTGGGACGCGACCAACTCGCGCAGGCAACGGGAATCACAGCTCGAGCCCATGGTACGCTTCCAGGACCAGCTTCGACCGATTCCGTACCTCCTCCGCACCAAGCGGTCCAAGCGCTGCCCCGTCTGCCGCCACATCATCTCCAAGCCCGAGAACAAGGTGACGTCGACGAGGTTCAAGATCCGCCTCGTCGCCAAGTCCTACATGCCCACCATCACCATCCGGCCTCTAAACCCCACCGCGGCCCCTGTGCCCGTCGGCTCCCGGCCCGGCCCCACCGAGGAGGCGCCGCTCACGCCTATGAAGCCGTACCAGTACATCCTGACCTTTAAGAACCCTCTTTTCGACAACATCAAGGTCACGCTGGCAACGCCAAGCACGACCCCGGGGCGATTCGCGAGCAAGGTGACCGTCCTCTGCCCACAGTTTGAGGTCAACGCAAACACGGACATGTGGGACGATGCGTTGAAAGAGGACGGGAGAGAGGGCGGGCGCAAGGGCGAAGACGGCCCGAGTCAGGGCGAGGCGGGAAAGATATGGGAAAGGGGCCGCAACTGGGTCAGCATCGTGCTGGAGGTGATCCCAGCTTCCTTGCGCGCCGAGCATTCGATGGGCCTGGGCAAGGATGGCGCGGCAGACGACCCGCCCCGGGACGACGAGGATATCCTCGAGATTCCCATGTTTGTAAGAATTGAGTGGGAGGCAGACGCGCACAACGACATGGGCACAGGGGCAGACAAGGATAAGGAGACGAGGGAGAAGAGGGAGCTGGCCTATTGGTGCGTGCTCGGCGTGGGACGCATCAGTCACGAATGATGGGACATGACTAGATAGATACCCCAAGAGAATTCAGGGCGACGATGAGTGGCCGTGAGAGTATGCATTTGATATCCACGGAAAGCAGCCTGTCGTGCTTCCAAGCTACCCGCTCTCAAAAAGACGCCGAGCCCCAGTTTTGACCAACCATCGATGCGAACAAGTCATTTCCCAGCCCTTGGATGCCATGCCAAATAAATGGAGGTGCCCACAGCCTAGTACTCGGTGGCGCTGCTCTGAGGGAACTCAAAGTTGACGTTGCGGCCCGTCAAGCGGCGGTAGACCTCGGAGTAGGTGTCGAGCCTGTAGTCGACGCCGCCGCGCTCCTTCTCGTCGAGGACAACCTTGAGCAGCTTGCTGCCGTCCTCCTTGGTACGGATGCGCTTGCCGACAATCTCGACAGGGTAGCAGAGATCCGACAGAATAGCGTCGTGGACGGCCGTCAGGGTGCGCGAACGGGGGCGCTTCTGCTTTTGGGTGTTGCGGGAGCGGGCCGAGCGCTTGGGACGGGGCAGGATGCGGCGGCCGGCGAGGATCAGGACATGGCGGTCCGAGAACTTCTTCTCGAGCTCACGCGTCAGGCTGCGTGTCGTGTTAGTTGCCCAAGCCGTCGGGCGGGCGAGTTTGGGGGGAGCTTACCGCTGCTGGACCTTGTGGAAGCCAGCCAGGGAAGGGACGGGGACAAAGATGACAATAGCCTTCTTGCCGTGGCCAACTTCGATCTAATCAAGACCCAAAGTCAGCAGGCGAGCTCCAGGCAAAGCCTTGGACCGCTTCCCGTCCTGTTCCATCCAAATTGCACGGCCTGGCAGGCGCCGGCGCTTCCCCCTTCGGCGAGTTGTGTGTGCGCATCAATTCTCTCGAATCGGCTTCGCGCTCGGGGGCTCGCGTCGCCGCCAGTGTGGCATGTGGAACAGGGTATCCCGAGGACCGGGTCGGGAGCGTGTCGAGCGTTCACGCGGCTCTTCTCACCTCGCGGGCAGAGACGATCTGCAGAGGACGCAGGGCGACCTTGAGGTCGGCAGTGTTGGTCTCGAGGTCGTAGAGCGCCTGAGCAATGTTCTGCTCGAGCTCGGAGGGCTTTTGCCGCGAAGGGCTGTTGGGGGCGATCTTGTTCAGGGCCTGGGCGCTCATCTTGGCTGGGTGGTGCACAAACGGTGATGAGGAGGGTCGGTGGTGACGGATGGCGCTTCCTGAAATTTCTTGGGAGGTTTCGCTAAATTGGGGTTTTCGTGCCCTCGAGCTGGGCTGCAGTGGGGTCACGCGGCTTGCTCATTGGCTCGAGCGAGCGCTGGCCATGCCCTCACTCTCGGATCACGCGCTCGCTCACGTGCCTTGATAGGTACGTACCACTCCGTCTTGATGCCATCGCCAACTTACGGCACTGCAGTCTCTCGCCTGGGCTCAATGCATCTAGCCACAGCATTTGCAGACGATGCATTGACACAGGCAGCTCAATGGACATCATGTGCGGTACCGAGCTCTGACACATTCTCGTTTCCTCTCTTGCTCTCACCGTCGATGGGTCTTTCTGTCAACCCCCAAAGCGCTCTCTCGACAGTACACTGTCATCGACCAGCCGGCGCGGTGGCTTGTCCTGAGAAAAGAGTCTCCCAAGTATCCCGATGAGATCTTCCCTTGACATCCATATCACGAGCTCGCTGTCCTGCCTTAAATTCATCCCTCTGCCCCGCAAGCTTGTCCTGGGGGCGCCATCCCCGCCACCATCTGGGCAGGCCCTCATGGCTGCCTCAGTCCGTTCTTGCAGTGATGATGGAAACAGCACTAGCCTGTCTCGACACTCGGCGGCTCGCTCTTGCCGTGATGGAACTCGGGACTGTAAAGCAGAGTCATTTGGGAAGGCCCGGGGACGCGTCGTCCGCCGCCAGCCGCCAGCGCCTTCCGGCTTCCCAGGCCTCGCGTCTTTTCTGGCCCATTTCAAGCGTCGCCCGTCTCCCCGAATCCCTCTCTTCTTTTACACTCCATCCACTCTTCATTTGCTTTCTTATCATTCCCCACGTTCCAAAAGTTGGCCCAGCTCAGCCTTGATAGCCTCGCCCACACACTGAGAGCATCTTTCTTGGTCAACTCAAGATGGCCGCTGCCTTTTTGCTCGCCGCTTTCGGCGCTTCCCGCGTCGCCGCCCAGATGGAGCACAGCAATTCAGCCTTTGCCTACATGGGCTGTTCATCTGTCGACTTGTCCTGCTTCGGAAGCCCCATTGTCTTCCCAGACGGCCATGTGACTCCGGAGGCTTGCCAGGACGCCTGCCACGGCCATCAGTTTGCCGCTCTCCTGCCAGGGTTCGTGTCCGCTCCCAGCTTTATGTGGTTGTTTGACTGACGGCGTTGCAGTGCTTGCCACTGTGGCGATGACGCGAGTGGCATCACGGCCATCGACGAGAACTTTTGCAACACTGCTTGCATGGGTGATCCCGCCTTTGGGACATGCGGTGGCTTCGACCAAGATCAAGGCGGCAGCATTGCCAACGTGTACGACTGGCCTGCCTCTCCGGGACAAGAGCATGGGCTGGTGACGTCCCAAACCGTCCACACCGTCTCCCTTCCAGCCCCTGCTACCGAGTCCCCTTGTTCCACGTTTGAGCATATGCCATCTGCACCTCCCACGGCCGCAACTCTCCTCACGCCCATTGGGTCTGCCCCGGAGGCTCCGGCCTTTTCCTCGACCTATCTTTCGGATGAGTTGCCGCCTTCAGCGCCGGCATTCCCACACACGTCGCAGGCCAGTGAGGCTTGGACAACGTCTTGTTCGCAGCATGATCGTTTAGTCACCGAGGTGCCAACTCCTCCTGAGCCGTCTCACGCCTCGACGAGTGAGTACTCTGGACCTCTCACCCGCGACACTGTGGACACTGATACTCCGTGTGCAACAGAGGGTCCCAATCCTCCGGATTATTCCTCGGACGGAGAGGCACGCCCGACTCCAGGATGCGGTGACATCGGTGGCCCGGACGATGTTGATTGCACGCCCACCCGTCCAGCAGAGCTGTCTGAAGTCCCCTCGCAGAGAACCCTTTGGCCCGCTGCTCCATACGCTTCTGCCCCGACGTTGGAAACGCACATTCCATCCCAGGTCCCGGAAAACGATGCCCCTCAGGACCTGATTCCCGCCTTCTCGGCGTTTGGTGGACTGGCTTTGATTGCGGCCATGATCATGTAGAAGGCTCGGTCAATGGCTGGTAGGGTCGTCGACGGGTCCGCCTAATGCTGCAGGCGGCATCTCGTTGTCATCATTGTTTGGAGGATTTTAATGGTTGGGGGAAGTATGAACGTGCGGGAGAGAAGACGAGGGTGGATTGGTGGAGAATTAGAGATATGGATGGCACCATTGCCGATGGTGGCAGTGAGCCGCGACAGTGTACGTTATCAGTAATGGTATTTCATTCCTTCAGTCGTTTAATTTGCGTTGCCGTTGCCACAGCCTGCCTTTTTTGACAGTATTAAAGGCCTAATACAGGGTAGGCGGTAATTAACGAAGTCGAGAGAGTACGTCTAATGTGCGATGTTCTTTGTATTTCAGCCCCCGCTTCGCCCCTCCCCCGCGATTGATTGATGCACCTACATTATCTCTTGCTCGTCACTACCCGAGACCCCGTCTACGAGCCCGAAGTTCTCAAGTGCCAGAGGGCAGATTCCAAGCGAGCTGAAATCCATCCAAGATGCAGTCCGGAATCTCAGGTAGGGCCGCCGGCGGTCCGCCTTGCCCCGGACCAGTCGCTAACGGCGCGAGTCAGCTTCGCAAGAGCTCCAAGCGCAGTTCAACTCGCTGCTCTCGTCCTCGGACACATTTGCCCTGCTGGCGAGCATCGAGAGCGAGTCCCTGGTACCCGTTACGACGCTGCCGTCTGCCGCCTCGACGTTTGAGGAGAACCTGGCGAGCCTGCAACCGCACATCAAGCCCAACGTGGCACTGTACCTGATCCTGCGGCGATACGAAGCGGCGCCGAAGCTGCTGGCCGTTACATACGTGCCCGACTCGGCGCCCGTGCGGCAAAAGATGTTGTTTGCGGCGACGCGCCTGACGCTCGTGCGAGAGCTGGGGACGGAGCATTTCCGGGACACCGTCTTTGTGACAACGGCCGAGGAGTTGAGCGAGCGCGGGTTCCAGAAGCTCGACGCGCACAACAAACTCGAAGCTCCGTTGACCAAGGAGGAGAAAACACTGGAGGAAGTGAAGCGAGCCGAGCAAGAGGCTGGATCCGGGACGGGGACGCGGGAAATCCACCTGAGCAAGAGCCTGTCGATGCCCGTGGCCGAGGATGCCATTGTCGCCATGAAAGGGGTCGGCCAGGCGGGAGACCGAATCGTGGCCATGCTGGTGAGTTGGAAATACAGCAAGCGATGATTGGACACCATCTGATGCATACGCAGAAAATCAACACAGAAACGGAAATAGTGGAATTGGTGCCTGAATCACCCAGGCCCAGCTCCATCAGCGAGCTATCACGGGCCATTTCGGCGACGGAGCCCCGGTTCACCTTTTATCGCTTCACGCACAGCCATAACGGGACCGAGGAGAGTCCCCTGCTCTTCTTCTACACGTGCCCAGTCACGCCTGGGAACAGGGCCGTCAAGAGTCGCATGCTGTACCCGCTCATGAAGCGCGCCGTCTTGCATGTTGCCGATAAGGAGGCGGGCCTCAAGATTGACAAGAAGTTTGAGGTGGAGGAGCCGAGCGAGATTACGGAGCAGACGGTCATGGACGACCTGCACCCAAAGGTAGCCGCCACGCAGGGGTTCAGCCGGCCGAAGCGGCCAGGCCGGTGATTCTCGCAGACGAGGTGTAGGAAGATGGTGGCCCCTGAAGGGCAAGAGAGGACGAGGTGCGTGCTTTCGTGATGACAGAGGACATATACACAAGTATGCAATTGACTGGCTGGGAATGCAGCATGCAGACGCCCTCCCCGATCTATGCGCTCCGAACCTCACGGTATGCCAAAGAGAAGAAAGAGCAATCAGGCCGATGCACTCCGAAACTCTCTCATCTCCTCCATGCCGTCGGTTCTATATGTGAAGAAGTGAGAAACAAATTTCCAACAACCCTCCGCCTGAGGTTCGCGGACACAGGCAGACCTGCGCCTCGCCGTCTCCGCGTCGGGCATGCTGGTCGACCAATGCAGAGCAACGGCGCCGCGGTGGGCTTTGGAGGATGCCCCGCCTCGTCTCGTCTTCGACCGCCACGTGTCTGCTCTCTACTCTTCGTACTTGCCGGCGCCGGTAAAGGACAAGTTGCTGCGCTCGAGGTGGTCCTTGAGATACTCGTAAACGGTGAAGGTGACGGCCTGGCCGGGAGCAACACGCATGATGCGCGGCGTGATGCCCTTGTAGAAGGCGTGGAAGCCTTCTTGCCTGTCGCGTGGGGAAGCTGGGTCAGCCAAGTACCTGGTGAGAGTTCTGCAGGGGGAAGAGAATGGGGCGGGAGACTTACTTGAACATGTCGGACGAGATGCGGGCTATCCTGGACCACGCGCTGACGCCGGGCTCGGCGGGCGTCTTCTGCAGGCGGGTCTTGATGGTGTCGATGGGGGCGTTGCTCAGGGGACCCATGGCGCCGCTGACGAGGCCGATGACGGTCGTCTGCCAGCTGGGCAGATTGACGCTCTCGTACTGGGGCTGGAAGCGCTTGAGGGCGTCCTTGAAGTAGCTGTAGGCGGTGAAGTTGACGGCCTGGTTGGAGCCCTGGCGCAGGGCCGTGAGACTGACGCCGCGGTAGAGGGCGCCGAAGCCCTCCTCTCGGACAACGGTGTAGAGGGCGTGGGCGGCGTTGCGGTACTTGGGGATGTCGAGGGGGTCGGCCATGGAGTGGTGCTGGGCCTGGAGGCGGATCTTGATGACCTCCATGGGAGTGACGACGGCGACGGCCTCGGTGACGCCGGCGGCGAGGCCGGCGGCAAAGGTGGCGCGGCCGGAGACGGCGCCCGAGGACTTGTCGGCGAGGAGCTGCTTGTAAGACTCGAACGAGGTGAAGCGGATGGCCATTTTGGGGACGATGCCCGTGAGGACGGCGCCGAGGCCCTTGTACAAGCCGAGCGGCGTCTCCTTCTTGACGATCTCGACGCCGGTGCGGACGAAGCCGCGCTTCGGGGCGCCGGGCAGGCGAGCGCGGCGCGAGAGCTGCATTCGGACCTTGATTGTGTCTGGCGAGCCGGGGGCATGTGTAAGTGAGAGCTTGCCCCGTGGAGGCGGAGCTGGAGGACGTACCGAGGGGATGGCAGACGAGGGCCTCCATCATGCCGGCGCCACCTCCGGCTGCAGAGGTGTCAGTCAGTGGGGCAAGTACGGGCCTGGCCTTGACGAACCGATGAGGTTTGTGGCGGCCGTCGGGGGCTTCTTGTTGCCATCGTTGGTCCGGGGCATGGCTGGGCAGGACCAGACAGCGACGAGGCTGTCTCTACGGACGCGGCTCTGCTGTCCGGGGATCCGGCAATGCCGCGATGATGTCGGCCGGGAGCGTTCAAGGGCGGCGGCGTCACGGCTCTATGCGCAGCAAGGACAAGGAAGAGTAAAATGGGGCCGAGACAGGACTGGAGAGAGAATTCACGCGCATATGTATGTGAGGTGAGTTTAGGTAGGCAGGGGAGATGGCAGAGTCCAAGACAGCCCCCCGAGGGCGGATCATGGGCATTCACATGTCAAAAGGGCGGGGACCGGGACGGATTCGACATGGAACGGGGGTGGGAGGGACGAAGGGGGAGTGGGGTGTGTGACGACAGGGAGGGCAAAACGAGACTAGAACAATGGAAAAGGGCTAATCGAGGGGACAGGAGGACGAAGAAGAGGGCAAGGAAAGGGGCGTGATGCGCGAACACATGGTGATGAAGCCGAGCTTCAACATACTAAACATGTACCTCCCTTAATTACTACTAGGTAGGTAGGTATCTGCCCCTCCCCCTCCTGCTCTCCCCCACACGATCGAGGTACCGGCAACGGCGCCGAAACTCGGGCACGGCCGGCAATCACGTTCGGAATGCCCCGGCACTCCCGCGAGGCGTCTCTCGCTCTCTCGCGCTCTCTTCCCCCACCGGCAAACACACACAACACGTTACCTTTACCCTCCACTGTACGGGCAAGCAAAGCCAGGAGAGAGACACGGGGCAGGGCCAAGAACAGAGGCGTCTGCGTTTGCGCGAGCGGTGCGCGTGCGTCGCGTGCGTGTAAGTGGGTGGCGCAAGTCCCTTTCCGCGCCCACAGCGTGCAGCGGTACATGCCCCTCGAGGGACTGAGTCGGTTACAGTCCGCGCGCCCGGCGGGTCGAGGCGGACGTCCCGCCGCGGCTAAGCTGGCGGGGACAAGGCGGGGGACATCAAGGACTGGCCTTCGCCGAGGTCCCGGGCGGAAGGGGCCAAGCAGGCAGGGACAGGGGCGGCTTTTGTCGTGCCGCGGGTTGGGGTTAAATGCCCGCTTTGGGCGAGGCTTGGCAGGCGGCACATGACTTGGGGGTGCTGCCGCTAATACTGTATGTACAAGTTGTATGGGATTTATATAGAATTGTAACCGTAACTTAGTACTCGGTAGCTGCCTGTCGATCATACATAGGCAACTGGGTATATGTTCGTCTAGGGATGCGGTGGGGAGGCGGCATCTGGGAACCAGGCGCTGGCAAGCTCAAGCGACTGGGCAACGACACGCTGGTCATCCAAGATGCCGTGCAAGCGCATGCTGCCTTGGTGCCAATTGCCGCCGGACACGAGACGTTGGCAAAGAGCGACAGCCATCTCTTTGTTTACATGTATACAAGGTGCCGTGTACCTGGAGCACCCGGCCGGCAATTGCGCCCCGTCTGTGCCGAGGCACGGCGCCGTTGCGGGCCGCGGCGAAGGCTCGAGTCACGAGGGGGCAGCCATCGTCACCACTTCTCCAGGACACCGTCTGCGTAACCGACGGTATACGGCATGTCACGGGCACACGCTCGCTCCAGGGTGTCCGCGAAAGCAAGAGGTGGGAGAAAGGGTCTTGATGATTGCCGAGCAGAGGCTTTTCGCAAATAAACCAGCGCTCCCGCTTGCGAGATGCTATGAACCAGCTTCTCGCCCAATCGCCTAATCCAACAGGAAAGAAAAGATGCAATCGCCCTAACCACATGGTATCATACAGCCGTCCCAGCGCCTCCCTCGCCCGTGACCACTCCCCAGCTCTGCGTGGTCCGGGAAAGGGTATCCTGAGTCCAACTGGGATCGAGGAATTCCGCAGTGAATTTGAAAAGAAGAAAGACAAAAAAGAATAGGACTGATGGGTATCGCAACGGAAAGCTGAAAAGAAGCCGGAACTTGGCAGAGTCGGACGAAAGAGACCACCGGGAGAAGACGCTCTCTCTCTACGACGGCGTCCCCCTCTCCTCGGCCCCCTCGCCCTCAAAGCTGTAGAGCCGCACCTCGCCGTCCTCGCTGCCGCTCGCCATCCGACTGTCGCTCAGCCCGACGCACGTCACCGGCCCCGCGTGGCCCGTGAAGCTGCGGTCGCATTTGCCCGACCGCGGCTCCCAGATCTTGGTGACCGAGTCGTTGGCCCCCGTCACCACCCGCAGCGTGTCGCCCACCAGGCCCCAGATGCCCTCGACGTGTCCAAACATGCTGCGGATGCACTTGCCCGTCTCCACGTCCCACAGCCGCACCGTATTGTCCAGCCCGCCCGTCAGCATGTACCGCGGCGGCAGCGGCCGCGCCGGGTCCGATGCGAACCCGTGGCCGAGCGCCGCCCGCGAGTCCACCACGGCCGGCGCCTCGGCGCAGCTCGGCGTCGGCGTGCCGCCGCGGCTGCTGTGCACCGACGCCGCGTCCGTCTTGTCCTCGCTCGGGACGGCGTCGGGCTCAAAGTCGGACGGCATCAGCAGCACCTGCTGCACCTGGCCCACGTGCCCGCGAAACGTCTTGATGCACTGCTTCGAGTCCAGGTCCCACAGCTTGACCGACATGTCGTCCGAAGCGGAGAAGACGGTGCGCGAGGGCGAGTCGATGCGCACGTGGTTGACCCAGTCGGTGTGCCCGCGCAGGCAAAACGTCTGCTTGGTGTCGAAGCTAAAGATCTTGACCGTCTTGTCAATCGACCCCGACGCCAGCGTGCAGCCGTCGTAGTGCACCGACAGCACGCCCTCGGTGTGGCACTGCAGCGTGCTCAGGCACTCGCCCGTCTGCCAGTTCCAGATCTTGATGGTCTTGTCGAAGCTGCCGCTGATGAGCTTGGACTCGTCAAACTGCAGCGTGCGCACCGTCGCCGTGTGCCCGCGCAGCGTGCGCATCACCTCGCCTGTCTCAATGTTCCAGATCTTGATGGTCGTGTCGTACGAGCCCGTCGCCAGCATGTTGTCGTCAAACTGCAGGCACGTCACGCCGTTTTCGTGGCCCTTGAACGTCTTGATGGCGCACCGACCCGTCTTCCAGTTGTAGCCCACCTTGTACCGGTCGCGGTAGACGTCCTTCCACGGCCGGAACTGGCGCTCGACATCGAGCTGCGATCGCGGCGAGAGCGCCGCCTTGGGGTTGCGCTTGGGCCGCTTCGATGGCCCGTCGTCGCAGGCCGCCAGGGACCGTTTGTTAGCGGGCTGAGGTGAGGAAGTGGTCGGGTCGGCAGAGTCTTGGACCGAGTCCTGGGCCGCATCGGCGCGGTCGTTGCGGTGGTGGGCGGATTGATGCTGGCTCCAGGCCGTCAATTTTTTCTTTTCCAGCAGCGGCAGCCCCCAGCCGCACTTTGTGCACTTTCTGTCAATGTGCTGCTCGCACATGCGGTGCCAGACAACGTCGTCGTCGGCCAGGTTGCGCCAGCGGCGGCTAACCTGGGCGGCCTTGCAGAGCGAGACGGTGTCGAGATGGCACAGGATCTTGTAGGAGAGCTCGGTGGGGAGAGCGGCGAGAAAGTCGATTTTGAGCTGTTCCTGGACCTCGCGCGACACGGTGGAGAGCTGGGGGAAGCAGCACTGGGTGATGATGCCCTGCAGCATCAGGTCGCGGTGCTTGGCGGGGGCGGCCGAGAAGAGGGACCAGACGTGGGTGATGGCTTCTTGGTCGGCGACGGAGAGGCTGTTGAGCTCCTGGGGGCAAGGATTATTAGCTAGCGATGGCGCGGCGGAGAAGCAGGACCTACCCTCTGGATGAAGCCCATCTTGGTCTCGTCGGCGGCGCGGCGGCACTTCGAATCGGGTCGGTGGCGATAGCAGTAGCGGGTGTTGGGGTCTTTGGCGCGGGAGTCGGCGGCGTCGTCGATGGCGCCCTTGCCGACGGGGGCGTAGAGGCCGGGGATGTGCTCCTTGAGAAAGGGGCTGACGGCCTTGCCGACGAGGTTGGACGACATCTTCTTGAGCCTGGTGTTGTCCTCCTCCTGCGGGCGGCGCCGGTCGCAAGTGTCGCGCGGCAGCGGGCGCGAGGGCGGGAGGGCAGGCGTGTTTAAGGCGTCGTCGGGGGGGTCATGGGCCGGAGACGCAGGCGGCAGCGGGTGGCCCTGGCGGGGCGGGTGTGCAAGATGGTCCATGGCGATGGGGGCCGACGAGCAGCAGCTGGGATGGGAGGCTGTTGGCGAGGCAGGGTTATGGTTTATCGGAGGGCATCTGTCTCAGGAGCCGAGCTTGTGCACGCGAGGCTGCGGATGGCGTGCTGGCCGACAGTCTCGGGCCGTCTGTACGGAGTAGCAGCAGCAGAGTTTTGTTTTGCCGCCCGCCGTGGGTGGCGTTTATTTGATGGGGATGGCTGGCGAGGGACGAGTAGGTAGTTAACTAAGGTAATACAGTACATACCTACAGCACAGTACAGTACCGTACGGTAGACGAGTCGCCCATCGCGCTCTCCGCCTGCCAAGCACGAATTAGAATCAATTGGACTTGGCCGCCCGCCGTGTGTGCTTCGTCACACGGCGCACAGTAATCATGTTTCTGCGGTTGGTCTATCCCTGTTCTTGTTTGTTCCCATCGTCTCAGCTGACCGACTCCAGAGAGAGCGAGACATTCATCAGGCTCTCGAGGTGCTCGAGGGATTCATATGCACGCTATCAAAGCCGCCAAACCCCCCCAGACCCGCCTGCAGGACAGCGTTGCAGTGAAAACAGCGCAGAGACGCAGGGCCTCCAAGGTCGCTATTTTTCCAGGTACCAGTAATCTCCCAGAAATAATCAGTGTCCGCACTCGGTACGCAGATAGCTCACTAGTAACTTATAGCACAGCCGTTGCGGCCCCGCTGTATGTTGGGTGCTATGCGGCCCAAATGGCGTTATTTCGCCTTGTCAGATCCTTTTTTCGCACCCTGCTTAGGTGAGCCCGAGCTTATTCATCAGCCTTGCCACCAACTCGTCACACCTCGCTTGCATCACGTGCTCGCGCTTCGTCACTGCAGGCACTTCATCCATGCTTCTCCTCAACAGACCTCAGCACAGTCGTCGTAGAAACCCTTCGCCCGCAGCAACGACAGACGCCGGCGGCCATTACCAAGCATCCGGATGGGCTACCGAATTCCCCCAGATCCCGGGGGGTGACACTGCCTCCGGAGTTGCAGTCGAGGCGGATCCATGGCAATCATTCCGATGCACAATTGCGGGCGATTGCCGCGACAAGCTTCCCACATCGACTCGTCATTCTATGTATACAGCTTATCGTCGACTCGCAGATTACCCACAATGGCGTGCTGCCCTCAAGCTTTACCTCGGCTTTTCGCCACATTCCCAGCGCCAGCCTTGCAACCGCAACCAGGAGCCTGGCGACTCCGATCCGCCACACAAGCTGACGTACTGGCCCAGCCGTCGCTACTCAATCGACACGCTATCGTGTGCTGCTCAATCCTCATCATTTTCACCTCTTCCCATGTTCTGCTTCCGTGTTCAACTAACTCTGCATGAAATCGTATGCCAATAACAGCCAAGGACAGTCTTTAGCCGTGCATTCAACACTGTCGTCCCGCTCATTCATTCTCACTCCCAACTCCTATTCCCTAGAGAACAGCGCCCCGCCAAGCTGCGTGGTCGCAAACGCAGACTTCAATACATAGGCTAGCGGACTCGCCAAGGCTGCAGCCGCGGCTGTACTCACTCAGCCTCTTGACCCTGGTCCAGCTTGGTGACATGGCGTCGACGGCTGGCTCTGATCCCGCCATCACCTCACTATCACCCGATGCCCTCGTCTTGCGCTTCCGCTCGTCGCCGTCTTACTTGGGCTCCACATAGACACGGGGCTGTAGCCGCCAGAGTTCTTGATGAGCCACAAGCAGACTCTCTGCACCATGACGCCGAGGTCTGTCGCATACTCCTCGGCCGTGATTTTCCACTCGCCGAAGTCGGGCAGTTATGTTGCAACTTGACAAGCTCTGCAAGATGCGAGTCGCGGATCTCGAGTGCCTTCCAGTGGACCTCTTTCAAGTCCAGTCCGAGCTCGTGTTGGACGGTGAGATCGAGGTTTGGCCACGTCCCATTTCCGCGCAAGCTCCTTGAGCAGCCAGATGAAGTCATTGTGGTAGCCGATGAGCGTCGCTACCAGCTCGTGCATGCGGATAATGACGGCATGGCTGAGCACTCGGTCAGGCAGGCATCGGTACTCCTTTTGCATGCACAGATACTTGGCGTACGACAGCCCGCCCGAAGTCTGCCGGCGAATCGACTGGAAAGCTGAAAATGGCGCCGGTCTGCTGGCCGCGTTGTGACGCTTCTCGTCGCCGAAGCCCGGCTCCGGTTCTCCGCCGTCCTGCCCGTCAGGAGGGCGCCGACCCGTTCCTTGGATCTTTCGAGCCATTGTACTCGGCAACGAGGTCCTCCGTCAAGGGGGTCACCAGGTCGGGGAACGTGTAGCGAGGGCGGCGAAAGGCTTCTTGTTCAGAGTAGAGCTGCTCTTCGGTCCTTGAAGCCATGGTGCTCTCAGGGGCTCGTGACTCCTCCCTTTGTTTGAAATTGTGGCTCGGAAGGCGGCTGGATTCCCGGGGAACGAAACGCCTCTACGGCCTGCTTGCTAAGACGCTGAGATGAAAGGCAGACTCAGGGTGTCTCCTCGATGGAAGGGGACGGAACCGATCTACCTTTTTGTTGCAGTGACTCGTACCGAGGCATGAGCGCTCAACTCTTATAGCTTTTCGGGTCGGCAACCCAAGCTGTTTTGTTTTATTAATCAATGCTGCCTTCCAGCACCAGAACCGGCGAGGCCGCTGAGAACCGTGGACAGCAGTTGCCTAGCAATGGCTAGTATCAAACGCACCAGTTGAATAAACAGGCACAATTTGGCTCGATGTTGGTAATAAGACATGCTGTGACTATTTTATACTGCTTTATATTAATACCTGGCCGACGTGTGGCTGACATGGACTTGCAGGGCACCCGCGAGGGAAGACTGCGAGCATGTCCAACCACGAAATACACGGATGTACTTTGCGGTAGCCGCGGCCAAAGGTCAAGTGATGGTCGTAGGCAGAGAGAGCCGAGCATGGCTTGGAAAGCCTGTTTCAAAGCCGCATCTATCCGCTATTGCATGTCCCGCCCTCACTGCGCGAAATCGACTACAGCCAGGGTCTATCGAACAAGCAGGGATCCTGTGCTCTGTCGAGAGCAATGTAGATCATCTCACACATACATGTGCAGCAGCGTCTACAGTTTTGAAACCTCAAGGCTTCCCACCATTGGCCGCGATATTGTACGCAGATGACTGTTGAACAGTTGTTTAGTGTGCACAGTGCTCTGCACTTTCGGCAGTCCCTTTTGGGTGTCATTTATAGTCCAGTATTGCTCCTGGTGCGAGACTACGCTTGATCACTACACGTAGGTCTGAGTAATACGACTTGTCGGGACTCGTGTGATGGGGGAGCCAATAGAGGCGCGGACCCCCGCGCCTTTAAAGTCGGCGCGGACGTCCGCGCCTGTTATGTAAGCCCAGGCGGAAGATAGTCGGGCCGCCCCCTGACCTGTACTCTCCTTTTCTATTGCATGTGGCAAACTGTCGCACAGAGAGCCAGCCTCATATAGCATACCATCTGCGCTCAGAGTAGTTGTCCGCGGAAGCGATGCTATAATCCGCATATTAAGGTCGAGCGCCTGCATGCGTGGTGCTTGGACCCCATTGAGGCCAAAGCTCAAACGCAGGCTGCATTAAACCTCGCAGGCGGCCTCGGTTACAAGGGTTCTGCACCACGTCCACAAAGCAGGAGTTTCCTTTCCTTTGTGTATAAAGAGCTGCTCACTGTCGTGCACTACAGCTAGCTCTTCAAGATAATTCCAATATGGGGCTTACTGAATTCCCTGACGATTGCCTTCCTCCTGAGGGCCAGTTCGACTCGCGAGAGTCTCTTCTTGCCTCAATTAATGCGTGGGCGGCTCCAAGAGGCTATGCCTTCACCACAGGCAAGTCCACGAGAGACCCGCGGTCCGGAAGACGCACAGTCATATTTGCCTGCGATCGTGGAGGTAGACTTGGGGCTCATACAAGCAAGGACCAGAAGCCAGCTGATCGGCAACGGTCTACAAGCTCCCGTATCACTGGATGCCAGTTTTCCATCAATGCGAAAGAGAGCCTTGATAAGTCGTACTGGTATGTCAGGCATCGCCCAGGCGAGGAGAAGTCGGTCCACAACCATGAGCCCAGTCTGCATATTACAGCACATCCAGCTCATCGTGCCTCTCCTCAACTGACCAGTCAGCTATTGGGAACCTCTCAAGCGCTGGCATAGCACCAAAGGATATCCGGACATATATGCGCCAGAGCTCTCAGACTGCCCAAGGAGCGACACAGCAAGACATATATAACTGTATCGCACAGCGCAGACGAGAGCTCCTTGCTGGCCAGAGCACAATGCATGCCCTTGCCAATGAGCTTGACAACGAGGGGTTCCAGAGCCGCATACAGCTTGATCATGATGGCCGAGTCACAGCAGTCTTATTCGCACACCCAGCGTCTCTAGGATACCTCAACGCATACCCAGAATTACTACTGCTAGACTGCACATACAAGACGAACAAATATAAGATGCCACTGCTCGATATGATCGGCGTTGATGCCTGTCAGCGGTCATTCTGTATTGCCTTTGCCTTCCTCAGTGGTGAAGACGAAAATGACTATATCTGGGCACTGGACCAACTCCAATCGATATACGAGTTATATGACATTCGCCAGCCATCGGTTATCCTGACAGATCGCTGCCTCGCCTGCATAAACGCAATTTCCCGGTGCTTTCCTGCGTCCAAGTCTCTGCTTTGCATCTGGCATGCGAATAAGGCGGTGCTTAGCTATTGCAAACCAGCTTTCGACCGTGACGATGAGGACTCTAATAGTGATGAGAGGTGGGCTGAGTTCTTTGGGTATTGGCACTCAATCGTGGGCTCGAAAGATGAGGAGACATTTGATCAACAAGTTGAAGAGCTCGAGAAGCGCTTTGTGCCACGATACGTCAAGGAGGTTAGCTACATACGGAAACCTGGTTGGACCCGTATAAGGAAAAGCTCGTCAAGGCCTGGGTCGATCAATATGCTCACTTCGGCAATGTGGCTACTTCCCGGGTGGAAGGCATCCACGCATTATTGAAGAGTCACCTTAAGAAGTCAACATTAGACCTCTTCGAGGCAACGAGGGCAATCAAGCAAGCTCTCCTCAACCAACTGGCCGAGCTACAAGCCAACCAAGCCAGGCAGCATATACGGATGCCAATTGAGCTCTCTGGAACCGTATATAGCACGGTACGTGGCTGGGTATCACACGAAGCCTTGCGACAGGTTGCAAAGCAACACAAGCGCCTCAACGAGAAAAACACCCCATCTTGCACAGGCAGCTTCACCAAGTCTCGCGGTCTCCCTTGTGCGCACGCATTACAGTCTCTCATAGTGGAAGATCTGCCCTCCGGCTACAACATTTTCATACACATTGGCGCCTTCGACGGGATAACAAAGAGATTGGTCAGGTCCTCATAGAGCCTCGTCGGCGACTAGACCAACTTGTCGCCGCATCAAGGATATCACAGTCATCCACACAGCGCGAGCCAAGTGCATTTGAAGCCATAGAGTCAGATCTACGGCCAAAGGCGCCGCCTACATGCAGCAAATGCCACCAGCAAGGGCACATCATGACATCTCGCAATTGTCCTTTACGCTATAGCGACATACTGCAGCGGGCAGAGGCACGGGCGGCACAGACTGCAGAGACTGCAGCAATTGCAGGGACTGCACAGACTGCACAGACTGTACAGACGGTAGCAGTTCCAGAGACTGCGCAGACTGCAGCAGTCATGGAGAAAATGACAGTTGCAGTCACTACGGTCTCTACAGTCTCTACAGCAATTGCAGAGACTACAGAGACTACAGAGAATCTATTATATGATGACCCACGAGCCATCTATCAGAGGTATGTCAGGAAAGAGACTCTTGGTATAGAGCACAGCCTCGCGGCAGTCTCAAGACCAACCAGGCATACCGAAAGGCAATGGGCTTGCCATTGCGCTACAGCAAGACTGAATATGACTGGTGCCTCGACTGGAAGCAAATGTCAAGGAGCTGCGGCTCGAGGCAATGGACCAAGGTAGAGATGATGGCATACCTTGATTGGGATAAGGCAGAAGAAGAGCGATTAGATGCCCGGGTGGCCGAGGAAATTCAGGTGCAGCCTTTCTCACGAGAAAGAGGTACTGCAGGTATATGGGCTGACTGCGAGAGAGACTCAGAGGAACAGCAGGCATTTTATTCACATATATAAGTGGTGATGATGCCGGCGATGCGAAAATGTGAGGCAGATCGTGAGATCACCGACATGCACCGGCGTGTAGCACTGTAGCTGGCCAATTTTAAGGCGGTGAACTTCCGCGCACCCTCCTTGCCACGCAACAGCGGCGCCCTTTGCGTCACGTCAATCTACCAAATAGGGAAGGCTATGGGTTCGAACCCTAAGGGATATCCTCCTTTGCAATTAATTGAAGCTATATGTATGCAGCAAGCATGCTGTATCGGTGAGGCCGACTGCGAGCGCAGTTGGCGGCGGCCCAAATGGCCTGCCAGGCTTACATAACAGGCGCGGACGTCCGCGCCGACTTTAAAGGCGCGGGGGTCCGCGCCTCTATTGGCTCCCGTGTGATGGCTACTGCTGACATATCCCAGGGGCTCAACAGCCAACTCATATGTCGGCTCAAGGCACATTTCTGACACCCGCTCCCTGGACAAGACCAAGCTGCGTGGTGACTTCGAATGCGACCTTGCTGATTCCGCTCTCGACGACGCCACTTCCTGACACGCGTCCGATCGTCTGGCTTGGGTCGCAGGGCGTAGGGTTGACGTTTGGAGATGCTGCCGGAGCAGTAGGACGCGAGTACCGGCTGGATGGGTGACGGACTGGCAGGAACCAAGCCCTCGGGACTAACAGACGACGGAGGGAGGCGGAGAAGAGCATCCGTCGGCGAGACACAGGACAACGAGGGGATGTGTTTGAAAGCCGCCTCCATGTGCTGGGCACTGTTGTTTTTGCGTTGCTCCATTTCCCGACGCCACGGCTGCCTCTCTGTAGACTGCAGCAACCATGGTGAGTTGCGTGTTCTCTCTTGCCAGCGGTAACCAATGGTGAAAAGGGCGACGGACTCGGGTGAAAGCACGTCTGCATGAAATAAAGAGAAACGGGCTTACGGGAGAGGAACAAGCGGGCCGGACTTGTTCGGGGGGTTATCATGCCGTTGGGATTTGGGTTCTCGTCTGTGTACCAGACAGCATTGAACTGGATGGTAGGACAGGTTGGGCGTGTAACTTGCTGCCAAGCTGGGTCCGGAGAATCCAGCCTTCTGCCAGACAGAGCGTCGGTCAATCATGGTCGGGCAGGCATCTCGACGTCAGGGACGCGCAAAGGGGCCATGTCAACCACGCCGGCCACCTTGGGACTTAAGCGTCAAGAGACGGCCGATGCTGGGTTTGCTCGCCTAAAACTCGTCGATGGAGCGATGAGATGTGATGAGTCCGCGGCAGGGTCATGACGAGGGTTACAGTGCAGTCTCTTTGGTTATGGTCGTTTGGGGCATAACCGTTATCGGTAGACGTCGACTCATGTTGGTTTGGACATTGCTTAGACCCACCATTGTTTGGCACCACCTACACCCTGTTTGTCAACCCTCCATTCAGCCTGGAGTCTCTTCGCGAAGAGACCTGCATGCGTCCTGCGGTCGACATCCCGAGGGAGTGGCATTCTCCGCACATTCTCCGCACATTGTTCACATACAGCTTGGCGCGTGTCAGTTGTCGGAAACAAAATGCCCGCGCAGGCGACGTGTCTGGGGCTTGTTGGCTAGGGTTATGGGTCGGCCTCAGGGGCTTGCTCATCCGGTCTGGCTGCAGGGTTGGGACTTGGGTCTGGCGGAGTTTACTGATCGGATGAATGTTTCCTGTCTACGTCCCCCAAGTCTACGGCTGGTTGGCCACGTCATACACGTCTCTCCTGCAACGCACGAATCACGGCTCTACCCTTGTCCAAGGCTGGCGTCGGCACTGCTGATCAGACTACCACCGCCTCCAGCGAGCTGCCATCAGCAAGTACTTCTCCTGCTCGCAGATTGTAAATAATGAAGGCCTCATCCACCAGAATTCTCAGCGCCTTTGCGACAAGTTCGTGCAGCTCCGTGGACGGAGGCCGTCTGAGGCCATGGCTGCTCACACGTGCTTTACGGCGGATGTCCTGACGAGTTGCTGCCTCTGCCACAGCCTCGGCAATCTCGAGCAGCCGGGCTGGCGGCCGGCCTTTAAAGGAACGATTGCTAACATGACGGGGTGTTTTACTTGAGTCGACAATTGTCGCAGCTTGCTTGTGTTGCGCAATGGATACCCCTCTAAGTCTTCGTTTGCTGCTGCAAAGTGGAAACCAAGACGTTGACAGCTCCTTTGTCCAAGGCCTCGCGAGCCAGATTGGCTTATTGCTGGAACTGATAAGAGTTTGCGGGTCTTGACTTGGAACTTTGCTCAGGCTAATTGACGATGCCGGGTCACTATTCCCCGGCTTGTCGAACGGGCCAAGATTGCCACCGATGGTGACTGTTCTGGAAAGTCTCGACCGACGGTCATTCAAGTGTTGTTGGAGTCGGTTCTCCCATCGTCTGAAAAGACGCTCACGAGGCTTACGCGCCAAGTCAACGCCGTGATGCTGGGGCGCACTCATACTATATCGACGATGATCACACTCTTGACGTACCACTCGCTCGCCAGCCCAAAACAGCTCGAAAGACTGCGGGCAGAAGTGCAAACCGTGGCGTGGGACGCGACTAGCCTGCCGCCTTGGTCGACTCTAGAACAACTGTCGTACCTCGGCGTGGTCATCCTCGAGGGACTGCGTTTGTGTCGGAGCTTGAGGCTTGATCGATTTGAGCCAATTCGACGTACGGGCTTCATGACGATGGTGCAAGAATCGCGCCCTTTACCCGGTTTCATTGTTCCCTGACCAGGCCCATGCCCACCAGGTCCTTTCGAAAGTACACCCGCTCGTGGCCAGACTCGGTCCTGTTTCCGACCTCGCTGTAGCCCATTTTCGCATACAGAGCCAAGTTTTCGTACATTTTGGCGTTGGTGAAGAGGGTGAGAGCCGCCAGGCCCCGGTCGCGCGCCACACGGTCAGCGCACTCGAGGAGCACGCGTCCGTACCCACGACCCCTGGGCGGCAGGGTCGACGACGACGTTTCCGATCTGGAGGGACTTGGAGGCTGCATCTTGTTCCAGGACGATGGAGCCGACGACTTTCGCCTGCGTGCCGTCGCGCAGCACATGGACCCGGCACCGGTTCACGAGGTGGTGGTAGTCGGCCGCCATGGGGGCGGGCGGTTTGCCGATGCGGTCGACGTACTTTGCGTAGGCGGCGCGGACGATTTCTCTGATGGCCGGCACGTCTCCAGGGCCGGCTTGAGCCAAGGTGGTGCCCTCGACGGCCGAGTGGGGGAGCGCCATGCTGGTGATGGGAGGCAGACCCGTTGAGGGTGCGTTGGAGGCCGTCGAGTCTGGTGCGACGTGTTCAGTCAAGGCGCAATGTCTGCGGTGGGTAGGAGGCGATGCGGTGCCCTGGTTCGAGGTGCTTACAGCGGGCGCTTGGCGCTCGGTGGTGCATACTGTCTCGCGCAATATGTCACCACCGCCAGCAGGCAGTGAGTGCACAGTCAACCATAGGGCGCCTGGATGGCAGACGACGCAGTTGAACAGGCCAGCTCCAGGCGGTGCGCACAAACATGCGTCCGTATGTCAGTCGTGTCAACGATGCGCAGGCGCCATCCGCAACAAGACTGTCATCGTCATCGTCGTCCTGTCGTCGAAGCACACTCGTTGATGAAGCTGGACAGCCGAGCTTCAAGCGCAGTCGGTCATTGACTGAGTGTTGGGGAGCACGTGTCGCCCATATGAGGAGGAAGGGAGGGCATCTCTACCCCGGGCTTGATCGTGTGTGCCCAAAATGGGAAAAAAAATTGGTAGCTTCTCTTTGAATAGCGTGTCATCCTTAGTGCAGGGGCCATGCTACTGTGAAGGAGGTTAGCAATGTGCGCATCCTGAGTCGAACAGGGGACCACGGGGAGCCTTACATCTTCTCTGTATCGTTTCAATAGACCAATTTGTCCGAAGACGCAATAAGGTCTCAAATTATAAATTATATCCCTCTGTGGGGGGCGGCGTGTTCTGTGGCGATTGCTGCGGGCCTGAGTGGTTGCCGAGAGCAAATAGTGGGGCCAGCTATTAATTACCTCGGCACAAAGTACTGTAGGTACGTATACTGTAGGTACCTACTGTAGGAACTGTCTCGACCATGCATTTTTCCGTAGTCAAGTGCGACCGACCATGGCCTCCTGCCCCTTGATAACGAGGCGAAGCGACGACGTGACGGCTGGGAAGCATGGATATTAGGGTTTGAGCTCGCCGCCTTTGACCAACGCATGGCCATCAGCGAGGCAGCGGCACCTGGAGCATCTCGTCCGTCTCAGCAAAGCTGCCAGTGGCGTTACTAAACTACTGAATACAGTAATTTACACATGTGCCGGAACTGGTAGGTAGTTAAGTTCATCAATTGCTCTGGGCAGATGTCGCATCACATCTCTCTCTCCCTCCGTCTGTGAAGCCTCAGAGTTGCAGCCGCGCACCACTCGGGCAACAAGTGGAGACAGCTGCTGGTGCCTGGTCTGGTGCTCAGTGCTCACTGAGTCACTGCTAGGATCCTCGACGGAACGCGGGAGAGCGCGCACAAAAGTAACCTGCGCCGGCGGAAGTAACCAGGGTAGCACCATCAAGTTGGACGAAGCTCATGCCAGGGTGACCAGTGTTATTATCACCGAGTTGTTGGAGTTTATAACCGTGACCTCGCTCGGGGGGCTGTCATCTACCTTCGCCTGGGCCCTGGCGCTCTCTTATCATGGAACACGATTGATTTGATCGAGCAATGGGGCCTTTTCGATTTTCAACTAAATAATGGCAAGTAGCTGGCTTCTTATAGTTGTTATATTGAATGTAGCCACGGCCCCGAGAACATGGTTGTCACTTGGAGACCTTTTTGACACTGCTCAAACTCGCCCAAGACGTGGCACCTTTTCCCGCTCTTTTGGCAATCCGTCGACGCATTCAAGGAATGCCTGGACTGTGGCGTCGGGTTTCACTCGGCCGGTGCATGCAAATGCGTCTCGCATACAGGTATCCCTGCCGGCTTTGGAGCGGCCACAGTGGTCCCGAAGCTGTTCGACCACTGACTTGGGCGACTGGGCGGGCTGTGTGTTGGATTGGGGAGTTGAAGATCCAGCTTGGGATCCCGTTTGACACGTAAGGTAGCGCTAGATGAACGATTACCACGAATATTAACGGCTTGCTGCTTGTCGGAAGAAAAAGAATCAAGACCTACCTCCGAAATTTTTGGGTTCGGATCATAGCTGCACTTGGAACACTAGATTTCCCCGCCGTATTAGCCTTGACTATTTTTCTCCTTTCTTGAATCAGGCAGGGCACCTACCTCGACGCCTTGATCTTTACAGTACTGCTCAAGGCGAACTAAATCCAGGGTTTTGGTTGTAGCATGGTCGTTTACAAACTTCTCCCCCTTGTCGAGCCCAGAAGTCTCCCTGACGTTCGGAACCTCCTCGTGGCATACATCATTTACTACACGCCTACCCTTCTGGCTCGTCATTTTGCATTTGACCGTCGTCTCCTAGCGGTGATGTTAAAACGCAGCCCGAAATCATAAGAGACAGGGGGAGCTATTGCATTTTTGTTGCATGTCATATCAAATTCACCTGGAAGTTCGCTCGCGACAAAGTTCCTCAATGTCTTATCGGCGTATTAGCATATACTGAAAACGTAGCACGCACTTGTTGCTTGTTATTGGTTGATGTAGGAGTACTTACATTTTTATCCCCATTCTCGATTATGGAGGTAACACACGGGCGAATACCCCTCATGGCTGTGCGTTTCTCCTTCTCGTCAAGACTGCTGTTACTAATAGCATTGATAACCTCAGTCTTAACGCACAAACTTATAAGCGGGTGGCAGAGCTTGGGTGCGCTTTTGATTTCGTCGCAAATACTCAGAATGGCCGGCTCTGGCTGTAATGAAGTCGCTGATTAGCGATTGCGCAGCTTTGTCTCGGGCAATAGGAACTACTACATACGAGGTTAAGCATGGCCGAAAAAGTGCAGAGATTGATTTCCTCCTTGGCCTTTTTAGGTTGGTCGAAGCCTCCAGATTTGTTCGACTGGTCTTGAATGCATTTCTCTGCGAGAGATGGGCAATACTTTTGCTCATCGGATTCTGGATCCTTGATGAGAACTTTCTTCTGGTACTCAGCACAGATTTCCTCAGCGGTCACTTTGTTCTACAACGGGCCATGTTAGCGATTTCTTGTTAAGAACTTGATGGCTTTCCAGTGGTGACTGACATCTCCTTGTCGAACAGTGAGGACCGAGTGGGCGGCAGTCACGCCGGCAAATGCTGCAACAACAATGGTAAGGGGCTTCATTTTATCGTCTGTCAGAACTCGAAGCGACTGTTGGAAGATGCAAAAAATAGTGTGACTGTTACAAGATGCAAAAGAGGGTGACCGTTGGAGGATGGAGGAAGGAAAGAATGGAATGAGGTTGAACGTCACCTTTTTATGTAGGCAAAGTTCTAACCATCTATGCCTTTGACGTAGTGACACGACAGAAGATATTACGTTGCGTTATGGACCAATATTCCAGACAGTTCGTATTTCTAGAGCACTCGGCTCGTGCATAGTCCTTGGACAAAACCTGGTCGGAATTAGGTACGTACGGGCTCACCAGTGTTTACACGTTTTATGGGGAAGTAGCATTTTAATTTACGCACTACAGCCAATTCGGCCAGAGGGATTTGGATTTAGGGGTTGAAAATTGAATCGAATCGCGTGATAGACCAAGGACTTATAGTAGAGGAGCGTACGCGGTGGTGCGTAATGCTCAAGCCTCGTCATGGCCTGACGCTGGGTAGGCAAGTATGAGCAGACAATGCTTTTGGGAACACGAGGTAGGTTGAATGGTTAGTCAACACAGAGCATGAAAACGTCAGCACACACTTCTAGCGACCTATATCATATATCACGGTATCTCGGTGCGTAGCCAGCCACCTTTGAGAGAGCCGATGAAAAGCACCTAAATTTCTACCAGCGTGGACGACTCGCTAATGATCGTGAAGGTAGTTAGCTACGAGTTAGGTGAGAACGTTGATCCCAAATAAATGAGTTGATTCTCTATATCATCGTATGCAGTATGACGTACTGCTAGCGAGTTTGACTCGGTCATCGTCAACAATACGCTGAGTTCATGCTTGAAGTGACCACTTCCTGGACTAGGATCCTTAGGGTTCTTACATTTGGGGAATTGCCTTCAAGCGCCCCTCTATGTAACAACACGAGACTTCGACAGGAGAGGGCCCTCCAGCATGGATAATCCAGAGATTTTTTGTGTCAGGGGTCGTACTGGGAAATGCCCTTGTCCTTTTGCTTTCGTCAACGCCTGTTATCCCTATGGTGGCGCCGTCTCAATAGATATTAAGGCCTGGATGTTTTGTTCGCGCCCTTTTAGTAAATAAGTGGAGCAATAGCCAACCCCCAGCGCTTTGCCAAAAGCTCGCCAAGAGCTCTGTCAAGAGCTCTGCCAAGGTGCCTATCGACAGCTCCACTGAGAGCGACAGCTGTTCCTGCCCCTGCCCCTGCCAACTTCACCAGAAATGATTCAACAACTCACCTTTCAGCCAACAGACCAGACGCCCCAGCCCCCGCCTTTGCTTCAGCTGCTACATATGACGCCCTCCCAGCAACCCCCTTGCCCCAGCTGGCAGATTACCCTTATGCCTCCGATACCTCTGACAACGCCCCTGATATCTACAGTTAGAAAGACGACCGCTATAGTTACAAGGAAGATTACTATAAGTATGACAGAGGATATAGTGATACATGATGAAGACGATTGGGAGGACTGGGGGGAAGGGAGCATGTTTCCCCAGCTTATTATGTGACGGGGGTCAATTGTTACGGGACGACAGGTCCCTCTACAGTCATGCATTACATCACGTTCGTGGTCACGGCAGACCTCTATAAAAGAGGACCTGCCTGAGTTAGCTACTAACCTAGAACTATTAGATCCAAAGTATAGTAGTTATACAGTTGTTAAGGAGAGTGGGCATAAGAGGCCACAGTCATGCCTAGTAGACCTAATAGTTATGCATAAGGAAGCCTGCCTAACTAATATAACTCCCCTAGCCTAAAGATATTATATAGGCCTAACTTAGGTATAGGAATATCTTAATGCCCTCTTTTAGCTAACTATATATAGTTACTATACCTATATAAGCCCCTCCCTTATCCTAATAGATAGACTAAGATATATATCACTAAATTCACCTTTCTATGCCCCTATTTCTTCTACTATGCTCTTAAGCCCCTGCTTAAGAGCAGTGTACTATAATCACTAAATGTGACGGTGTAGGCAACGTAGTTATAATTGACCTCCTAAAAGTTGCGAAAATTCTACGCTAGAGAGAAAATAGAATATAAAAGGAGGGGAAAAGAGTCCTCCGGAGAGGGGAAGAAATAGGGGGAAAGGGGGAAAGGGCGCCCATGATGAGATAGTCCTTATCGCCCAGAGTGTCGGCCGAGAGCCCCCACAAGCGTAGCTCGTTCCATTGCCCCCTTGTGGAGGAGAGCAGAGCCCAGAGGGTCCAAGAGCCGGAAAAGGGGTCTGCTGGGCCAAAATGACACTCCTAGCAGAGGGATATTGCGGGGTTGGCCCCTGTGGTTGCTGGGTGGCAGACCAAGCCTTCTTATGTATGGTCAGCTGACGGAGCTGTTTTGTTTTGTCTCAATGCATCCTGTTGGCCTCTGTGACAGGGGAATATAGTAGCGCGACTACCTGCTTTTGCCCTTCGGGCCAAGACCCCTACATCTGCGCTTCTACAACTTACATTTCTACTAGCTGCCTAGGACTTACGCACCCCGTGCACTCCTAGCTTGGCTTTTTTCCATGGCTCTTACGGCTGCCTCTGCATACTACTCTTGTAGCTTCCTCTCTGCGTTGCTCGTGGCCTTGTATCTCGGCTAGTCTTACTCCGTGTGGACATTGTTTCTCTGCCGCCCTCGTAGTCTTGCCTCTCCCTTGCATCTTGTACTTGCTGCCTAAAACTTATGCTTCTCGCTGCGCCTGTGCGACTTATACTTCGTGGTCTTGCGTACCACTCTCGCGGCTTCATCCCTCCCTCTCTCTTTCTCGTATCTTCTCGACCGTTCGTCCGTCCATTGCCTTGCTGCTGCCGGCCATCTATACGCCCTGCATAGTCTGGGAAGAGTCATGCTATTGCCTTGTAGTCTTGTTGCGCTAGGTCTTGTAAGCGTTGCTTGCTTGAACGTTGCGCCTTACTGCTGCTTTGATAGAGGAGAACGCACCCTAGGGGGAGGCGACTGTAATCATGTCGAGCGTGATGTGATGAAAACTCCCGTTGTCAGCTGTTGATATCAGGAGGAAATACTTATCTAGACCAACTGCTCACAAGGCCTCAGGGCGTGTAACGGCCGCGTAGCCATGTAATCAGGATGTAATGTCGATGTCACGTTGCACTCCTTGGATGACCGAGACAGTCGCACTCATTAATAGTGATTCCAAAGAGAACGGCACCAACAGGTATATTTATTCGGCCAAGCATGCCTCTGATTAGATGGCCTCGGAAAACCTTGGCCTTCAGTATATAGGTGTCTAGAGCAGGAGTGGCCCCCGGCCAAAGACTCTTGCGGGTGGGTGTTTTGTGACGGTACAAGTGCACGAACAAGGTCGAGTGCGACTTGGGTAAAGTGATTGTCTACAAGAGAGAAAGAGGTTCCTAAGGAAGACTCTGACTTTCGCTATTTACATGAATAAAAGCGGGACCTTTCATAAAGTATGAAAGTCACATGATCGTTCCTCACACATGGGCCTCCTTTACTCCATCGCTTCTGATTCTTCCACGTCTTGCTGAGCCTGTAGGCGAGCATTTTGCGCTTCTTGTTTCGTCGGTCTGGGTTTGTTTTTGTTGTGCTTCTCGAACTCTTTGATGGCGATGTGAGCGTTGACGACGTTGTGTAGTGGTTCCCATGTTGCCTGCTCAAGGTCGAAGCCTCTCCATAGTATATGGTACTGGAAGCCTTTCTGTTTTGTGCGTTTCGAGTCCAGTATTTCTTCAATCGCCCAGAGTTTCTCCCCCTTTGCATCTAGCGTTATTGGTGGGGGCGGTGTGTTGTATTGGCCGGGGAGCGGGTCGTTTGGTGACGGTCGCAGGAGGTTGGTGTGTGTGGATAGGTTAACTGAGGCTCAGTTGGGTCTTTGATCGATGATCGTGTTGTTCTTGTTATTCTTCGCTATCTAGACCATGCTGTGAGGTTTGATAGGTTGTGCGCGTGTCGGGTAAACGTTGTTCCCTGCTGACGCACGTGATACCCTCCTGCGATGTGCGCTCTATCGTACAAATGATCAGACACTGGCATCTCTTTAAGAATCGAACAAAACGCACTAAACGTAACACCCAAACAACATGTAAAACGGGTATCTCAACACAAAGGAACAATCGATAGCAAGCTTAAATCAAAATCGTCAATCATGCGGTCATATCTTCCTTCCTTTGAACCCAGCCTTCGAGCCGGATCGTGATCTCGTTGTCGTTAACGAATCGGGTTAAGGCCCCGTTTGGAGATAGCTTCGTCATTGCATCGGCCGGGTTATCCGCTCCGTTGATCCAGCGGATGTTGGTGATTTCGCGTTGTTCGTAGGCCTGTCTCAACGCCATGATATCGATCATCAGACGTTTCTCCGTGGTGGTGCCAAGCTTCACTAGGCACTCGTACAGGCTGTACGAATCTGTACACACAACGAGCGGGATTTGCGGTAATCCAAGGCGGCTTGTAATCTGGTTGATCGTCCCTGCAACCACATATGCCAAATCGAAGCCTGAAGCTAATCCATATATCTCAGAAGCCAAGACGCCAGGGTGGCAAACCACTCAATCAACTCAACCAAAGAGTCAAATTGAGTAGATTGACGGCTTACATCAGCGAACCTCTCGTTGAGTTGAGCAATCCAAGCCCTCGTTGAATTGATTGCGTTGATTGATGGAGTTGATGCCCTACCCTACCTATTAGTAAGCTACTTAAGGTCCTCAACACCATCAACTTCTCGTCCTTCGTGGGGCACCTCTTCGGGAAGACATCGTCATCGACTGAAGCATCAATAATCCCCTGGTAGTCGGGTATTAGCCCTGCCTTCAGCCAAGACCGAATTGCCTGGCCTGCATTGATCGTGTTAGCCTGAAGCCGGCTGCGTAGTCGTGTGACCATTAGCCCAGCAAATGAGAACGCCCTCTCGCACTCTGCTGACATTGGCGGTATAGATAGCATATCAAAGGCCATTCGAGCAAGTCTGGGATACGTTGACTCTTTGAGTTGCCAGTATTGGAACGGATCCGTGATGTCTCCGTCATCTG